CTGCTTACAACACCATCCCCGAGGAGCATCTCTATTACTCACTGGGTTTCATCAGGAAAGGGGTGTGAATCTTTCCTGAGCGGCTCTGACGGAGGCACAGCTCCCCGGGGAGCTGGCTTGGGGAGGGAGATGAAGTGATGCCGAGTGCTTGCTCCGGCCACCGGCACGCGTCTGGCTGTGGGGGCAGCTAGGTGAGGCAGGCAGGAGACCCAGAGGGGAAATTCAACGTGTTTGTGAGCCCCCACAAGCAGGAGCTGGCCCCCACAGCCCCGTCACCTCGTGCTCTCACCCAGCCTTGTCTCACAGCTCCTCTCCCACCCCAAAATCCAGGTCGAATGCGGGCAGCGACCCACAGCACGGGGCTCGGGACGGTGAGTCAGGGCTGCGCGTCCAGCCCTGCCCAGCAGACAGAGCCTTTCCCAGTTTCAGCCTGGCACGAACTCACGCCCTCCCCTCTCACCCACAACCTGTTGTGTGGCATTTTCCCTCGGCAGAGAGGAAAAGTGAAAATGGGAGAAGGATTAGCGGGTAAACACAGGCTCCCGCTGCCTCCAGCAGCTGCCGCAGGGGACTGCACTTCAAAAGCCTGCCTGGGGAGGGATGGGGGCTTGCAGGACAGGGCTGTTTTGCTCCCGGCGATGAGAGAGAAGAGCAGAGCACAGCTCTCAGCCACAGGGTTAAATGCTCGGTGACACGATGGCTGTGTTGGGAACAGTCCCCAGCCCACGCCGTCCCCCAGCCGTGCCTGGGTGCGGTGGCGGTGCCCAAAACCGTGCCGGGGGCCCCGCTCCTCTTGCATTTATTAACACAGACGAAGCCACAGGACCACCCTTGGGAAATCTGCACGTGACTCTGCATCTCCATCCTCCTCCTGGGTCACAGTTCTTCCCTTTTCATCCCAGCACGGGGGCCGTGCCGGGCAGAAAAGGCCAAGCAGCTAGGCTGGAGGCAGGGAGACGAGGCTGCCTCCTCCTGCCGCTTCGCAGCCCGGATCTGAGCCAGCGCTGAAGTTTCCAAGGGAACCCGAAGCAGCTGCAGCCAAACCAGGCTCGCTGGCAACACGGGATTCTCGAACCTGGGCCAAAAAGCGCCTGTTTGAGCTCACCAGCAGCCAAACCAGGGCCAGCTGCAGAGCCGAGAGCACGTGCGAGCGGCACCGGGGCACCCCATAGCGGGACTGCCTCCTCCCCGCACCGCTCTGGGGGGAGAAGCTGCACAATGCTGCATCTCCGAGCTCCTGCTCCACTACACAGCCCCTGCAGACACTTTGCTAAGCCACACTTTGTCGTCACCGCAATGCAGGGCCGTGTTTGTCAGCCAGGCTTGGGGATCTGCTGCATTCGGGCTCCCCGGTTCGCTCTGGGATTCCTGGCTTCGTGTCGCTGCTTCCTGCTCGCAGCACGCTTGGCTGCCCGTGAAAAATGCCTGAGCAATAGGATTTCTCTCCCTCTTCCTCCTGCTGTTCTTTAGAGCCAAACTGTATCTCTGTTTTTTCTTTTTTCCCAGCACTTGTGCTTTCTAACTACACCCCTTCAATCCACTAGAGATAACGCAGCAAGTCGGGGCTAGAGCAGGAACAGGTGAATCTGTTCACCTCCTCAAGTGCCTCTCTCAACACTCGAATCCCAAGTGCACTTTATCGGTGGTGTATCTGTTCCAGGCAGGAGCTGATCTCACCAACAGCGTAGCTAATGACTTCAGCCAGGCTCCCCCTTGCGGGCTTGGGGCCTCCGATGCTCGCTTTAGCCCCATAAATTGCTCTCAGAGCATCCTCTGCCTGTCCCAGGCTCTCCTGTGCAGACTTTACCTGCAACAACAAACCCCGCTGAGCCTTCTCAGGGGGTCACTAGGCTCTGCCGCCTTTTACACAGGAAAAGTTTTCCCTTTTTGACAGGGAAATGCCGCTGGCTCAGCCAAGGGAACGAGACACCCACTGGGTGCTGGGTCGGGAAGGAAGCAGCTCACCACCAGCTCTGCTATTTGCTTCTCTCCCTCGCCCGTCTCGCTGAGCCAGTTGCTCCAGCTGTAATGACAGAACCAACATGGGAAGGACATTCAGCATGCAGAGGTCACGTCAATTCCCCAGAGGAATTTCCCCACACAAACAAGAGGGGAAAAAGCGAGGTAGTGAACGTAGATGTGCGTTTCCTCCAGCCTCGCTCCAAGACATGCTTAATGGTGGAGACCTTGCAAGCAGGTTTTCTGATCCCTTACCGAGCATCCCATTTCCTCATTCTGCTCTTGCAGTTGTAGTAGGATGTCTTTGATCACTGGGGACAGGCCTTCCTGCAGCAAAAAAGAAAAAAAGGGAAATGCTGAAAGAAATGGAAGGGAGCAATCCTGGTGGGTAGCTGCATGCCACAAGAAAGCGCTGCATATGAAAGGGAAGAAGAAATTTCCTGTCAGATTAAAGGAGTGCAAACCTGCTCTCCCTCTGGAGAAGGCTGCAACTCTATACTTGCCTCTCTAATTGCAACACTCGGCTGGGAAAGGTGCTCAGAAGTATTGCAAAAGGAAGGAGATTAGCCAAGGTCAGGGAATAGCAGGGCTGCAAAGCCAGGGGATTGTGTAAGAGGTGCATGGTCCGAGGTGATGTCAGGGAAGGAGCTGCCAGCCCTGTTCCAAGGGAAAGCAGCAAAGGTGACTGAGCCAAAAGCACAGGAACTGCCTGCCGCAGCCAGCCGTGGGAAGGAAAATAAGAAAAGGGAACAGAAGACCACAATACAGAGGCAGGAAAAGTGAAAGGACGCTGGCAGAAAGCCTTGCCACGGAGAGAGAAATGTGACAGAGGAAAGGGAACCTGACTTCACAGGCCGGGGACAACAAGAAGCACACATAACCTCCCGCTATTGCACATGAGCACACCTGAAAACATGGCACGGTTTCCCCCAGCCACACACTGCTGGGAACCCAAACGAACGTGGGAACAGAGCGAGGGTGACGGCGCCTTTCTGCCTGGCTGGGGAGTCCCAGCTGCCTGGAAAACCCCTCACCCTGCAGACCCAGACACCACTCCTGCAGCCCTCCCACCTTTCCCGACTTGGTTTGGGGCATGATTCACCCAGGATCTACGGCTGGAAAGGCAGCAGCAGCGTTTTCCAAGCCCAGGCTGAGCAGGCAGGCGGTTCTCCTGCCTGCTGCTGCCCTCTGTGGGACAGCAGGGCCAGCCAAAACTGGCATGGCACGGCCCTCGCCCTGCAAAAGCTGTTGTTTCTCTGGCATGCAAACTACCCAGGCCTCCGGCTTGTGCGTAATCACCTTCCCCTGCAACTGGCTGCAAGCTAATTATAGTGCCGGCCTTTTCCTTCTGGATCACTCTTAATTACAGTACGGAGCGTCTCGCTCCATTAAGGCTCCAGATCTGGTTTGGGATTCCAGCCGCCAGGAGAAATAAATTGAGGTAGGCGAGAAAGGTTTCTCTCAGGCGTCACCCAGCCCCGTTGCAGGGAGACAAAAATGAAGAAATCTCTTGTTTTCACTGCACTTCTGTCCCTCGTTACACAGCAAGCAGATGCAACCAAGAGGGAAAGGGCCAGCTAAGCTCAGGGAAAAGAAAAGAAAGGTTCGGAAAGCCACCGCCACTAACATCAGCGTCACGCTCCAGTTCATTTCCCATTGTTTGCAACCAGCCGAGACGAGGTGCAGCCTTCTTGATAACGACTGGGTGTTGCCGAAGAGAAGAAAATAAAACACCTCAAGACTCGGGCAGGCTGAAAATTGAGCAAAACGGGGGCTGTGAGGCACTAGATTGAAAAACCGCTGGTCAGAAATACTCTCGCTTTCTGGGCCTCCTGCACAGGTCGGGCACGGCTCGGAATAGCAGTACCTAGGCCCCGGTTTCCTAAAGCTGATTTAAATGTTCTCAGAAAAAGGTTCTCTGAGGAGGTAGCAGCGACAGGCAGGGCTGACTCAACGCAACTAAAATAACTCGCCTAAAAACGTGCCTGAACACGGCCGAGGAAAGGATGTGGCAATTGTCTCCGAAAGGCCCTTAAAAAAAAAAAAAAAGCTTTGTGATGCAAGGTAGCGAGTTAAAAAAAAAAATCATAATAATAATACATTCAGGCACCAAAAAAAGCGCTTTTTAATGGCCAAAAAATCCCCGCGAAGACAATGGGTATCCGTACGGAAAAGCCATTTAGGAGCGCGACACCGGGGCATTTCCCTCGCCTGGCAGCTGCGGGGTCGGTGCTGCAAGGCACCCCCGGCTCTCCCAGCAGCTGGAGGCCTTCGTTCCCTAAGGGTCACGGTGTTGGCACGGCTCAGCGGCGTTATTTATTAATAAAAAATAAAAGGAGAAGGCGCATTGTTCCTCGTGAGGCCGCTGGAGCGTGTAGAAAACGAGCGGTGTGTTAAGCCACGGGGTTAGGGATTGCCCTGATTGAGCCAGAAGGGGAGAGACAGCACAGTTTACATTCCTGGAGGCTTTCAGTTTATGGGTTTATTTCCTTCAGTTTATTCCCCTCGGTTTATTCCCTTCGCTTTATTCCCCTCGGTTTACGTTTTATCCCCCTCAAGTTTACTTCCAGGATTCCACCGCCCGCCAACCCAACCCAACCCAACCCAGCCGCCCCCGCAGCCCCTCAGCCGAACCCCATCACAAAAAAAAGACAATAAATTAACAGCAGGAGTGGTTCCTTTATTATTTATTAACCCCAAACCGCCCCCTCCCCTTCTTCTCCCCTCAGGGGCGCCGCCGCCATTACGCGCACAGCGCCCCCCTCAGGGCGGGCGGGCGGGCGGCGCGCAGTGCGCATGCGCGGCAGCGGGCGGGCTGTGTCCTTTTAAAGGACACCCCCCACACACACAGCGGGGCGGAAGCGCCCGAAGCGGCTTCACTTGCCAGCACCACCCCTCTTCCGGTTCATCATCCGGCGCTCTAGCTTCCCTTCCCCCCTTCTCTATGCCCTCCCGGAGGACCTCGCGCACCTCCCCCTTGTGGCGGGCAGGTAGGGGGCGCTCTCCGCGCGATGCCACTTCCGGCGGCGGGGCGGGCGGCGCTCTAGCTTACTTCCGCCTCCTCTCTATGGCCCGGCGGCGGGCGGGCGGCGCGGCGGGGCCCCGCTGAGGCGGCGGCGGGGACGGGAGCGGGGCTGGGGGCGGCCCGGGGGGGAGCCGGGCCCGGGATGGAGCCCGAGACGCTGGAGGCTCGCATCAGTGAGTAGGGGAGGCGGGGAGGGGGTTTTGGGGGTTGTGGGGGTTGTTTGGCCCGGCCCCGGGCTGAGGCCGCCCTTGTGCCGCCCGCAGACAAGGCCACCAGCCCGCTGAACAAGGAGCTGGACTGGGACGGCATCGGCGCCTTCTGCGAGCAGCTCAACAAGGAGCTGGAGGGGTGAGTGGGACCCGGGGGGGCGAGGGGCGGCGGTGGGGGGGTCCTCAGGGGCTCTGTGGGGAGCTGGGTCATTAATAAAGGGGTTCCCATAAGGTTTTGGGGTGGTTTGGGGGTGGTTTGGGGTTTTATTTGCGCTTTGGTTTTGTGATGTGTGGAGGTTTTCAAGGAGAAGCCCATAACTGGGTTTATTTCACTAAGCACTGAGTTTTTTCTTTGCTGTCCAGCCCCCCGCTCGCCACCCGGCTGCTGGCGCACAAGATCCAGTCCCCGCAGGAATGGGAAGCCATCCAGGCCCTCACGGTAAGGGCTGCCGGGGGTGTGGGGTGCCTCCAGCTGGGCTTGAGGAGCTCAAAGGGGAGCTTTGGGTGTCTGGGATGCTGTGCTCAGGGAGTCCTGGTGTATCCACGGGGCGGGAGGAGGGCTGAAGGTGGCAGTGCAGGGGTGGAGGAGCTGCAAACCAGTGTCTGAGAGCTCCCACTCCACCTCCAGATGGCTCTGGGATGCTACGGATGTCCCATTCCATGGTTCAATGAGCCACCTGTGCAAAGACTGACCCCAGATTCAAAATCCTTCCCCCTCTCCTTTGGGAGGGTGACACTATGGAGGCGTCCTCACAAGGCGCTGTGAGGAAAGTCTGTTTTTTGGGGGAGACAAATCCCAAACCGGCTGACCCGGCGCTCTCCCCAGGTGCTGGAGTCCTGCATGAAGAGCTGCGGCAAGCGCTTCCACGATGAGGTGGGCAAGTTCCGCTTCCTCAACGAGCTCATCAAGGTGGTGTCACCCAAGGTGGGTCCCGCAGGGATCCTGCTGGAGGGAACCCCCTCGGGTGGGAAGGAGGTGATGCTGGGAGGACATTTAGTCTGGGTTTCTGGTGAGCTTTCACCTGCTCCTGGCAGATTCTTGTTGCAGGAGGCTGGGGGCCAGCCAGCCCTGATGCAACCGGCGCTTGTGAGACTTCTGAGCTCATCCGTGAGCCTGGAGCAGGCTTTTGCTGCATTTCTCCCGGGTTTTGTCTGTGCTCAGGAGCCTCCCTCGGCTCTGACGCCGTGACCCTGGCTCTCCAGGGTGTCCCAGCCGGGTTGAGACGCTCCGAGGGCAAGCCCAGGCCTGGGCAGCGGTGCTCTGGCGAGCCTGTTTGAAGCACCAGCTCCTTGCCTGCTCCTCTGCTGCTGCTGCTGCTGTTCCTTCAGCCAGGGCAGGCAGCTTGTGTCGCCAGCAAGCACGGGGTTAAGGGAACGCAGCCTAAATATAACAGGGGAAAACCTGAGGCTGTCAGTCACAGCTTGTGATCTGTCAGGATGAACAGCCAGGGACAGTAACAGTCAGATCCCACGGCCCTCTTGCTAGGCTGCTCTGGAGGATGCCATCAGCACCAAGACGATTTCTTTCGGTGGTACATTCACTGTTTTTTAGCACCAGCGCCAATTTCTCCCACCTCCTGCGGTGGAAGCCGAGAGGGACGTGTTGCAAGGGCCTCGTGAGCGTTCCTGCCTGCTTCCTCTTTGTCCCTGCGCCATTGGGAGCTGCCTCGCGCGCTTCTCCTGGGGGAGGGGAGGAGGGGAACGGGTCAGGCTTGTGGCAGCTCGGATCAGCTTCAGGCCACCTCTGCTCTCCTCTAGTATCTCGGCAGCCGGACGCCGGAGAAAGTGAAGTCCAAGATCCTGGAGCTGATGTACAGCTGGACGCTGGGGCTGCCTCACGAGGTGAAGATCCTGGAGGCCTACCAGATGCTGAAGAAACAAGGTGAGAGCCCTGCAGGGCTCCTGGCTGGGCAGAGGGGATTGCTGGTGGTCTGAATGGGGTGGAGGGGTTATCTTCTCTAGGGGATTGCACGCTGGAACGGGTTGGTGCTGAAAGGATACGGGTGGTTTGGCAGCACGAGTGGATTTGGAGCTGGATTTGTCCAAGACGGGGTGCTGTTGGGGCTGGGGCAGCAGTTTTTGCATAAAAAAAAATCATTTCGGGATCAGAGCTGGCAGGAGCAGCCCCAAAAGCCCTCGGTTCCAGCCAGGAATGATGGGCTGTTCGGGGAAGATCGCCCCAGGGGTTAGTGCATCCCCCAGAGGGTGAGACCTCCTGACAGCTCCGTGGCTCTCTGCTGCAGGTATTGTGAAAAGTGACCCCAAACTGCCTGAGGATGCCCCTTTTCCGCCGCCTCCCCCTCGTCCCAAGAATATCATCTTTGACGACGAAGAGAAATCGAAGGTAAAGGGGTTTGTGGGGGGAGAGGGGCGCAGAACATCGTCCTTGCTGCTTTCTGCCTGCCCCAGCTGGTGTCGCTGCACTCCAGGCAGGCAGGCAGGGGCAGGCTTTGAATGCAGAGACTCTGCAGAAAAAGGCTCCTCTTACTCAACCAGAACCAGAATGGAGAAAGGAGGACGAGTTAAACCTCTCTCCAGTGCTGCAAGAGCAATTTCGGCGGCCGTCCCCTCAGCATGGGCTCAGAGCTGCCTTTTCTCTTGCAGATCCTGGCTCGCCTCCTGAAAAGCTCCCATCCCGAGGACCTCCGGGCCGCCAACAAACTCATCAAGGAGATGGTTCAGGAGGTGAGGCTGGGGAGGAGGAGGGCAGGGAGTCACGGCCTCGGGGGCGATAGCTGGGTACCACAGGGGCAGCGGCTCTCTGTCCTTAGGCAAAGGTGCAGAGCAGCTGCCAAAATTCTGCAGCAGCAACGCCAAAATGTCCTCATGTGACTTGTGCCTTCTCTGACTGCTCAGAGGAGTGGCTCCGAGTGGTTTCTGTGGCACAAACCCTGCTGCAGCGCAAGATCTGTGGCCCCATCTGGCAGATGCTGCTGCAGGCATGGTCTGGGGTTTTCCACGGGCGTGGAGACAGTTTTTGGGGGCAGCGTTGCTGTGATAAAGCCCCGGGAGTCAACGTGCTGACAGGCAAGGACCTGCTTCCTCCCCCCCAGGACCAAAAACGCATGGAGAAGATCTCCAAGAGGGTGAACGCCATCGAGGAGGTGAACAACAACGTGAAGCTGCTGACGGAGATGGTGACAAACTACAGCAAGGGCGAGACGACGGAGAGCAACGAGGACCTCATGAAGGTGAGGAGGGGCTCGGGCTGAGCGGAGATGAGTGATCGTTACCCTCCCGAGCTCCTCCTGCATGTTTTACACCACGGCTGAGCACCCACTGCTCCTCTCAGTGCCCATTTATCTCCCCCCAGGAGCTGTACCAGCGCTGCGAGCGCATGAGGCCCATGCTTTTCCGGCTCGCCAGTGACACAGAAGACAACGATGAAGCTTTGGGTAAGCTTCTCACTTTTTTCTCATTCTGTCTCCTCCTCGCTCTCTCTTTTTGCCGGATTCTGTGCCTGGGCTACCTGTGGTGTGGTAAATAGCAGCAGCTGCTGCGTCGGGGTGGCTTGGTGGCTCGCTGGAAGTTAGTTAGGGTTAGTGAGCAGATGGCACCGATCAGCAGCAATACAGAATTCTTCCACTCTCTGTACTCGTTGGGTTGTACTTCACGCTGAAATATCAACTTATTTCAAGGAAGTTTGCAGCAACAATGGCCAAAATGCTCTATGCTGTCAGGTCCTGGGGGATTGCTCTGAAGGAGTAGGCTGAGCGGCGTATAAAAGTCACCCCCTCTTTACTATTTTACTATTTATTTCTTTCTTACCGTTTCTTTACTATTTTAAAACTTTTTTTTTTCCCTATCTGTTCCATTTCAGCGGAGATCCTGCAAGCCAATGACAACCTGACGCAGGTGATCAACCTCTACAAGCAGCTCGTGCGGGGCGAGGAGATCAACGGGGAGGTGACGGCCGGGCCCCTTCGAGGTGAGGAGACCCGGGGAGCAGGGGGGATAGGAAGATCGAGCACAAAGAACCTATTGCTGGTTTCCTCTGATGTAAAAGATGGAAAGAAGCGGGAAGGTGAAACCTGCAGGAGTCCAGAGTTGGACTGGGATGAAGAAATAGCTCATAGAGATGACTGATGCATGAAGAGAGGGGGTTGGAAGGGAGAGGAGATTGGAATTTCCCTCTCCCAGGTGTGAGGGAGGATGGGAACTGGCTCTCAGCACACTCAGAGGACTGAGAGAAGGTTTTTGCCTCTCACCTTGTTGTTTTTTTTCTCTGCAGGCAGCACCTCAGCACTTCTGGATCTGTCGGGACTGGACCTGCCAGCGACAGGCCCTTCCTACCCAGCCGTGCCCACCCTCTCAGGTGGCTCGGCGGCCCCCGTGCCTGACCAGGCTGGCTCTGTCTCGCTGCTGGACGATGAACTCATGTCTTTAGGTGAGGAGGCCGCAGCGAAAGCTTTGTTTTATGTCCTTGAACCTGGAGACTCTGAGCAGCTGGCGCTTCTTGGGGCAGAAGCGTGAATGAGGGAGAGGTGAATCGTGAAAGACCGAGAGGCAGCCCTCACTTGGAGTGAGGGAGATGCCACGAAAAACCCTGCAAAAAAAACCCCCCCACCACCCTCCCTGCTCCGTCCCGTGCAAGGATGGAGGCTGCAGTGGTGGCTCTGCCCTGCTGCTCCTGTGTCTTGCCTGATTGGGGGGATCTCGGTTACAGGTTCCCTATTTCAGGCCCCATTTAGTGCCCTCACCACTTGGCAGCTTGGCTCCACGTTTTTGTTTTTTTTTCCCCTCTCTGGCAGGCCTGAACGACCCCGCACCGCATCCTGCCCCGGCTGCCGACAGCAGCGGCTGGAACAGCTTCCAGGTAGCGCGCCGGGAGCTGTGGAAGCGGGTGGGGAAGGGTTGGGTGGAGAAAAAAGGAACGGAGCAGGGAAGGAAACGTCCCAAATCTCGTGGCTTGATGCTGATGTACCACCCTGCCTGCGTGCTCCTTCCCCAGTCGTCAGATAGCAGCGAGCTCGGCGTCGCCCCCGTCGTGGCAGCGCCGCCGCTCAAAGCGGACGCGGGCACGGCCTCCCCCAAACCTTCGGCTGGCACCAGTGGCCTGGACGACCTGGACCTCCTGGGCAAGGCTCTGCTGCAGCAGTCTTTGCCTCCAGAGTCCCAACAAGTGCGATGGTGAGCAGGGGCAGGGCAGTCTCACATCTCTCCCCACCCTCAGCTTGCACACACACGGAGGTTTCAGTGCTTTTTTCACTCCTCACCCTCCGTTTTTCACTCCGCAGGGAGAAGCAGCCACCCCCCCGGCTCACCCTGAGGGATCTCCAGAACCGGAGCAGCTCTGGCACCGCAGCCCCCGCCCCCAGCGCTCTGCCCGTGCTGCAGGGCGCTCCTAACCCCCCTCCACCCCTGCCCTCGGAGGTGCCTGCCCCCGCCACGCTCCCCAAAACTGCGAGCACGCCACCGGGAAGCGCCCCTGGCCCGGCACGGCCTCCTGCCACCGCGCTGCCCCAGGAGATCTCGCTGGCCAACATCACTGTGCCTCTGGAGTCCATCAAACCCAGTGAGCCAGGGGGAAAATGGGCAATTTGGGAGGGATCCAGGCACATCAGGGAAGAGATAAGTGGACAAGGGTGTGAAGGGGGTGCTCATGTGGAAGGGAAGCCTCCCTATTGGGCTTGAGGGAGGCTGATGAAGAGTTGTGGCTGCTGGGGAAGGGTCGCAGCAGGTATCTGAGCGCTGCCTGTCCCGCAGGCAGCATCCTCCCCGTGACGGTGTACGACCAGCACGGCTTTCGTGTCCTCTTCCACTTCGCCAAGGACGCCCTGCCCGAGCGGCCTGACGTGCTGGTGGTGGTGATCTCCATGCTGAGCACGGCCCCGCAGCCCATCCGAAACATCGTCTTTCAGTCTGCTGTCCCCAAGGTAAGGCAGGCACCGGGGTTCAGGCCCCCAAATTTTCCCCATAGGATTGTCCCTTCGCAGGAAGGGGCAGGGTTGGGTGGAGGAAAGGGCTCTGTGGGATGGTGGGAGGGACACGAGATGCTCTCCTCTCTCCCCAGGTGATGAAGGTGAAGCTGCAGCCTCCCTCGGGCACGGAGCTGCCGGCCTTCAACCCCATTGTCCACCCCAGTGCCATCACGCAAGTCCTGCTGCTCGCCAACCCACAGAAGGTAACCCCAGCCCCCTTGGGGTTGATCTCGTTGCTTAGATAAAACCTCTTCTTCCCCTCTTCTGACCGCTTACCCTTTCTCCCCCCGGCTCCAGGAGAAAGTGAGGCTACGATACAAGCTGACCTTCACCATGGGAGAGCAAACCTACAATGAAATGGGGGACGTGGACCAGTTCCCTCCACCGGAATCCTGGGGAAACCTTTAGGTTTCAGGCACTACATCACAGAGTCCTTGGGAAAACGGCCCCGTGGGGGGGGCTGGGGCAGCCCGAGGAGAGACGGGGAGGGTGGGTGGGGGGCTGCTGCTGCTGCTGCTCACGCTCTGCCCCAGAGGGAGCCTGCCTCCAGGATGAGAGCAGAGACACCAGGAGATGCTCGTCCCGCAGGGCCAGAAGCGCAGGCGAGCTTCTCGTGGGCCAACGGTTGCCTTCCCTGCTCTTCCGAAGGCATTTCTCCCTCTCCAGTTTGTCCGGCTTCTCTTCTAACCCTGCTTTTCCCCTCCAGGCGCAGTGGGGAGTGCGGATGGGGGAGCTTTAGGGCTTTTGTGTCAGCAAATGCTGGGTTCTCGGGGCTTCCCCCTTGCTCTCTCCTGGGAGCTGAGTCCCCTTTCTGGTGGGCTCACCCTGGAGCTGGTGCAGAACGAGGCTGAACGGGGCTTTGGGTGTCTCCAGCACCACCCATCCTCGTTTTGGGGTGTCGGGGGGGGATTTTCCACTGCCCCCCTCCTTCCAGCGGCAGGCAGAGGTCTTGGAGGGAGGTGGGCAGAGCGCAGCACCAGGGGGCACCACGAAGCTCTGCACGGGGAGCCCGGCACCACGCTGTGGGGGGGGGAGAAAAAGGGGTTGGGCTGTGCCCTGTGCACCTTTTTTCCCCCAATTTTTCTCTCCCTGCAGCGGGGAGGGGGCTCGCCCAGCCGCCTGATCACTGTGACACGAGAGCGGGGAGGAGACCAGGGGGTGGCACGGCCCCGGCAGTCCCCGTCCTCACGGGGTTTGTGACCCCAGGAGCTGCTTCCCTTCCCCAGGGTGGATCTCGGGGGCAAGCTGTGCTCCTGCACAGCAGCTAGGAGGAAACTTGCACCAGGTGGAGAGGATTTGGGAGATTTTGGGGGCAGCGAAGGGGGGAAGAGGGCTGGGAGCTGGGGAGCAGCGAGTGGCAGAGGAGAGGGGGAAGCGAGGTCTTTGTGCTGGGGTTCTGCTGTGTCTTACTTCCCTTTCTGGTCTCTTCAGGGTTTTGTAGGGGTTTGGTTTTTTGTTGGTTTTTTTCCTTTGCAGATCTTGTTTGGTTCCAGAACAGACTTGTATATATTTTCAGTGCGAATTCTGTAAATGGAAGAAAACAAATGGGAGGGAAAAAAAAAAATTAAAAAAAAAACGCCCGGCGCGAAGAAATCTGCTGTATTTATGGGAAATAAAGAATTCTTTCCTGAACCTGTGCCTCTTCACCCCAGGAGTGGGGTTTCCACCCCAGGAGCTGTTTCCACCCTGCCAGGAGCAGTTCCCAGCTCGCATCCTGCCCCTGCTCGCCTGAACCCTCTGCGACGCTTCCCCACGGGGCAAGGGGGATGCTGGAAGTCCCCGAGCTGCTCTCAATTCCTTTTCGAGTCACTTCCACGCCGCGAGCCGGGCGCTGCTTCCCTTTGGGGTGAAGCAGGCGGTGGGCAGGGGCCGTGCCCCCAGCCCCCTGCACCCCGCTGGGCTGTTTTTGTGGGCTGCTGGCTTCCTCCTCCTTCCCCGCTCAGAAACAGCCCCGTGGGGCAGTTTTCTTGCAGGGCCCAGCAGCTCCTGGGGTTTTGGGGCTTCGGGGCATGGGTGTGGTGGCCCTAAAAGCCTTTTTTCCCCCTTGCTGCTGTCTGGCTGCCCCTACCCACGAGCTGACCGCTTCCCGTCTGGGCTCGGCTGCCAGTTCCTTCAGCAGCTCGGCGCAGGAGGAGAAGGAGGAAAGTCCCGGCTGCAGGTAGCTGCAGATAAGCGATGTCTGCAGCTCACCCAGCAGGAGCAAAAGCCCTGGGTGGGGTGGTTTTAGGGCAGGAGCTGCGCCCTGGCACCGAGCAGGGCCCCGCTGCAGCTCTGCAACATGTGGGAACGGGGAGGTTGCGGGCCCCGGGGCGAGGAGGAAGGGGGCCTCCGCAGGGCAGAAGGCAGCAGCCCTTCACCACAGCCCTGCGGTGGCTCAGAGGGGAAGGAAAGCAGGGTGAGGGGCACGGGGGAGGTTTTGCTGGCCGTGGAGGGGTGTCCTAAATTTGGGGTGGGCAGGTAGGGTGCGGGGGAAAGGCGGCAGCCGGGGCGGAAAGCAGGAAGGAGCGTGGGCCCTTCGCTCGGGCTCTGCAGCGGCTTATGCTTGTCCTGCCTTGTTACGTGTTTGCTGTAATAATATTTCCCCTTTAAGGCTGGGCTTCGAAGTTATTTATACTTGTGGGGTGGTGACAGGAACACAGAGCGGAGCAGGAGCTCCGAACTGCTCTCACCTGATCCGCAGCGAGGGGCGGCCAGAGGAGGAGGAGGAGGAGGAGGGAGGAAGCTGAGCAAAAGAGAGGGAGCGAGAGAGAAAAGGAGCCCGCGGGAGGGGAAGAGAAAGCAGGCAGGGCATCCCCAGGGAGGGCCGAGGGAGGGGACGAGCAAAGAGCGAAAGGGGGAACGAGGGAAGGAGGAAGGAGCGAGGAGGGAGAGAGGGGCTTGGGCAACGGCACGAGGCGCGGTGGCTCCGGGGAGCCCAGGGGGCCGCGGGCGTCCCATGCCAAGCGTGAGCCAGGGGTGCTGAGCAGGGACAGCCGAGTGGGAAAAAAAAAAAGGGTTCTCCTGGCCTCCTCCTCACCCTCAAGATGATGAAGAGGCAGTTCAATCGCATGCGGCAGCAGCTGTCCCATCCCAACGCCACCAGCCGGTAAGGACATCGGTGGGCTGGGAGGGGGCAGGAGGCAGGGGCTGGAGGGTGAGCTCCAGGAGCACCGGTGGGTGAAGAAAAGAGGGAAAAAGTGTGGGGTGAGCTCGGGGTTAGAGCATCTTCAGCGACAGCCAAGGGGCTGCTCACCACCCATGGGATCCCCAGGACGTGAGGGCCATGGGCAGGGTCTCTCCAGCCTCATGCCCTGGGCTGTGCGGTGCCCAGGAGGGTGACAGGAGCTGGGAGCTGCTCTCCCTGCTCAGCACGATGCCCTGCGTCTGGTCATCCCGGGATGTCCTTCAAGGAGAGGACCAGGGATCCTTGGAGAACCCATGGAGAACCTACAGCTTCACACGGATCCCTCCAGCCCGGTCCCACCTCCGCTGCTTCCTTATTTTTCTCTTCGGCTTTCCAAAGCTCTTCCCTTGCAAAACCCAGAACTGAAATTGCAGGGCTGGGCCCTCCCTCCCCAGCCCCCTCGATCCTACAGCCACCTCCGCGCACCGGCACCTGCCTTCCCCAGCACGGGGAGGCTGTGTGGGACCAGCCCCGTCCTCGGGGTCCTTCCAACCACCCCGAGGAGCTGCTTCTCCTGCTTCCCCGGGGAGCTTTTCGCCCCACTGCAGAGCCTCTCCGTTGTGGGCCGCGGTCTCACATGATTTCGAGCCCGCCGCCCCCGTTTCCTGTGGCTCCACGGGCTCGTCCTGCGTTGCTTCTTCTTGCAAAGGCTGAAAAGAGAAATTTGAATTGATCGGGCAAGGGGACGAGGCCGTTCCCAGGGAATTCTGAGGGGGATGGGTCCTCTGAGCCAGGGTTCCCCTCTGCGACACGTCGCGGGGGTCTGGCAGCTCAGAGCGCCTCTTGGGTTTCGCCTTGGGGTTTTTGATCTGAGTTTGCTGCAGACCAGCAGCTTCCTTCACCCGAACGCCTGCTTGCAAAACCAACCAGACAGCCGCTTTCGTTTCGGCACCCCGAGGGCTGCCGTTGGGTTAGGTCTCCGCTTTGGCCACAAAGTTCAGCTCTGGCGGCACCAAAGATTTCCGCTACCTGCTCCGCAAAGCCTCCCCCGGGGCTCCAGCAGCAGCCGCCCTGGATTCATCTTCGAGGAAGAAGCAGTCGGGGGGAGAACGTTTTACCCCCAAATTTCCCACCGGTGCAGTGGCCCTGTCCCATCAGGACATTTTGAGCCTTCTGCTCCTGGTGCTCCCTTCTCCTGGGCTCACTCTGCCTCGTGTAGGATGATCTGGGCAGCAGCCAGCACCTCCCCGGAGCTCAAAGAGAGGAGGGTGAGATGCACAAGGACCTGCCTCCCCCAGGAGGCCACCCCACCTGCTCATGGCTTCTTTTCCTTCTCCCGCAGAGCCCAAGAAGCGACCGAGCTCCTGACGGAAGATTTGCTGCAGGTGAGGCGTGGGCTGGCTCGGCGGGCGTGCGTCGGCTTGTGGCCACGCGTGGGGACGTGCCCGGCTGTTCTCCCCGCTGACACCTCCAAATCACGGGGCTGGGACGCTCCTGCCTGCCCCAGGGCGGCTCCGGGGCTGGCACGGCAGCTTCGGGATGGTGCTGGCTGATCTCAGCTGGCTCACTGGTGCCCTTTTCCCACCCCCAGATCGAGCAGAGGATCGAGCCGGCCAAGCGGGCGGCGCACAGCGTGTCCAAGCGGCTCCAGGCTTGCCTGCAGGGGCACTGCGGCTCCGAGATGGACAAGCGAGTGGTGAGTGCTGCCTCCAAAGGGGCCTTCTTCAAGCCTCAAACCCAACGGGGAGCTGGAGCAGGGCAAGAGGTAGGGGACCAGAGTATGTCTGCCACGCATCGGCTCATTTCTTTTCCCCAAACCTCGGCTCTGTGCAGAAGAAGCTGCCCTTGATGGCTCTGTCCATGACGATGGCTGAGAGCTTCAAGGAGCTGGACACGGACTCCAGCCTCGGGTAAGTGCCGCTAGGAGAAAGGTGGCAAAACCCTTTGCAGAGCTCCAGCCGGCAGCTGCTTCACCTCTCTTCCCCCACGCAGGAAAGCCCTGGAGATGGGCTGCTGCATCCAGAGCTCGCTGGCCAAAATCCTGGCCGAGTTCGAGATCACCGTGGAGCGCGACGTCCTGCAGCCCCTCAACAAGCTCAGCGAGGTAGCCCCGGCCAGCCCCTGCTCTGCTGCCCCGTCCCCAAACCTCTGCCCCTCACCCCGGCCCCTCTCTCCCAGGAGGAGCTGCCCATCATCCTGAAGCGCAAGAAGACCCTCCAGAAGCTGATCTCCGACTGGAACGCCATCAAGAGCCGGTACGGGGCAGGCTGTGCCCTCCTGTCCTCCTCCCGGTGCCCGTGCCCCTTCCCCACATTTGCCCTGTGCTGTATCCTCTCTGACGAGCCGGGTGTTGCCTCTCCTCTCCCCCCCAAAAGGCTGAACCAAGCTGCCAAGGGCTCCGGTAACAGCGCCGGCGCTGGAACCGTCCCGGGGGCTTCTTCTGCCAACAAACTGGAGATCCTGAAGGAAGAGGAGGAGGAGGTGAAGAGGAAGGTGGAGCAGTGCAAGGTGAGAACGTCACCGCCTCTCCTCCGAGGGGGAGCAGAAAGAGGGCGATGCCCCAAGCCCGGGCAGGAGGCAGGAGGTCACTCTTCTCGCTGTGTCCCTTCCCAGGACGAGTACATGGCTGACCTCTACCACTTCTCCACCAAGGAGGACAGCTACGCCAGCTACTTCATCAGAGTGAGTCCCGTCTTTGCAAGTCCTACTCACCGCGTGGGCATCTCCTGGGGTAAACAAAGCCCGGGGGGGTGCTAGCTGCGTGCCCCTTCTTTGGCAGCTGCTGGAAATCCAAGCCCAGTACCACCGGCAGTCCTTGGGGTCTCTGGACTCGGCTCTGGCGGAGCTGAAGGAGAGCCACAGACAGACAGGTACCCGCTGGCTCTCCAGGCAGCCCGGGGAGGGCTGTGAGCACAGCTGGCGAGGCTGGAAAATATATTTTTATATATATTCCCCTCCCTCCCCCAGAGCCCTCCTTCGCCGTGGATGCCCCAGTGGCCGGGTACTACGGCGTGCCCCTGGAGACCCACCTCAGGAGCCTGGGCCGGGAGATCGCGCTGCCCATCGAGGCCTGCGTCATGATGCTGCTGGCCTCCGGCATGAGGGAGGAGGTGGGCAGCGCTCTTCACCCCGTACCCCATGCCCCTTTCCCCCCAAAAAAACAAACCACCCCACCCCTCATCCCTTCGCTCCATCCCCAGGGGCTCTTTCGGCTGGCAGCGGGCGCCTCGGTGCTGAGGAAGCTGAAGAGCAGCTTGGCCAGCGGCTCCAATGCCCTGGAGGAGTTTTACTCCGACCCCCACGCTGTGGCCGGTGGGTGACAGTGACATGGGGCAGGGGAATGGGGTCGGGAAGATGCCATCACCCCCTCACCTCCATCCCTGCTGCTCCCCTCCAGGCGCGCTGAAGTCCTACCTGCGGGAGCTGCCCCAGCCTCTGATGACCTTCGAGCTCTACGACGAGTGGGTCAAAGTGGCCAGGTGGGTCAGCGAGGGGGGAAAAACCCCACGGGGTTAAAAAAAAAAAAAAAAAAAGCCCACGGTCGCTCGTTTGTCTCATCAGGAGACACAACCACAGCGTGTGGGTCCTGCTGCCGCCTGGCTGGTGCTCAGGAGAAATTCAGAGAGCTCTGAAGCTCAGCCTGGGCTTGGAAATGAGCATGGCAATGAAAATCATGGCAGGGCAAGGGGGAAAACTGCAGCCTTTTTGACCGCAAGAAGTTGGGATGATGCCCACCACCACGTGCCATGCCCATCTCCGTCCTATGAAGCTGGCTGAGGTCTCCTCCCCTCCCTCTTCTCTCTCTTGCAGCTTAAAGGACGTTGACAGCCGTGTACAGAGCCTGCGAGACACCTGCAGCCGCCTGCCCCAGGACAGCTACAACAATTTGAGGTGTTTTGTGGGACGGGGCTTCTCGGACCCCACGCAACCATCGGGGGCAGCCGTTTGGTTCCCAAATGCACGCTCACCGCCCTCTTACCTTCTCCTTTGACCCCACAGGTATCTGATCAAGTTTCTGGCCAAGCTGGCCGAGCACCAGGAGGTGAACAAAATGACCCCCAGCAACATCGCCATCGTGCTGGGCCCCAACCTGCTGTGGCCACAGCCGAGCACAGGGTGAGGTCTGGCTGGGTGGGACGCCAGCTTCCCAGGGGAGGGACCGAGCACTTTTTGGGCTCTACCTCTGCCAAATGAGCACAAAATGGGTTAATTCCCCAAAATCCTTCCCTGATGCCTCCCACTCTTCTGCCTCGCAGAGACCCCGTGCAGCTGGACTTGGCCTCGGTCTCCTCCATCCAGGTGGTGGGCATCGTGGAGGCCCTCATCCAGAACGCGGACACCCTCTTCCCTGGAGGTAGGGCTTCGCTCTGCCTTTCTGTCCTCAGGGGGTGGTGGCACGAGGCACGTCCAGCACGGGCATAGCGTTTCCTGGCCTTTCTCCCCGCCCAGATGTAGATTTCAACGTCTCAGGGATGTTTACGCCGCCCGCGGATGTCAGACTCAGCAAGGACACTCCTACAGAAGAGCCATCCCCCAAATCCCCCGTAGCCAGCTCCCCGGCTCTCCCAGACGAAGAAGGGTAAGTCTGGCAGGAGCAGGGGGCTCCTCACCTCCATCCCACCCCACCCCACGGTTCCGTGTCCTCATGGGGCAGCCAGAGCCTGATTGTCCCCTTCTCCCCCAGCACGAGGGACCCCGAGGTGAGCACCCAGCCACCTTCCACAGAGGTGACCAGACCGTCCCCCGAAGCCACGGTGCCACCAGCCCACGACTCCATCCGCAAAGGTGAGACCATGCAGGGTCAACGTTTGGGAGATCAGTCCACCCCAAACCCACAGCCAGCACCATGACCCTCTGCTTTCTTTCCAGCCAAGCGCCCGGCCCCAGCCCGACCTACAGTGCCACCACCCGTGGCCCAGCCCCGGAGTACGGTCCCTGAGCACGCCACCAGCCCCAAAGCCCGGCCACGACGGATAGGTGCTCCCTCCATCCCGCCACCGCTGCCACCGCAGCCGGCACCGCGCCACAGCCGCGAGTCCCTGACGTCCCCGGGGCCTCCCTCCGCCAAGGCCACCACCACCACCCCAGACTGGGACGAGGGGCCAGCGGGGGGACGGAGCCCCACTGGTGGCATCGCCGATGGAGGAGAATGACTGAGAGAGGTGTGGGGCCACCATCAGCTCCCAGCGGCCGCGGGCCTTCGCCTGCATCCCCGTCCTCATCCTCCACCACGAGCCTTCCTCCCGAGGGGAAGGGGAGAAGGAAGGGGAGGCCCTGTGCCATTTTGCCTGCGGGTGGGAGATGCCTCAGCAGGCACAGCGCCATGTCGCAGGCCTAGCAGGCAGAGGGACAGGCCCGGCAGTGGCTGTTGGCGGGCACACCGCCACCATTCTGCCAACATTTTGCCTCAAAGCTGGGACTGGGAAGAGGAACAGGCAAGCGGTTGGTTCCCCAGTGAAAGGTTTTTATTTAAAAAGAAGCAAAAGAATGACTGCACACACGCACGTGGATGTTTATGTTGAAAGTAGATTTAAAGAGTGGGGGGCATGGGTGTGGATAGTGGTATGGATGTGGGTATGGTTATGGATATGGGTATGGGTATGGATATGGGTATGGATATAGGTATGGATAAAGGATATGGCTATGGCACTGAGTGTGGGTGTGGGTATGGATATGGGTGTGGATATGGATAACGGATATGGGTATGGATAAGGATAATAGATATGGGTATGGGTATGGCTATGGGTATAGATATGGGTGTGGGTCTGGATATGGGTAACGGGTATGGGTAACGGGTATGGATATAGGATATGGCTATGGCTATGAGTATGGGTGCAAGCATGGATATGGGTGTGGATATAGATAACGGATATTGGTATGGCTATGGATATAGGTATGGATAACGGATATGGCTATGGCTACGAGTATGGGTATGGATATGGGTGTGGATATGGGTGTGGATATGGGTATGGATAATGGGTATAGATATGGGTATGAATAACGGGTATAGATATGGGTATGGATATGGGTATGGATAACGGGTATAGATATGGATATGGATAACGGGTATAGATATGGGTACGGATAATGGGTATAGATATGGGTATGGATATAGGATATGGCTATGGCTATGAGTATGGGTATGGATAACGGGTATGGATAACGGGTATGGATATGGGTATGTATAAAGGATATGGCTATGAGTATGGGTGTGGATATGGATATGGGTGTGAATATGGATTATGGGTATGGGTATGGGCATGGATAATGGATATGGGTATGGGTTTGGATATGGGTGTGGATATGGATCATGGATATGGGTATGGGTTTGGATATGGGTACGGGTATGTCTATGCCTATAGGTACGGGCATGCTGCAACTATCCGGGGGGGGGCAAGATGGCGCCCGCGTGCCACCACAGCGCCTTAGCTCCGGCCGCGCCGCCAGCAGGGGGCACCCCCCGGCGGCGCGCGGCGCCTCCTGAACCAATCCGGGGTGGCGCCGGCTGCGGGTCCCGCCCCCCGACCCTTTTTCTCGGGCGGGGAGTGGGCGGCGCGGCTGCCAGTCCCGCGGGGCGCGCCGGCGGGGCGGGAACGGGACCGGGAGCCGGAGCGGGACCGGGAGCGGGAGTCGCAGCATGGCGAGCTGCCGGCGGCTGAGCGGCGCGGGGCTGCGGGAGGTGCTGGGCCCGGCTCAGGGGCTGCTGTTCGACTGCGACGGCGTGCTGTGGGCCGGCGAGAGGGCCGTGCCCGGAGCCCCGGAGCTGCTGGAGAGGCTGCAGCGCAGCGGCAAGGCCGCCCTGTTCGTCAGCAACAACAGCCGGCGCTCGGTGGCCGAGCTGGAGCTGCGCTTCAGCCGCCTGGGCTTCCGCGGGGTGCGGGCCGAGCACGTCTTCAGCTCGGCGCTGTGCTCCGCGCTCTTCCTCAGGCAGCGCCTGGGGGCTGCAGCAGGAGGAGGGGATGGAGGGGATGGGGATGGAGGAGGAGGAGGAGGAGGCCTGGTCTTCGTGCTGGGCGGCGAGGGGCTGCGCGGCGAGGTGCGAGCCGCCGGCCTGCGCCTGGTGGGTGAGGGGGAGGCAGGGGGCGAGGCGGTGAGGGCCGTGCTGGTGGGCTACGATGAGGGCTTCACCTTCGGCAAGCTGGCGCAGGCCTGCGGCTACCTGCGGGACCCCCGCTGCCTGCTGGTGGCCACCGACCCCGACCCCTGGCACCCGCTCAGCGACGGCCGGCGGACGCCCGGTGAGCCCATGGAGTATTAGGGTTATTTTTTGGCTTAGCCACTATCCCGATGTCCCCGCAGGTGCTGAGCCGCTTTCTGCTTTGTCTTTCCCCCCGCAGGGACCGGCAGCCTGACGGCGGCGGTGGAGACGGCCTCGGGACGCAAGGCGCTGGTGGTGGGCAAGCCGAACACCTACATGTTCGAGTGCATCGTGGAGCGCTTCGGCGTCGACCCGGCCCGCACCCTGATGGTGGGGGACCGCCTGGAGACGGATATCCTCTTCGGCAAGAACTGCGGGCTCGCCACCATCCTCACCCTGACGGGTGTCTCCCGCCTCGAAGAGGCGCAGGCCTACATGGCCAGCGACAGTGCCGCCGCCAAGGATATGGTGCCCAATTACTACGTGGACAGCATTGCAGACTTGATACCGGGCCTGGATGAGTAGCAGCCTTCACACGCAAGGGCAGAGGGGTCGGGTTCCCCGTCCCAGATCTCCATCTGTTCCCATTTCCCTCTCACCACCGTGTTCCCTCGTTTCCCCGTTTCTTCACGTTCTGGTACCCTTCTCTGGGGGCAGAAGGAGGGAGGGGCAGGGCTCAAGTTGCCTCCTTTCTGCTGGGAGCTGTCCGGGATGGACAGAGTCCATCCTCCCTCATGTGCCAGCATCTTTGGGAGAGAGCTGGAGGCCTTGAGGCTGACCTGAGGTCAAATCGGTGTTTCTGTACGGCCTCTCCTGCTGCAGGGGTTAGGGAACAGCCGTCTGAGCATTTTTCTCTTAGATAACCAGCGGCGGCCTTTTACTGCTGTCCCTCCACTCGACTTTTGAGCTGCATCCCCACAGCCCTCACAGCAACCCCCTCCTTGCAGGGCATGTGGAAGGAGCGTGCTGGAGCGATGAACGAGAACATCTCTGCCTCCCACGAGCAGAAGAGAGCATCACCTCGCCTCATCTCTCCCCTCTTCCTTAGATATGTTTCCCCTATCACCTCCTGCCCTGACTCGGTTAACAACCGTGCCGATGTCTGTCTGAAGGACTGTGGAAAGGGAAGAGAGACTTGTCCTTGTCCCTTTTTTTTTTTTTTTTTTTGTGTGCCAAGCAACTCAGACAAGCTGTGGCTGCGCACAGTGGGTCTGTGGTTGTACTTCGTTTTCAAGCACCCTTTTCCAAAGGGGCTTGTGAAGGAGAGAGGGCTTCTAGACCTCAAAAGCACAGCAGGAGCGAACTGTACAACTCTCCCCTTCCTCCCCCTTCTCAGTGGATTTTGCCATGGTGTGGTGAGAGAAAAGGGCTGACGGGGGGGTGTCTGTGCTCCGGCTGCTGCTGTGCAGGTGAGATGTTGTTGGTATTGTCACTGCTGTGAATGTGTCGCAGCCCTCGAACCATTCCTTGCTGCTTCGTCTTTCTACGTTTGTTTTTTTTTATTATTATTATTTATTGATCTCAATTATCAGACTTATTTATTGTTCAGATATTGTATTATTTGTATAAATGATGCTGACTGTTTGCACCAAGGGGGCGGGGGACGGTTTATCTGGGCCTCCCTGGCTGTACACGTCCCGTGTTGATGTTCTTACACTCACTGTGTCTCTGTATATAATAAAGTGTGAGCGTAGGCTGGACGTGGCCTCCTTTCTTCGCCTCTAGCCCCACCGAGATGAGAATGGCCTGGGTTACCTGAATGGAAGACTGCATTTAAAGTCCTTCATAAGGGAGCTAAATCCTTCCCTTGCTTAAACCTCTGTTGCTGGTATCCCAGCTTCTCCTATCTTGCTTGCAAGATCAGCTGTTGGGATGGATAAACACCCTCGGTGTCAGATATTGCTGTGTTAGCTCATGTGGCACAACCAGATGCGATTGGGTGGTGCTAGGAGAATCCCACGTGTTGAATGTCTTTTTTTTTCTGTTGTTTAAGCCAAAATGACTTAGAGAACAGCCCTCCAAAACAGAACGACATCCAAAGAGCTCTCTGAAGACTGCCTGTCGTCGTAACTTGTCCCCTTTGTCTGTCTGTCTGTCCCTTTTGTGCCTGCCATCTCTGATTTGATACCCAGAGGAATGGTACTTGCTTAACGAGTCTCCGATCACCTCTTCAATGACCAAGCAGAGCAAGATCTAATGTGTCTGCTAACTCCAGTTGCCTAATTAGAGGGATACCCAGACCCCAATTCACTGGGGCCACAAGGCAGGAGTCCACACGCTGCTTCTCCCCAGTGGTGGAAGCAGAGGGATCAGTGCTGCCTCCAGCCACTGGGCTGCTCTGTTGAGCCCTGCGTGGGGCTGAGAGCAGCAATTTTGGGATCCACCAGATCCGGGCTGCTTTTCTGTGGCTTTCCTCCACTAAAGCCTCTGGTGCCGAGGGGTCTAGGATCCCCAGGGGATCATGCCTGTCTAAACTGAAACAAGCGATGGCTTCTGCCTGGGTAGGCTGATTCATTCACCTAAAGCAGTTTTCCTTCTTGGGCTGAGTGCTCAGCGAGACGCTGCAGTTGCCAGGGAGAGCAGGGCTGTGGGAGCGCATGGGCGGATGGAAGGGATGGGGAGCTTGTTTTGGTGTGGAGAACAGCCTTTTATCTTCTCTCCCGAAAGCTGCAGCATCCCTTCCCGCTGTGCAATGAAGACGCCACCCCTGCAAGGCGCGTGGCAGCCCTTCAGTTATCCGAGGAGCCCGGCATCCATCCTGCGAGCGCTGTTACTGTGGCAACCCCCGGCTGGTGCTGTCAGCAGCAACCCGCGGAGCATCGCCGGCTCTAGGCAAGGCTCGTGGAGAGGCAAGGGCTGCAGCACGCCTGATTTGAAGGCAGGTAACCTGGAAGCGATCCCTGTGTGCTCCTCTGTGGCTGTCTGCTCCTTTCCGCCACCGCTTTGGGACCTCCAGCTGGGCAGTGCTCACCAGCCTGACTTCTCGGGCACCGAGTCGTCAGCACCTTGCATTTCCCCGTGTTGAACTCCATGGGGTTCCTGTCGGCCCATTTCTCCAGCTCGCCGAGGTTCCTCTGGATGGCAGCACAACCTTCTGGTGTGGCAGCTGCTCCCCGAGGTTTTGAGTCATCTTCTGGGAGCTTGCTGAGGAAGCATTCCCCTCCATCACGCAGGTGGCTAACGATGAGCGAAGACAGGACCGGGGCCCGTGCTGACCCCTGGGGTACAGCGCTGGTTCCTGGCCTCCAGCGAGGCTTCTTGCCACCCACCAGCACCCTCCGGGCTTGTCTGTTCAACCAGTCCTTGATCCACCTCGCCTCAGCCTGCGCTTTAGCTGCTCCTCTGTCAGGATCTGAGGAGGGGACCTGCTAAGGAGAAAGGGAAGGATCTGGAAGGTGTTGGGACTGGCAGGATAGAGGAGTTTGTTTGTTTATTTATTTATTTATTTATTTATTTATTTATTTATTTATTTATTTATTTTTGCATGGGAAAGTTCCTCCGGAGCCAAGGCGGGCTGATGACGATCCGAGGAACTCGCTCGGTACTCGTCCAACCTGATGCCAGGAGGAGGCTCCCCCCTTTGCCAAGGCAGGCACCTCAGGCACCACCCTGTCCTGCAGCACGGGGCGCAGGGAGGAGGAGGAGGAGGAGGAGGAGGCGAGGAGCAGCGAGCAGCCTGTTCCTGCCTGCCCCGAGAGGCAGCAGCCAGCGGTGGCTCTCCCTCCAGCAGCACACGGGGGGTAAGGAGCCTCCTCCGCTGCCTCTCCTCGCTCCCTGCTCAAGGTGTTGTCCCCTCCGTGTCCTGCAGGCGTCTGGGTGCCCCGCTGCCATCCCGTTGTACGTTCCTTCCTTGTTGTTTTTCGTTTCACAGCGTGGACTCTGACCCCAGCAAACTCACCCAGCCTGCAACTCGCACAGCTTTACGCTGCCAGGCTTTGCTGGGAATTGTGCACAGGTGACGTGTTGGAAGTGCTCCTGGGCGACAAGCTAGCTCGGCTCTCCATACCCCCCCTGTGAGACGCTGGATCAGTTGAGAACAATTAAAAACCATTAATAACTGCACCAGATTAGAGAGTTGTATCGACCTTTGTAGCTTCAGTGAGCCACTACAGCCAAGCACAGGCAGCTCCATAAGGCCTGAGCGTGGAGACGAGGGAGGTGATGCAGGGAACAGCCCCCGGATTGCCCGGATGAGTTGTTCTGCCCAGTGGCTGTGACTTAGGCACCCGAAGCGAGCTGGGTGCTGTTTGCTGGTTCCTCGGGGTGCTCTCTGCTGTTGCACACGTTAGGGAGTCTTAGAGGATCCCCCCTGCTACAACCACGCTGGTTGTGGTCCTGGCCGGGTGCCCTTTCTCCACGAAGCAGAGGTGTTCCTGACTTGGCGTCCTCCAATGCGTTGAGGTTGCTGATTCAGCCGACGTCGAGCAGAGCCCAGAAGTGGGGTGGAGCCGTGCCAGGCCCCGTTCGTGCGCTCACCAAATTTTGGAGGTGGAAACGTGAAGGATGGCACCGTGCTCCTGTTCGGCACGCCGGCACAACCGCCTGCCCGCACGGCCTGGGTCACACTGAGACTGGCACGTCCCGTGGGATGGGCACATCCTACATCCTATACCTCCCCACAGGGTTTAGGCTGAGCTTCTTGGGGCTCGCTGCCTTGTAATTCCCCACAGTCAGTCTCTTTCGTTGCCTGCTCCGTTTGGCAGGGGGTTGCTCGCCCAAATTTCTCAGCTCGGGAGGGCCGGTGGCCAGCGGGGCTGCGTCCCGGGGAGAAAACGGCGCACGATGCGGCCCCGCGGGCTGGCTCCAAGTCACGGCTGCCCTTTGTGTGCACTTAATCAGCTCCGGCTGCGGCTGCCTGCAGCGCCTGGCATCTGCTGCCCTGCCTCCCGTTGCTCTTAGCGGGGCCTCGCCTCGGCCTGCGTCCCCCCCCTTGGCTCTGCTCTGGCTGCCAGGGTGCGATCCGTGATGTTAACAGCACCGGGCAAACCCAGCAAACCAGGCCAGCCCATCACTGCAGATCTCACCCATGCCCAGCAGACTGCTAGCAGAAAGTCTTATTTTTTCTTTTTCCCTTTTTTTTTTTTTTGGAAAGCCTGCCTTTTTTCAGAAAGCACCCCATTTCCCCGCAGAGCGGTATCACTCTGAGCTAGCGGCCACCTTCCCGGGCGCACGAGGTGCTGGCACCCTCACCAGCTTCTGCTTCTGGGGACGGCAGCGCTGACCCAAGCATCTCGGTTTCGTTCTGAGGGGCACAGCATCCATCCCCCAGCTGAGCTGAGCAGCACCCTGACCTTCTCGCAGCTCTTCCAGGGACCAGGGGAGGTCAAACTTTGGTGTTAGCGGGGAGCTGTGTTGGTGCGGTGCCTCCCGGCCCAGCTGCAAGCTGTTGGGCAGGGATCCCCTCCTGTCCAGGGCCGTTTTCATCCTCCCACCGTGCTGTAAATGTGGCTGGAGCTCTGTTTTCACGGAGTGGGAAGGGTGACTCCGCGGGGAGCTGGTCACAGCCTGCTGGTTTGATTCCCTCCCTTCTCTCAAGCTTCCCAGCCGTGCTGGGATGAGAGCCAGGCTTCCTTCCAGAAAAAAAATGGGATGGATGGAGGCTGAGGAGCCCAGTTCTGCACCTGGGTCCCCTTGCGAGGGGGCTGGAGCCAGCAGCATCCCAGGGGATGACGCACCCCAGCACCTCCCTCTGCCTCCAAGCGGCGATAGCATCAAGCGGAGCGCCCTGCACTTTCTCTCCCCGAGCAGCACGTCTGCTCTGCCCGCCACACCTCGGGGAAGGCAGGGAGCCCAGCCCTGCCGAAACATCCTCCTTTTCCAGCAGCTCCCAAAAAAAAAAAAAAAAAACTATTCAAGGGAACCCCTTTCTTCGGGATCATCATCGCAGACTCGTCGTCTTTGCGCACCTCGCTCGCTGACAAACAGCAGGCGGCTGAGTTTCGGTCTGCAGGGTGTTGCAGGAGAAACGTGCCCTTATTCCACAAGCATTATTCTCCAGAGCCCCGGCTCTTGGGAGAGCTGAAACCAGCACCTGGGCTGCCCCGACATGTTGGAGCACAGCACCCGCTTGCAATCTGCATATTAAAACGCAGCGAACAAACCTCTGCCCGGCATGTCTCAAAAGGCGCTTTTGCAGACAGCAACCCCAGACGGGTAATATGCCTCAGCAGGTGGTTTCTAGGCTTGAAATAGGCTTAATAAATGGCAGGTTGCTTTGCTCCTGCAAGGATGCTGGTTTGGGTATTACAGCAGCGCGGAGCTGGTGATCACAGCCAGTCCGTAGCCTGCAGCTCTCCTGCACGGCAGTAACAACACAGCCGAGCCTCCAGCAGCAAGCGGGAGTTGCATTTTCTTTCCCCTTGCGCTCCCAGTGCCAACCATTAGCCCGGGAATACTCCTTACCTAAAGCACGGGGTCATGTTTTAGCAAAATACTGCCTTTTTCTCCCGCAGCACTTTCAGTGGGCTGGCGCTGCCGGCCCTCTGGGTGGCATTAGCCAACCTCCAGCCAAGCGGTGGCAATCCTTCCCCCCCTAGAGCCAGCGTCTGCTGAGCTTGTAGGTCTGCTTTCGAAACATGTCATTTCTTCAAGTTCAGGTTTGAGGGCTCGCCGGCAGTGCCTGAACAGCGCATGCTGCACCCCAACACTTCTACTTTTCTTCTCTTTCTGCTTCTTTAACTGTATTTATTTAAAGAAAAAATGGAAATTCAATGCACCGGCCCGAATTCCATTTCCCATTTCTTTTCAAAAGCAAATTATCGGTTTCAAGCTGCGTGGCGGAGTTGGACGAGGGCCCTAACCGTACTTTGCCTGCAGGAGAGCTCATATCTCCTCCTGCTTATCTCCCGGCCCTCCCTGCGCGGCAGGGCCGGTCTGGTTCAGCAGCTGCTGCCCTACATGACGCAAGGCTTTTCTCCACCTGCGTCTGCAGCTGAGGGAATCCCTCTACGTACAACAACCACCTGGGCCAGGCTGTGCCACTGCCAGCAACATCCCTGCATCCAAAACAAGGGGGTCCTTTCCTAAAGCACCCGGCCACCTTTGCTTGCGTCGCTTTGCTTTCACTCGCCGTCCTGTGCCTAGTGGCCCTCAACCAAAAATGCAGCACGAAGCCTCCACAAGTAGCCGAGGTGTTGCTGGCTTTAAAGATCTGCTAACTCCACCACTTCCATGGAGTCAGGCTCCTTCATGCCTGAGTTAATCGAAGGCTTGGGGTTTTTTTTGCTGCACCATCGCTATTTCTAGCACCGTCAGTGGCTTCTCACTCTACTTGCATGCTAGGAAAGCGCTTGAATGGCTCGGGACAATGATCTCCAGGGGCTGGCACGGGGTGATCCGTGCTGCCCACCCCCTGCCCAGCACCTGGCTGGGATGCTGAGCCCATCCTGCAGCCACGGGGAGCCCACCCCAGCCAAGAGACCAGGTGCACAAACCAGGCTGTGCCCCGAGGGGGTTCATCCCCTGGAGGCGAGATGGAGCCCGATGTGAGCTCCTCGTGGTGGAGGTGTGGGGGTGGAGGTGGGGAGCACCGATTTGGGATACTCCCCGGCCGCACTTTGAGGTGTGTCCAACACATCCCGATGTCGTTAGCGTGAGCAGGACTCATCCCCGCTTCCCCAAGCTGTAATTTCAGGCTCTCCCAGATAAATCACCATGCCCGGGTACCCTTTGATAACATTTGTGGAATTATCTTCACCACCGGGGAACATATTTCCATACTGATTAAATGAAAGCAGAGAGTCCGGAGTCAGCAAGAGCAGGAGCCTTACAAGCAGCTCTCGTTCCAGGAAACTGGATGTGGTTGGAAACATTGCAGCAGGAGAGCTGGAGAGATCCTGCTGTGGCTCACTGGAGACGTGAGGCCCGGAGCCTGCGAGATAATAAACCCGAGTTCGGCGCACCTAATCCTGAATTCAAAAAACCACAGCTCACGTAACACGGAGTGGATGAACAGGTACAAAGATGCTCTCCCAGTGGAAAGATGTTGCAAATAAATCACCGAGGGGGTAATTGCTGCCTAAACAGGCCCTTGCCAGCTGGGGAGTGATGCGTACAGGTGGACCTCGCTCACGGGCTTTTCGGCCAGGCCCTTCTCCAGCTCTCCAAGGTCATGACTCAGGATGCCCAGTCCATCACTGCCTCCTTCACAAGCAGGTTTGGGGGCAGATCTTCCTTCTTCTGCTTCAGATGCTTGCCTGACCAGGATATTTCTTTGGCAGCTGCCAAACCACCTTGGATAGAGCCACCCAACAGCTCAACCCAATGCCCATCGGGTTGGCTCAACCCCTTAGCTTGCAGTATCTGGGCTCCAGCCCTCGGCACGCAGGATCCATCCAGGTATGCTGATCCGTAGCAATGCCTATCAGCGAGGCCAGGAGGCAGACCTTCAATCAAAGCCACCCGCGGTGATGAAACTCACCTTTAGCAATCGTGTTTCCCACTTCAGCCCAAGCTGAATTACAGCCTGGATGTCGGGAAGGGTGGGGATGGCCATGAGGGAAGCTGGAAGCTCGAGGAACGGTGCCACCTCGGCATGGGGAGCTCAGCACAGGGGCTTTTGGCATCAGGCTGAGGCTCTGAGGGAAGAGAGGCGATGAAAACCATGGGCAGACCCACCAACAGACGGGGGTCTGGTTCCTTCTGCGGGAACGGTGGGGTCACAGCCAGCAGCAAAGGACGATCTTGGGCCCCAAGGGCAGCAGCAATTGTCTGAGGATTGTCTGAGATTTCTCACCAGCAAGGGCAATTTGTGCTTTCCTAAGAGGAGCGAGGAGACGGGGACGTTGTGCAAGGAAAGGGCTAACGAGAGGGCAGCGAGTCGCTCCAGGAGCCAGGCTGCCTCTGAAGCACGAGCCGCAGAGGTGCCCTGGGTCAGGTCCTGAGTGTGATGCCCAACCCCTAGCACAGGACACGCTTGGAAGGGTCTCTCTTTGCTGTGATTTCTGGCCTCATGCTCACGTAGATGTGAATTTGGTCTGCCCCTGCCACAGCAGGGACATCACAGCCTGGAAAAAGCAGGTGCAGTCATAGATACCACTCGCCTCACACTCTTAACCAGAATTAGTATCCCACAGGCAACGCTCCCTCCATATCTGTGGCTCTCTCTGGCCAAAGAGCTTGGCATGGCCAAGGGCATTCTTTGCAGCAACAGCATAAGGTCAGCTCACTCCCTTTGGCCTGGATAAAGATGACCTTTTGCTTCCCAAGATCCGATCAAGATCAGTGTCTCTGCCTGTAATACAAGGGAAGGGGCTGCAGTGCAGTGCAGGAAAGCTCTCCTGGTGAGGAAGAGCCTGGCAGGAGAAGGCTGGAGGAGAAGAGACCCACAGCAGGACAATCCCCGTGCCACCAGGGTCTTCCGTGACCTATCTTCATCTTCCTCACCTCCATCCTCAGCAGACCGAATGTGCTGATAACCCTTCCCCTGGTGGCTGACCAGCCGCACGCTGCTAAGGACCGAGGTGATGGGAGGTGAAGATTACCAGCTCTAACTAGCCTGGCTCTGCCTTTCTCAACCCACAGCGGCCCTTCCCGTGCCAATCCTCTCCCGAAAATAACGGGCAAGCACCTCTGCATCTTCAGGGCGGTGGAAGGGGTGGCAGGGACCTTCCTTTCCTTGAATTTCCTTGTAAGGATGCCAATCCTGGAGCTTTAGGTTTTGTCACCTGTTTTTGTTGCCTGTTAGCCATGAGCTGCTCTCTCATCTTCCCAGCAGCTTTTGGAGAAAGGTCCCTGGACGTGCATGACTCAAGGGGCTGGTGGCTGCTGAGGCTGGGTTATGGTGCACACAACCTATCCTTCACCTTTTGAGTGGCCTCTCCCCTCTCCAGCCCTAAGTGAGCAAATATCTAGAAAATCCCCTTCTCCACCCATCATTTCTCACCTTGACACATGGAAGGAGCCAGGCTCCAGGGCTGAACGCCGTTTTCCAGAGCAGGGGTTGGAGAAACCCACAGCTGAGAGACGGGGAAGGAGACACATTTTGGCCTTCACTCCATCTGTTTGTAGAGCAGAAGGGGTCAGCAACCTGGCCAAAGGCTGGAGCCTTTCCATGCCCCCCTGAGTTCCAGCAGGGAGGAGTTTCTCCTCTGCTGGCACTGCTGGCACCAAATAAAAGTACCCAGGAGAAAAAATACCCAGCCTTTGGGGTCGTGCCTGATGGGGGTAAGAGGGATGGGGACTGTCACGTCCTGAGCAGATGGGGAACTGATGGGCCTCAGAGAAAGAGAAGAAGAAAGCATTTCAGCGTGTTTCTGTTCTGGGCCTCTTGAGGAAATCGCAGAGCGTCTTGTGATTTAGAGACAAATATGCAAGACAAGGAAAGCTTTAAGCCACAAGCCTGGCCCGCTGCCCGATTTTTTTTCCCCTCCTCTTTCAGCATAATTACAGTTGAGCCATGTAGTAATTGGGTAACTTTTTCCAAAGGAATCTTTTCACTCGGGTGAGTCATACTTGCCACAAAGGGAACGTGGAGGCAGCTAAAAGACGTGTAAACCCGATGTTTTATGATCACGGAGCGTTTTGCCCCCATCTCCTTGTTCCTCAGCCCCTTGGATGTGTCCAGAATTGGTGCAAGAGCACTGAGCATTCTTGGATGATCCCTCTCCACCCCTCCGAGAGGGTTTCCTCCAGGTTTGCTGTGCCCTACAGCCACAAAACACGCACACACATGGTTTTGGGGGCGCTTAGGGGTTCTGCAGAATAGGGGCTGGTGTCCCTTCGTTGGCTCCAGTACCTACAAGGGCTGGTGGTAAGGGCTGGGTCAGCAGCTGGGGGACAGCAAGGCTTGATGGTGCAGCTGGGAGCCCCTGGATCCTGCATCAGCTCCTGGGGTTTCACCTGGACTGCAGGGAGTTTCGGAGGCACCGTGTACCCCCAGTGGTATTCCTCCTGCTCCCAGTTTAAGTGGAGCTGAAGAGCCCAGCCCGCCCCCCAGTCTGAGTCCCTCTGACTGTTTTCCATGTGGGATCAAAACCTTGGAGAGCAAAACTCTCATTCTAGAACTATTTTCCATTGGCTTGGAGGCCACACGCGGCTGGATCTCCTCCTGGAGCCGGCAGCCTGCTTGGAAGGGCTGGGATTTAGCATCCTGGAGAGGGGCCTGGGTGAGGGTGGGAGGAGGCAGCCATGCCTGACAGGTCCTCCCTCCCCAAAAACCAACCCCTCCCTCTCCATCCTCCATCTGATTGGCGAGCTGGGTGGGGAAAGGGCTGGCACAACTCAGCTCTCCATCTATTTAAAGGCCAGGGTGGGGCCCCTGAGCTACTTGCCTGGGACTTTTGCACCTTGGAGGAGAGGAGCAGCAGCCCACGGAGCAGCACCATGTCTTGCGTGAGTGCAGGGAGTGATGGGGAGCTGCAGGGGCAGCTTTTTTGGGGGTGCTGCTTCACGGAGCAGGACGACGGGGGAGATGTTGGCTTGGCAGGAGGGTGCTTGCACGATCCTCCTCCAGCTGCTCATCTCTCCCTGTGCCTGGGTGCCTGCTGCTGGGGGGAGCCAGGATCCCTGCTACATCTATTACAGAAGGGTGGCTGCTATTTCTCCTTCTGGCAGGGGAGATTTTTCCCTGCAGGGTCCCTTTGGGGAGGAATGCGGTGAGGGTCCTTGCTAGGTTGGTTCCCAAGCCGGGGGAACCTGCTTTATAGCCGTTCTGCTCTGGGGAAGTGTCTGCAGTAAGATTTATTGCTCTCTGAGCATCTCCTCTCCTGGGCAGCCTTGCCACTTGCTTCCTGGCTGCAGTTTTCATGAGTCACTCCGTTATTATTTCTCGTAAGAAAATGCGCTCTCCTGAAGCGTCCTGTGAGCACCAAGGGCTGCTGGAGGGCTACTTGTGTCAGCAGAGTGTTTGCACTTTGATTTCTTTCATCAGACTGAAGGGGGGGGAAAAATCAGGGAGTGTCCCAAGTGCAAATGAAATTGGGGTGGGGGAGAAGCTCTTGCATTCTTGTGCTCTTGCCTCTGGTGCTATTAAGAAACAAGTACCAGGGTATTTTCCTTCTAGAGAAAGCAGGGAAAAGTGCATGCATGGAGCAGGAAAAAGCTCTTGCAAATGTTAAACTTGCAAATAAAAGCAAAAAAAAAAAAAAAAGAAGCCTTTGGAAGCTGGGGAGCAAAACTTCTGGCTGTCCCTGCACAGCCAGGCTTCTGTGGGATGTCATGAGACCCACAAGGCACATGGGTGTGTTCAGGAGAGGGTGGGTGTGATGGGAGCTCCCAGGTACTCTGCTCACTGCCACGAAACACAGATATGTTGATGAGAGCAGCAAGAGGAAGGTTGGGAAATCAGGCAGATGGTCTGTGTGACTGGGGGGACTTCTTGAGGGAGTCCCGTGCGCCTGGCCCTAGGGGAAGGGAGCATCCCTGTCCCTCCAGCGGGGAGAGCTGCCAAATCAGAGCAAGGGAGCCAGCAGGTACTGACCTAACCTTCTCTGTCTTCTTGTTCCTCAGGGACCTGTGTGCACCAACCTGGGCCTCAAGCCTGGCCAGCGCCTCACAGTCAAGGGGACGATTCCACCCAACGCCAAGAGGTAAGCTGTGCCGAAGCCCCGAGCTGAGCAGGCTTCCCTCGGTCCCCAGCAGGGGAATCTTGTCCCTTGGGTGGGAGAGGAGCTGCTCTCCGAGGGGTTAACCCCGGCAGCAGTTCCTAGTGAGTCACTGCCTAATGTACACTGCAGACGTGGCTCCGCTGCCAAGGGGCTAAGCCAAAGCAGATGTGAAGCCCCAGCTGCATTAACTGGCAGTGACCACATCCTCTCTAGCACAGGGTGAAGGAAATTGAAGCTGTATCTGTGCTGAGATACAGCTCGAGACCAACCCAGCATCCTCTCCCCTGCCTGAAGGTGGCCTAGGAGCAAGGGCACTGTTACTGCACCTTGGGCAGAAGATTCTGTCCCGAGGAATGGGGAGATCTTGGGTGCTCTGCTGCCATGGATGCTCAGAGCCAAAACTCCCTCAATGGTGTAAAGGGAAAGGCTGCAGCCCTCTCACAAGTCTGTGGCTGGTGGGGCCCCTTGGTGAGCAAGGTGGAGCCCGTAGCTGCTGTACCAGCACTCGTGGTGTTCCAGGAAACATGTTCCAGCTCTTCCCAGCGCCTTTGAAGTTTGATACCATTGGTGTGAAGCCTCCTGGGCTTTCTCTTGCCAAACGAAATGCCTCCTCACTTCTCATTTCAGTCAGAGGCCTGAAGGCAAGGTGGACACTGGGCTGGGAAGCTGTTTCCTCCCACTGCCATTGCAAGATGCTCTGGGATAGCTAATGAGATGGTAATTACTTCAGCTGCCTGCAGGGCTGGGAGAAGGCAGTGGCTGTCAAGCAGGGTGCAGCCCCAGCTAACTGTTTGAGGCTGGAAGGAAAGCTGGGACGAGCAACTGACTCCCTGGGAGCAAAACTGCACAGCTTTCCTAAGGGATTTCTCCTTGGACACCCTCCTCTGGGCTTGCGGGAGCAGGCCCAGAGGCAGTCATGGTGATGAGTGACATGCTACTGTGGTGTCTGTCTCCTTTCCCTGCAGCTTTGTGATGAATCTGGGGAAGGACGCGACCCACCTGGGCCTTCACTTCAACCCCCGCTTTGATGCTCACGGCGATGTGAACACCATCGTGTGCAACTCCAAGAAAGTGGAGGAGTGGGGTGCGGAGCAAAGGGAGACGGTCTTCCCTTTCCAGAAGGGAGCCCCCGCAGAGGTGAGACCTGGGATGTGGTGAAGGGAGGGCGTTTGGCACCCAACTGGCTTCTCCTGCTTGGCCAGTGCCACCCTCCAGGGCTCTGAGCAGTGGTGATGGGTGAGGATCAAATGTGCAAGCTCCATCTAGCTCCAAGGGATGTTTCTTTTGAACTGAGCAGGGAATAGGCATCGCTTGGGACACCAGAAGCATGCTGGTGCTGCTGAAGAGCAGGTTATGCTGCTGAGCATGTTCACCTTGCAGAGCAGAAGGGTTGAGAGCATCTTGGCAGAAGCTTTCTCTGACTTCTCCCCTTATTTTGCAGGTCACTTTCAGCATCAACCCAAGTGATGTGACCGTCCACCTGACGGGCCACCAGTTCACGTTCCCCAACCGGCTGGGTCTTTCTGTCTTTGATTACTTCGATACACACGGGGACTTCACGCTGCAGTCCCTCAGCTGGGAGTAACTCCCTCTCCTGTTTCAAATACACCTGTTTCGAGTACAAAAAAGCCATCAATAAACATGTTTTGGTCTACCACGTCTCAAGCTAATTTTTGCAGGCTTATAGGGGTTAGTCAGCTGGGGGACTTGGAGTGGTATAACCTGCTCTGCTGGCGTATCACACGTGGGTGAGATTAACTAAATATAGCCTGGGCCCTTGATCTCATGGGTGGAGAGGAGGTTGGTGGGGGCAAGAGCCTGGGAAGGCAAGGTAAAAATGTTGGGAAGAGTCCCAGTAGGAAACAGTATGGTGTGGCCAGATGTGACTTGCTTCTGCACAGGAATAGCAGGGGGAAGGAATGTCTTGCTGGCCTTGGGAGTGTCTGCAGTGGGCTCTTCATCCAAATAGTATGAATAATACTTCTGATACCCCTTCACTCATATATATGAGTATTTCTCGGTCTACTGTGAGGCTGGCCTCTGAAGGGGCAGAAGAAGATGAAGCGTGCTTGATATTACAGCATATTGCTCACTGGGCTGTGGCTTACCCAAGGCATCAGCCAACAGCTGCCTTGGGGGCTTTCTTAGCCTAATGCTAATTTAGCAGTAACGATGAGTGGTGTGCCTGGTGGAGCTGGGATGGAAGCACGCAATCTTTGGGTCCTTGCTTCCAGGCTGGCCACAAGCAATGTGAAAGACAATTTGATGTCCTGCAAGGTTGCCCTGCAGGCCTGGCCAGCGTAATTCCTCCCATTAGGCAGTTGCAGAGCAGCTGGTGCACGGGAGCTTGTTCCTGGGGCAGCAGCACCTCTTGTTCTTGCTCCATAATTCATGAGGATCTGCCAGGTCCTGTGTCCCAGGTACCCATGCAGAGAGAGGTTTGGCTGCTAGGAATTGGGGCTGGGGTAGAGGAGAGAGGCAAGTTGGAGACAAAGGCTTGAGATGGGCTTTTAGGATGGGAGGCAGGAACATTTAGGGAGTAAAACCAGGCTGAGACTCTGCAGCTGGATTGCTTTTGGAGCCTCGTGTTACTCAAAGCCAGGCTGCTCTGGATCACATCCTCTTCTTTAGGGCTACATCTATAATAGGAAACGCAGCATCTAGCATTGCCACCCTGTGCGTGGGCACTGTTGGGGGTCAGCGTAGCCTGGGCACTTCCAATGTGGTGATATGGATGAGGCCAAATTTTCTGGGGATGAGAAGAGAGTTTAGCTGTGTGGAAGTGAGCCATGCTGGGCTAGATGGTCTCAAGGCAAGAAACCTGGCCCAGTTCATGGTGTGGCATTGTCCCAGCCTGGGATACATTCAGTAGGACAGAGGGTTGGGGATCTCCTTGACCACAGTAGGGACACGGTACTGGTGACAGGCCCTTTCGTAAGCTGTGATGAAGGACACGTAGAGAAGCTCTCTCCTTGTAGCTTCCTGTGCTGGACTGACCTTGAAAGTTAGGCAGACATGCTCTCCTCCCTGAGCTGTACTGCGGGGCAATCTCACATCCCACAACGTCTCCAAACCATACTTGGAGAGTCCAAAGACTCTTCAAAGATTTCGGTGAGGGTGGGTGGAGAAAAAAAAAAAAAAGCTGAATGAGAGTTTCGCCACAAGCCAGAGGATGCACTTTAATCAGGTCTCCCACTAGCGTGCCTGCTTCTCGAAGTGACTCACCGGTCCTGTGAAATCTGTGAGTCACTGTTGTCCCTGTTTTGTTATGGCTCTGTCCGTTGCCAGCGAGGAGGTGAGGGTGGTGAGAGATCCTTGGTGGTATAATTTAGACATACAGAGGTTGACTGCTCCCTTCCACCTACTCCCTGGCCTTGCACGAGGCGGAGGCCAGCACGTGAGGGCTGGGAGGATGAGAGTTGGGACTGACTCCTCACCATGAGCATCCTCAAGCAGCCTCACAAAGTGCGAGGCATGAAGGGGAACGCACCAGATTGACGACAAGGATGGAAAACACCACAAGCCAGCACTGAAGACAAGGAATTTTTATTTCATGTCTCAACTCCCACAAAAGCCTGGGAGGTGCCGCTCACCCAGGGAGCTGCTCAAGACCTGGGGCTTCCCACATTTTCCCCCAACATTTCCCCAGAAGCCAGGGGGATGCTGTGCCCTCCCATGGCATCAAGGGAGGGTGTTTGGGGCCACGCCATCCCTGACCCTCTGTGGCCAGGGCGCCGGTGGTAGCTGCTGGCCAGCAGGGTGTAGAGGAAGGGGTTGATGCAGCTGTTTCCATAGGCCAGGCAGGTGACACCAAAATTTAGATAGGCCTGGGCGGTGGGGCCAATACCCAGCCCCTCGCCCTGGTACAACCCAGCCAGCTGCCAGCCCCAGAAGGGGAGGAAGCAGGCCCAGTAGGCCACCACGATGGCAGAAATCCTGGAGGAAAGACGCCGGCTGGGAGCCCGGCCAGCCGCCGGCAGCCCCGAGGGCCAGGCGGAGGAGCGGTAGGCCCGGGCCAGGCGGGTGTAGACAATGCCCAGCACCATGCCGGGCACCAGGACGCTGGTGGCGAAGAGCACCGTCAGGTAGAGGCGGAAGGCTGCCGGCGTCCAGGTGGGGACGCAGATGCGCTTGTGGGGGCCGTCCCCCTCCCGCAGCTGGGTCATCGCCATCATGGGGGCCGTCAGCAGGAGCGCAAGGAGCCAGAGGACGGCGCTGGCCAGCCTGCGGTAAGCGTTGCCGGCCCGCCTGGCCCGCAGCGGCTTGGTGACGGCCCAGTACCGCTCCAGGCTCATGGCGGTCAGAAGGAAGATGCTGGCGTGCATGGTGAGGAGGTCCAGGCTGAGCAAAATCCTACAGCCCGCGTCCCCGAAGAACCAGTCGTGGGCAAAGTAGGTGCAGAGCACGAAGGGGATGGTGGAGAGGTACAGGAGGTCGGCCAGGGCGAGGTTGATCACGTAGACCCCCAGGGAGCCTGCTGAGCGGCCCGACACCCTGCCGGAGGCCACCAGCACCGTGTAGATGTTCCCGACCATCCCAACCAGGCACACCAGCAGCAGCACTGTGCCCAGCGGCCCCGTGACGGGGCTGTCCTCTCCCAGGACACTACTGCTGTCACTCCCACCGCCGCTTTCCTCCGAGAAGCTGCCACCCTCAGGATCCTCTCCAGGCCTGACACTGATGAGGGCAGGGTCACGAGACATCTTGGGGATTGTGGTGGGAGAGCAATCGGGCTGTGAGAGACCTGTTCCTTCTCTCTGCCCTCCCTGCTTGCTATACGAGACACCAATATTCCTAAGGGAAGCCCAGATAAATGGCGTGAGCTCCGCAGACGTAAGGTGCTCCAGGGGAGTCTATTCCTCACCTCCAGCCATACAGTCCATTTTGCTTATCTTGTCCGTCACAAGCTCCGTCCAGCGGTTTTCATCAAATAACGGCCGAAAAAGGGACGCCACCCTCCCCTTCCAGGCTGACAGGTGTAAAGTAACCGCTGCCAACCCAGAGGAAAGGTCTGTGCTCTTCACCAGCTCCTCGCTTCTTGCTCCTCCAGTGTTTGCTGGGCAGAAAAACAGCCGACTCCACGGACAAGTGGGTTTCTCCTTCTCCCTAGCCTCTGTTCTTTCAGCTCAGATGCTGAAGAGATGTGACCCCCTCCCACCCCCCTTAACCCACCCCTGGAGAGCCTTGCCCACTGCACAGGAATGTGTCTGACTCACAGCTTCACACACCGGTGTGATCCCAGTCCCAGTTCATACCATGCTGCTAGCCACCGGCTGAGGAGCCGTGATGGCTCCCTCCTGTCTTTCAGACACGCTCCTTCTTCCTCAGAGCCTTCCTCCTGCTCTCTCCTCCTTCTCCTTCTTTTCTCCCTTTCTTTTTCCTTGCCCAGTTTTCCTCCTGTGAGGCAGGATAGATAAGCTACCCCAGGCTGGCAGGAGGCAAAAGAATTGTGCTGTGGCTTTAGAAGGGAAACTAGGGTCAGCACTGAAAATGCAAAGATTGCTACACTGCTCCTTGCTTAACCAGGGCACGAGGACCTACCCCAAGTCATTTCCAAGGTCATCAGGACCCCTTGAGGTGTAGGCAATGGATTTAACCCCCAGTTTTCCATGCAAAGGCCCCCACAGACCACCAGAGGGTAGGACATCTCCCATGGCCTGTGACCTGGCCCTGTTCCGCCCTTGTCCCCAGTCAGCATCAAGCTCCTAGAGGCTCAAAGGGCTGGGTATTTTAGACCCACTAAAATACTTCCTTCCTTTCCCCAAAGACCACCCTCCTCCTCTGGGATTTCCCCCTCCTCCCTTCCTGCCTTAGGCACCATTGCCTTCTGCTGGAGTATCACTGTATGACAACTGTGCCCCAAAGTCTTCCGCACCCAGCACACCCACTTTTTTTTTTTTTTTTTTTTTTTTTTTTTTTTGAAATAAACCACATCTGAACCACATTTGTCTCAGGAAGCAGACAGACGTGCCACTGCTGATCTCCTGCTAGTCTGCAGGGGTTTTTAGGTCACTCAAGATACACTTTTTTTTTTTTTTTGCACCCTCAGTGAGTGCGTTCACTTTGTTGTGGCTGAGTCAGATGCCTCCACCTACCTCCAGCAGCAACATCTCAGCAGCAGATAGGCAAAAGAAGCATCCCAGCAGAACTGCCCTTGCTGCAGCAGGATCCAAGCACCTCCCAAGCAACGTGCTACATGCAACAGCAGCAGCTTCAACATGACCATGCCACAGGAGCATGGCACACATGGCAACGATGGAGGTGACTTTAGAGGCCTCCCTCAGGGTTATATGTGCCAGCACTTGGCAGGGCTGGGTCCCTCTCCTCTCCTTTCTAGAGGAGAACTGAATGTGCAGGATATTCAGATGGGGCTTGACCTTTTTTTTTGATTTTTTTTTTTTTTTAATGCACTGTCCCATTTTCATATTATCAAAACTGAAAGGCACTTCACTTCAGAGCACAGGCTTTGCAATGGCCTTCAGTTTCTGGGACAGTCATGCTCCAAACTGAGAGACATCAGCAAAACTGCAGTGAAACATACTTATGGGTGGATAGATTTGCTGTGTCATAGCAGCAGGATGAGTAATCCTGTTTCTTATCCAAGAAGCCGGTGCTCCCAACAGGTTGTGGTGGTCTCAGCACAGAGGGAGAGGATCACCAGAAAAGCAGAGGGGGATCACATCACCCAGTTGGTTCTGATGGGAAGATTCACAGTCCAAGCACACTGGAAAATGCATTGAATAGCCACAGCTCCTTGCTCTGACTGTATTTTTTCAAGAAACATACCTTAGAAGCCAGCAGCTCAGCTCATTTAGGAAGTTACAATAGATTAAAATGGGATTTTTAATTCATTTATTTAGGAGCTAATTAAAATCATAGTTGTCTCATTAATTCCACTTAGCTTCCCCTAGCACCCTAAATGCCTATTCTCACACTGCCTGTGTAAAAGTGCAGACACATTAGATAGCACAGCCAACAGCAGAACTCAGCCGGTCCTTCCAGCATGTGAAACACGCTGGGGAGCTTTAAGAGATGATCTCTGAGATATGAATCATGGGTTGATTTGGTGGTTAGGTCTGTTACTAGAAGGACGTGAACATACAGACTTCCCTGCTATACTAATGCATAGCAGGATACGTAATATTCATATACATATGGAATGTGTAGCTCAGAATGCAAGTGCCTTTGACATACAGAGAGTGAGGAAGCAGAGACCCACATATTCTTTACTTCAGACATCAATTCCTAGGCTCTAGTAAAGGCAACAGAGAGTCTGAAGTCTGTAGCAGGCGTGCCATAGGCTGGTCTCTCCGGGAGCCAACCTCTCGCCTTCGGTTTGACTGCAGCGACTCAGATTTGGCAGCTGAACTTCAATAACACCAATATCCTTCACAGTATCTTCCCTAAGGCAATATTCCACCTCCCACCACTTTTTTGTTTTGTACACACACACATATTGTCCGCATACACACACGCACACAAACACTGAGCTGGTTTCTTAATCTGCTCAGCAGCAGTCAGAAGATGAGCTCCAAACAAATGCGGGCTGAAGAAACTTTCAAGCCCATACACACGGGAGGAAACAGGCTTCACAGTCGGCTGTTAGATTACATCTTTTAAGTGACCTTTAACAGCTATTAGACTAGCTGATCAAGTAACTAGATGTTTCACATCTCTGTCACCAGCAGAGAAGCCACTTCTTGTAATGAAATTGTCTCCCCTAGTGCAGCAGCCCCCACAGCCCACTGGGCCTCAGCTCCAGCAAGGCAGAAGTTTTCTTACGTAAGGCAGGTGGCTGTCTGCAGTTGAATGCAGATGTGATGTGAGGTCCCATGTCCACCACGGCAAGTGCCAAGTATTCGAGGCCTGATCGATAGGCAAGGACTGCCAGCATCCAGTCAGATCACAGCAACTCAGCAGTGACAGGTCGCACTGAGAATTCAGTCTCATGACTTGAAAAGAAGCAGCTTCATCGGGTCCCAGAACAAAGAGAAATGTCCGTGGGGGAAAAAAAAAAGTGCTTCAAAGGGGAGGCTGCAAGAGCACTGTGTTTCTTTGATGTCGATTTCCTCTCCTGTCTTGTCAGCCAACCCCAGAGGACCAGGTAGAGTCGAGTAATAGCGAAGTTTCCACGTGGCTTCCTAGGACTTAAACTTGAAGTAGGCTTCAACTGTAGCGAAGGAGAAAGGAAGTGCATTAGGGCAATGCTCTGAAGTGGAGCAGCAGGAGGGGAAGGAAACATCATCCAGGCACTTACTTGCATATTCCTGTGGTGTCATGGCCTGGTTGATGACACTAGTGAAGGCTGCGATCCAGCCCAGCTGGTCAGCCTCCGTCTCGCAGGTGAAGAGGTATTCCCGGTCAGGGGTGACAATGGTGAGGCCGTAGTGCCAAGAGAAGTTGCCCTGTGTCCCTGCAGGCAATCCCTTTTGGACACTATAACCGTTCTCGCTGCTGCCCACAAATACCTCGCCCTTAGCAAACGCGTCCTGCACATCAGGAAGGGAAAGAGAGGGAATTAGTGAATCCAGGAAGAACCAGTGATTAATAGCAGTGCTCCTAAGGGCAGGGTGAGGAGCAGGGATGCAGCAGCAAAAAGATCTGAAGGTGGTCAGGGGATTCAAAAGGGAGAGGCTGTGCTCAAAGACAGTGACCAAAGGGATAATTTAGGAGTGTAGACCTCAAGAGGTCCAAGAGAGGAACTGCTGCATCTGCCTCTCTGTGACACTCACCATGTCGCTCTCCTCGCCCCCGCTGCCTTTACACCCCTGCCCTTCCTCTTCCCATTGTTTGCAGGCAGCGAAACAAAAGAAGTGTGGGATGAATAAAGTGGGATGGAAAGGGGAAGACCTGGAGTCCACTCAGGGACTTTGGGCAACCCCCCAGCCTCCCTTACAGCAGAGCAAAGCAAAGAAGCAAGACTGTGGTTGCACTTTGACCCTGCCCTCAGCACTGCTGCCTGCAGCTGCCGCAGGTCAGATCTCCCCCTCACCAAAGGGTCCTTGAAGTACATGAGCCTGCGGTGATCCAGCGTGAACCAGCGCTTCTTAAAAGCCTCTCTCTGCTGCGGAGGGAAGAGGTGACATTTGTAAGGTGACAGTGCCCTCTGCTGTGAACTGTGCAGATGGATACCCAAAATTCACCCCAAACGCTCGAATCGAGTCCCTGCCTTAACAGCAACCTCCCTCTCTCCCCTTCCGAGCTGCAAGCGGGGATCAGTGACCAGTTTTCCAGCCCCAACTGTTGACCCTAACTCTTGGACTTCTGTGAAGGACCCCAGAGCTGAGACAGGAGAAACCTGGGTTCTAAACACCTCTAAAGTCATGCACACACAGACACATTCAGAGAGATCGGGAGAAAGCAGGGTGTCTGCTTTCATCTACTTTCACACATGTCCTTCCCCTTGCTTTTATTTTCCTCCCCCTTGATTGCACACACGCTGTTCCCATTAGTGTCTAAAGAGTAGGGGGGAGTGGGGAAACAACAGGAGGAAAACGATGGAGTAGGGAAAATCACTGGCTCTGGCAAATCCCTGCTAGTTTTCTTCTCCCATCTCAGCTCACCTTGGGACCTGTCTTCTCCATGTATCCCTCCTTCAGGAAGTTTCTTGTCAGCCGGCTTTTAATCTGGCAAAAAAGTGAGAGTAATATTCACTCAACCACATCTTTGCTATTCATTGTCAAACTCTTCCTTCTTTTTGCCCAAATTTACCTCCCTCTTAAATTCATGTTTGCAGAACTGCCTAGCCACGAGTCACTTCTGTTTGCAAAGTGCCTTGGAATAGCAGAGAGTGGCTGTTCTCAGGCCATCCTCAGCCCTTGTATGCACACTTTCTCATCCTTCTACCTACATATTGCAATTTCTACTCCTGTGTCTAGGGATCTAACAATAACTAATGGGCTCTTTTATCAGAGTAACCGAGTACCAGCAAGAAATTCAGCACTATGCTCTAGTGCTGCCTTACCTCATTATCGCTGGCTATGGGAAATGCTACCTTCAGGTAATGGAACTGCACAGAGCGAATGGCATTGAACCAGTCCACTACCTCCTGAAAACGAAACGGAACAAAAAGCTTAGAGCAACAGTGAGCCACCCAAACTCACCCAGCTGCGCCCAACCCTATGTCAGCTGCAAGCACAGTTAGCTCTCCCCCCGCAGGCCCTACAGCATCTCCTTCACACACACACACACCCAGCACATCTTCTGCAGCAGCTCCTCCCACACAAACCCACTCAGCCAGTGCTCCTGCCCTGCTCCCTGCCACAAAACTCTCTTGCAGATACGCGAGCACAGTGCCAGAACCCTCAGCCTCTTTTCCTACAGCAACTCGCAAACACGCACGCCGTCCTACCCACACCTCACACCGCTCATAACCCGCAGCTTTTCCAGTCAGCTCAGTCGTTTTGCAGCGTTGGATACAAAACCAAGATACCTTTCCACTTTTATGGTATACAAATATGTTCCGAGTCTTGTTGTCTTTGAGATAGGTGATCTGCAGGCCATTGGGATTCCCAATCTTGGCTGGCTGGAACGTAGCATTGATGACATCTATTTTGACACTGATTTTGGGTTCTTTGGACTGAGAACAGAAAAGCATTGATGATGCGTGAGCAATCCTAGCAGGAAAGAGATCTGAGCTACTGACTTAGTGAAGTAAGGCAGGGCCAGAGGGTGTTAAAAGGTATTAACTGCCCCCTTCCCATCAAAATTGCTGGAGTACACTCCCCCTTCACTGTATGGCATGCTCAAGCCCAAAGAGTGGCTCTGCCCCTCCAATTTAGATGTGAGCCATGCCTACTCTGGAACTGCCAGTGAGATGCTGAAAGCACATCTGACTTGACAGCTGACCCAGTCTAAAGGCTAACAGACTCCAAAAGGAAAGCCCCCACTCCTGCTCCTCCCAACCCCAAGCCATTTCCTCCCTTGCAACAGTCCACTAGCACTTGCCCCATTCATTTCAGGGAAGCAAACAAGCAGAAAAGTAGCCCTACACGAAACAAAACAACAGGTTTTTGGCAACTTGGTTCACAGTAGGGTGAGTCTGGTTCCAGGGATGGTGCAGGATTGCACAGACAGGAAGATGGATGGGGTGAAGTGAAAGATCATCCCTTTCATCAATAGTAGGATTGTGTGTCAGCCCTGTACCCTGAGATTCACCAGTAAGACAGGAAAGGGGGAGTCTCATGAAGTGCCGTTTCTGCCTTGTCACCAACAAAAGTACTGTTGAAGAGGGAAGGATGTAGGAGAACACAAAATGAAGATGTGGTGGAAATGGCACCCTGGGAGTTGCAGGAGAACCCCTCCTCTATGACACATCTCTCTTTTATCATCCCTGGCCCGGGTGAGTAAGGAAATCTCAGGAACACGCATAAGAGAGAGACACATCTCCGTCACATCACTGCCCGAGGTGGAATATGCAATGAGGTGGGAGTTGTCCACCATGCTCACATCCTGCTTGGTGAAATACTTCAGGCATCCTTCTCTCTCAGACAAGAGGAACTTGCGGGGTAGGAACTGTCCATTGTCTCGGCCTCGCTTCCAGAGGATGCCTTCCTTCACCCCTAGGAACAGAAAAGTCGGTTTTAAGAGCATCCCTCCACAGAATCAGAGTTGTATTCAGCCAGGGGGCCCGGCCACACGCTGGGACAGAGCATGCGATGCTTCCCACCCCCTCGGCTGGTTCCTACAGCTGCCTCTGTCAGTGTGAGAGCTGCCTCTCCTGTGAACACCACAGCCCTGGCCCATGCAGACAGCTGGCGTGGAACCAGAACGCTTCCCATTTGTCTCTGCAGGCCCTTAGGCTCCTACTCTTTGTGTCACAACGCTGGCAGTGACATTTCAGAGGCAACTGCTGTGGCTGAAGGGGGTGGCACGCAGCAGGACAGACATTCCTTATTGCAGAATTCTGGCTCCGCCAGCACAGCAAATGCCTCTGAACAATGCCAGCTGGTAATAAAACACTTGGAAGCAACCTACGGCAGTGCAAACCTACACTGTCCACAATTTAAACTCTCCCCGAGCCATGCTTTGTAAATATCAGGCAGGTTCTCAGGAGTACCTGTGGGATTTGCAACACTGACACAATGTGCTTTGTCCTCGTAACACTCAAAAGCCTCCGGTAAAGCAACAAGGAGGATATTTTGAAGCTGTGCCCTGCTCTTACCATCGGTATATGGCAGCTGTTTTCCTGGCTCGGTGAACTCTTTGCGTTCGTATTTGGCCCGTATCCACTGTTCTCTCAGCACCCTGCAGGGAGAGGTGACAGGTTTGCTGAGAAATGAACCAGGGGAACCCAGAACTGCCCTTCCCCCTTTGCTTTTACATGCAGCAACTTACTGGCAGTCATTGTAGGTTGGCTGGTAATAGTAAATAGGGATGTGAGCTTCGTAAGTGGCTTTAGTCACAGCATTCCCATGCTTGGCCAGAAACTGCAGAGTTAGACAGAGAGTTAGTGCCTTCCATTGGTGCAGACTCATGTCAGGCCCTTTTCTTATCTATTACAGGGCGAGCTCTCGTGGACCATACTCATTTCCCTCCTTTGCAACATCCCTGCAAAGTCTGGCTACAGAAAGGTGGGTCTCAAAGGACTTGCCTGTTCTCAGAAATTACACTGATTGCACCTGGATCAACAGAATGCCTCGAATGTCAATTCTGTGGTGCTGGGTGCATGCACATTCAGTGCATTTGCTGAAGAGTCTGAGTTTAACAACAGCTCTGACTTTCCAAACCTCTTTGCTCCTCTCCAAAGAGCAGCAAAATACAGATTATTTTCCTTGGATCTCTGGAAAATTTTGTCAGTCCCCTGAAAATTAATGGGCCCGAGGACAAATGTTACAGGAAGAGGTCAAGTCCACAGAAGTGTCCTTATTCTCAAGAGATCACACCGTATCTCAAAACTCTCCTCAGAGCATGGAATTGTCCAAAATTTTCCCTTTGCATTGCTGAAACCAGGAGAAGACAATGAGCCAGGACGGAGCCAGGACGGAGCAGGCGAGTAGGAAATGAGTAACCATGATAAAAGACACTGAACCTGGCGTGACACACTGCAAGAGATTTGTGTCAGCCACAAAGTAACAGGAAATGGGGAGACACATAAAGGCAAGTGCATCTTCCCTCTCCCAGTGAGTTAAGAGGAATTATCTCCATTTGTGTATCCAGAGCACTAGAAAAGTGACTGCTTACCACATTAATCTCCAATTCTGTGAGGCCAAAGGCCTGATTTGGCCAAAGGCTAAAAGAAGTGTTAGTATACAGCCTAGACCCAACCTACCTGACATATCGATGGGATAAAAATCTCACCTGCACCTGAGCATCATCCCAGTGGTCCATCTTCAGGGATTTGACTTTGCTGATGCTAGGGATGTTGCGGTGAATTCCTGAGCAGCTGAGGCATATAAAGACACCCAAGGTAGAGGATGCCCAGTCAGGATCTGAGGGTATAAAAAGGGGTATGAGTAGAAGTGGTAAATTCCCCCAGGGAAAATGTCTCAACTCAGAACATAGCCCTGAGAAACAGAGAGCTTTATGACCATGGTTCCACCTGAGTGGGTTAATTAACCCAGGGTACAGATGTCTGTGTGGAAAAAGCATAGTTAATATTGCCTCCACTGCTTAATCTGAATCTCTGTTGACTTGAACCTTGTAAAACTTCAAAGTGCTCTGCAAACTCCCTTTGGGTAAAGAACCATCTGAGACAACAACACAACCACCTCTACGAAAAGACTCCAGGAGCTGTTTAGTGCAACACAGCAAACCCACAACAGTATTGAGCTCAGGAAGTGAAAAGCAACCTTCAAACCAAAATCATCCCGGGAAAATTTAAGACGGTAGAACGGTATCAATTAGCCTGGTTTTACTTTGGCTTGGGTGGTACTACCCACACGTCCCTTTTGGGAGGAGTACAATGGGCACTTTTTAGCAGTGCTTGTAGATCCTCAGAGCGGTCCCCTTTCAAGAGGACAAGCTCCTCAGTGAAAGAAATCTCCCAGGCGGCTGCTGAAGGTTGTCGGTTCAGCGCTGAGTCACAGAAGAGACCGTGTTCTCCCGAATCACGCCTTCTTTGTGCAGCAGTTCGGCTTTCACTGGGAGCTTTCCTGTCGGGTCCTGACTGGGCATGACCTTGATTTGCATCTGAGATCCACCATGATTGCAACCCACGGTGCTGCAGCTGCCCAGCCCCTGCTCCTCTGGCGCTGCTGTGTCCCTGTCCTTCCCACCAGTGCTGCATCTCCTTCCTCTTCCCTTGCTATCACATCTCTGGGGTCCTCTTCAGTCTGGACCAGCCCACAGCACAAGAGCTGCAGGGCATTGCACGGCTCCCACCACCTGCCCTCCCAGCATCACCTCTTCCCCTGCTCACACTCCTCCTTCAGCAGGCTGCTCCAAAGCCCCACCAGGCCAGGATGAGACCAAGAGACCAAGTCCTGCCTCTGCCCTGTCCTCCAGCAACCCTCGGGGACTCACCCGGCTTCCCGCAGTCTGCGCACAAGGAGTTTTCTGCCCTTTTCCACACCTCCCTCAGGGCCTTCGCGTTCTTCTCACCTCCAGCCATTGTATCTGAATGCCACCCCTGCCTCCGGGCAGGGCAGGTGCCTGGGGCTTCTTGCACCTGCAGTCCACCCCGAGGGAGAAAGGGGCCACCAGAGCGCCAGAAGGGCTTGCAGAAGGAAGGGGAAGAGGGAGGCAGGAGAAGCCCTGAGGTTAATGGAGGGAGAGCGGAGGGCTGGCTGCACCTGAGCCGGCAGGGCGCGGGCTGGTGTAAAGAGGCTGGAGGACGAAGTGCACTGGGGCAGTGAGAAAAGAGGAGGAGAAGGAGGAGGAGGAGGCAGCCTACCCCATGGGCGTGGAGGGAAGTGCGGCAATTAACCACAGAACTGGTTCTGCTGCATTTCTGCTGGGCAGAGGACAACCCAGGAAAAAAGAGCAAGCAGACAGTGAGCTGATAAAGGCAAGGCAGCTTGGGACAAGCGGCTGTCGGGCCGTGTCGGGACTTGTCACACTCTGCACGCTTGGGGCGGTTCTGTCCTTGACCCAACAGCACTTGGGAAGGTCCCGTAAAGCCAGCTGGCCACCACTCAAGCCTTACGGACGTTTTTAACGGAAGGACTAGAGGTCAAAAGAGGTTCAGAAGTTCAGCAAAAGTCACCCGGTTAGCAATGAGGAAGGTGGGCATCCCCACGCCACCACCAGCTGGTGCTGGGACCTCTCCCTCCATGGCCCCATTGCTCCCTGCAACTACCTGAAAGGAAGTTGTGGGAAGCTGGAGGTCAGCCTCTTCTTGCAAATAACTAGTGGGAACAGGCTCAAGTTGTGCCAGTGGAGGTTTAAGTTGGAAATTAGGAGACGTTTCTTCTCAGAAAGAGCAGTCAGGCATCAGGACGGGTTGCCCAGGGAGGTGGTGGAGTCACCGTCCATGGGGGTGTTCAAGGAAAGGTTGGACATGGTGCTTAGGGACATGGGTTAGTGGGTGATGTTGGTGGTAGGGGGATGGTTGGACCAGATGGTATGGAAGGTCATTTCCAAGCTTTACAATTCTGTGGCTGCTTGGACAGGTCCTGCATCCTGGAGGCTCAGCCTCAGAGCCGAGACCCATCCTCATGCTCACCTCCCCAAGGCTAAGAGGAGCTTACACCAAACAATGAAGGCACCTTGAAATCCATTCAGACTTTTTATTATAGACACATGGAAGTGAAACACTGCGAGCAAGAACTCTCCTGCTCACACTTCAGGGGAAAGAAAAGTGCAAGGGCACAACGAGGGGACACACTGAAGGGTCCCCACAGCTCGCCCCCATCACAGGCGGCGACGGAGCCACAAAATGGCGGGCGGGGCCGGGCCGGGCGGGGGGACGCCCCCGCCATGTCGCGCCGCGCCGCCCCTCATGGCCGGGAGGCGACGGAAGGGGCGGGCAGGGAAAGAAGAGGAAGAAACCGCGTGGGGCAGCCATGGGTCGGAAGAAAAAGAAGAAGAAGGGGCCCGGGGGAGCGGCTTCACGGCTGGTGGTGACTTTTGATGAGGAGAAACGGAGGTGGAGAGCGGGCGGGAGTGCTGGGGGGGGGTTCCCCGGGGTGGGGGCGCTGGAAGCTGAAGGTTTCCTCTCTTGCAGGGAGTACCTGACCGGCTTCCACAAACGGAAGGTGGAGAGGAGGAAGGTGGCCCTGGAGGAGATCAAGAGGAAGCTGAAGGAGGAGCAGAGGAAGATGAAGGAGGAGGTACAGCACCCCACAGCCCTTTGAGGAGAAGCCCCCCCCCGCCATGGCAGAGGGAGCCCCGGCTGGGGGGCAGGCATCCTCGGGTTCCCACTGTGTTACTTTTGGGGAAAAAAAGGTTCTCCTGAGCGAGGAATTGGGATGGGATGGGTATTTGGTGTAGCAGGGGTGCTGCAGTGACTTGTTTTCCTCCCTCAGCGGCACAAGGAGTACCTGAAGATGCTGAGCGAGAGGGAGGAGGCGCTGGGTACGTGCTCTGTGGTGACAGGATTTGGGGCTCCCTCACAGCAGGGTGGGGGTCAGAGGAGCCCATGAGGAACTGGAGGGGCACCAAACATGCCAGAGAGCTAGGGGATCTGCCTCTGTGGCAGGGCAATCACAGCTGGAGTAGTAGTGCTGCCCCTCAGGGATGGCACCTCACTCCTCTTATATCCCCTCAAGAGGCTGGGCAGCAGTCTGTGTGGGTCTGACCCTCCGGTGTGATGCTCAGGAATGTGTCTGTACCTTGTGGAAAGCTGAGTGCTTTGCATTGTGTTGTGTTTTATTTATTTTATTTTATTTGTTTGTCTCCCCAGAAGAGTATGATGAGCTGGAGCACTTGGTAACCTCACGGACGGAGTCAGTGAACATCGACCACCCAAACCACATCGTAACGGTGACCACCATCAGTGACCTGGACCTCTCAGGTGCACGCCAGCTGGGACTGACCACCCCTGAGGTACAGCCACTTGCTGCCTCTCTCATAGTATCAGCCTTAAACGTTCTTGGGGCTGACTAGGTAGGAATGGCCAAAAGACTTGAAGCTGGCTGGGAGCATGGATGAAAAAGGAAATTGATAATTTTCATGTTTCTTCCTCTTTAGTGGCCCAGTGTTTGTGGAGAAGTATTGTACTTGAACACCTCACTCCAAATCACCCTGGAGTCCTTTACTAACTAATCTTATGTTAGTAGAAGCTGCCACAGAGGTGGATGGGGAGAACATAGTATTTTCAAAGCAGGTACAACACAAGCAGTGAAAGAATATAGGCTTTATTGCATGGACTGTCCTCCGTGTTTTTCCTGTGACCTGTCCAGGAAAAATTCCTGCTAGGGTGAGGATGGGTTTTGCTCTCCATGATCCTATGCTTGGACCACACATAAAGAAAACATTTGATTCTGGTTGTGGTCATTTCTATTTTCAGAACAGATACTATCTGAGATCTCATGTTTGTTTCATAAAGGCTTTGTAGCACAAGTTGACATGACCCTTTTGATCTTTGTGGCTGGGTTTAATCTCTGGCCAACTATATGTATTGAGCAGTTAACCTTTTATATTTCTGAGGGCATCTTCTGAAATGAAAATCTACCTAAGGAAGTTTTAGTATTTTAAGGAAGAAAAAGCTGAAACCTTCACTTCATAGGTTAGACTTCAATTGTGTGGCCATTAAGATCATGCTGAAGTTGGTTCTTGGGGTGGAATGATGTGGGACTTCTTACTGGTTGTCCCTATTTGTAGGGCCACAATAAGAAACCTTGAGACTTGAACAATTATAGTTGTCTAAGATTTAAAGTCTTGATCTGTAACCTGATGTTTCACAAAACTGGATGAAATCAAGAAGACAGCAGAAACACTGGTATAATGAGACTGCCTGTTTTAATAGAATTTTTTTTTGTTGCTGTTTTTTCCTTTTTAAGGGAAAAAATGATGGTTCAGGAGAAGAGAAGGGAGAAGAAGTAGTGAAAAAGCCTACAATAACAGTGCCCAAGAAGTCCAGAAACCCCCTCCTTTCTGAAAAGTACGTATAAATTCATTCAACTTCTTGCTGCTAGGCTCTGTGAACTGGTCCAGGAGGATCTTGTTGCCGGAGGGGATGCTGTGCTTTTAGGGTGCCGGTGGGCAGGAGCCAGCAGAGGGCACTGGCAGAGCACAAGCCCGCCTGGGACACTTCCTATCGCATTCATCTCTGATGACAGCAGCAGGAGGAGGATGCGTTGCAGGGTGGGCTTTGCCTTGAACTGTTTGTCTTGTCCTCCTCCTTGTCAGATAACGCAGGGAAGGGTGTGTTGCAGGGAACAGAATTTGTACCTAGGATGAAGGTCAAATGACCCTAAAGCTTAAAGCTTTGGCATTCTCCGCATTTTTGAGTATCCAGGCTTTACAGCTGCTTTGGGGTTGCGGAGAATGACTTAACCCTCTGATGGCTGGGCTGCCCTGTGCTCAAAAAGCTCGTTTTAGTTGTTACTGTACTTGCAGATTGCAAGTTTTCTGCCCTCTCAGGACGATGCCTGGCACAGTGGAGTTCCCCTGGGGCATGCAGTTGGCCCACAGGGTTATCCTGTTATTGTCTTGCTGTTGCCTTGCTCCTGCAGACTTTGGTCCCCAAATATTTTTCTTTTCTTGCCCTGCCCAGGATCTCTGCTCTTACCGCCACGTTGCACATGCACAGCAAGAAAAAAACAAAAGGAAAGCGACCCCAGCGCGGGCAGGGCCCACACCAGAAAATCCAGAAACCCGCCATGAGGCGAACCACCAAGACTCAGCGACGGAGGCTGACGGGCAAAATGGGCCGCGACCAGGATTAACGGAGAACCTGGTGCTCAGAGCAGCAGCTGGGACAGTTTTCTGCATCTGACCTGCTGCTCTTTTTGGCTTCTTCACCATGGGGAAGGACCTTGGTTGCTCAGCTCGGACCAGCAGTGAGCCCAGTGCAGCCCTTCTCTCACCTGAGTGCTGGCCTGGGGCGCTAGATGCTTTACCTATTTATTTCTGCGGCGTCTCCAACTAAATATCTGCCCTGAAGTCTGTAAAAAACTTGTGTTGGAGGTCAGATTCTCTGTTTGGCAGAACCCTTCTGTCCTCGAGCCTCCCCTTCCAGAGCTGATGCTTGGTTTTTATCAAAGGAGGGGATCTAGCGCTGAGCGCAGCAGGCACACCACCAGGGCAGCTTGTGAAACTGGGAGGTTTTCCCACTCAGAAAACTGGGAGTTTTCCCACTCAAGCACCAGTGCCTCGGTGTTTCTGCTGTACAGTAAATCCTTCTTCCATGAAGACGTGGAATTTTCTTGTCTCGTGTGTTTCTTCTCCAGTGCCACACTGGAATTCGGGGATACTTGTATTTTTATTTATTTTAGGGGTAGCTGTCCCACGTGAAATTTATTAACTTCCTGCGTAAATCTTTATGAAATAATCTTGCCAAAAATGTGACTTGAAGTCTAACAGCAGCTGTTTGTTGTTTTACTGCCAGGTGATTTAGGAGAGTCGCCCTTTTAGTTTGCTTGTTTCCCCGACCCTGATAACTTCCGAGCCTTTCTCGAGCGTCAGCTGAAATTTCCAACAGCTTCTTCACACTCTGGAAGTTTCCAGGTCCTCCTGGAAGCTGTTTTCACAAAGTATATGAAAAAAATAGAGCCATGCAATCCTACATGGAGTTACCCACCAGTGTTGTTGGCTGCGGTATTGATTTCTCCAGCTGATCGATCCAAGCTTGATTTTGTAACGTGAATTCCTGGCTCCTCCCCGGCCCCGTGTCTCTGTTATGGGGTGGGACTGGGCTGCCTTGGGGGAGGGATGCGAGATCCCTCATGAGCATTTGCCAGACACATCACGGTTCAGACCAGCCTGTGAGTTCCACACAAAAATCTAACGGGGATTAGAGAGGATCAAAAGCAGGTGGGGAGGCAAAAAGGGCAGAGGGGGGCGGAAGAGCTGGAGCTCAGCGCACAGATGGAGCTGCGGTGTGTTAATTGTTGCTCTGTGCTTGCTCCTCAGCAGCACATCAAGCTCCAGGCTGTATCGGGTGACTCTAGAAAGGAACCGGGGAGAAAAGTATTGGGGAGAGAGGCGAGAATTTGGGGAATTAATGGAGCAAAATTGAGATTTACTTACTTTTTTGAATAAAACTTGATTTTTTTTTACTACTGGGCACAGAAGTAACTGCAGCAGGAGCAACTGAGGGCAGGCCAAGCGAGGCCCAGGCAGGGGAGCGGCGGGGGCCAGGGACCGAGGCCCGGGGGCGAGCCGTAGCCCCGGGGCTACCGAGCCCGGCCCGGCCCGGGTCGATCGCCCGCCCGCTGCCGCCGCCACGTGGGTGCCCGTACACGTGGCGCCGGCGCGCCACCAGCCAGCCAATCAGAGGGCGGTATTCAAATAGCTGTCGGGCGGCGGCCAATGAGAGGGGAGGGGGCGTGGCCTCGCTGCCCGCAGTTCCCACGGCCGGCTTCATTCACAGGGGAGCTCGGCGGGCAGCGAGGCGCTGGGAGCCGTGGGGGAGTCGAGGTACTGGGGGCACTGGGAGCAACTGGGAGCTACTGGGAGCGGCGTGTGCGGCCGCCTGGCTGCATGCACGCGTGTCAGAGGCCCTGGGGGCGCAGCGTGACCCCGGCAGCAGGCCCCAAGCGCCCCATGGGGTGTGGGAGCGATGCTTTGCCCACCAGGCAGTGACACCTCGTGGGCTCCGGCCACGGGTGGCAGTCCCTGGGCAGGGGTGGACGGCGATGCTGGGCTGGTTCCTGCTGCTTCCCTCGCAGGCGAGTGCCTAGGCTCGCGTCTGGTCAAGGAAAAGACAACTTTCTGCAAAGAAAAGAGCAGGACCTGAGCCTTGTGTCCTCGGGGACTCCCAAACCGGCTGTGTCAGCAGCCGTTTGAGGGCGCAGAGCGGTGCCCCCTGCTAAAAAAGGCCTCGGCTGGAGCACACCCTTTTATTATGTGCAATTACGCGGCTCGTGCTGATGGCCTCGCAGCTGGCTGCCCTTGGGCTCCAGCCTTGCCAGCCGAGAGCAGCAAACTGCAGCCTGCGGGTAACGTTTGCGCTTCCACAGGAGCCTGAGAGCCTTGACGGGGGGAGCTGAGCGCTCTACCATCCCTTCCTCCTCTTCCCCCACAGCCTGGCAGCCACGGCGTCCTCGTCCCCGCTATGGGTGATGCGGCGGTCGCTGGATGACGTGCCCTGTGCCGGTTTCGAGGCCAACATATTCGCCGGGAGCCTGTGCCAGCACTGTTTGCGCGCCGCGGGGGCTCACCGGCACGCTGACCAGGTGAGCTTCTGCTTGGCATCCACAGCCCACCCCGCCTAAAATACGCTCCCGGCAGAGCTGTTCCCAGAATTTAGGTGGAAAGGGGTAAATCTCGTGGGATTTGGGGCTCCGGATGCCTCAGTCCTAAGCCGGTCCTTCCGCACGAGCCGCCTGGCTGCGGCAAGCTGCATCCGAGCAGGCGTCGGCTGGTTTCATGTTCGCGGAGGGTTTCGTGTTGTTCGCTGCCCTCCCGGAGCGACCGGCCTGGGATCATGAAATAGTAATGAGCCTCCCGCTCCCTTTCGTGCCCTCTACCCCTGCTCGTGGGCCCTCTAAGGTTACTGCAGCCCTCTGCCTGCTCAGAGCCGCCTCTGAGCGAATCCCGGCGCGGGCGAGATGCTGGAGGGAGGGCGGCGCGGGCACCCTCGGCCCTGCAGGTAACCAGAGGGGGAGACGCCGAGGTGCAGGGGCTGGGGTTTTGCAACCTTTCCTGGGGGAAATCCTCCTCTTTTGGGGCGCGGTGTCCTCTCCTGGGGCTGTCTGGGTGGCGAGGGGGGGGTACCCTGAGCCCACATCCACGTGCGAGCCTCCGAAACCAGCCTGCTGGCGGAGGAGGTGGAAGAAGCAAGGTGTTTCTCGTAGGAGCTGTGTTTTTCTTCCTCCTCATCTTCATCACGGCGACGGTGGGACTGCATCCTCCTCTTCCCCGCAGGAGCATGCCGTGGAGGTGGCAGGGCGCAGCGGCGGCCCCGAGGCAGAGCCGGGGGGGGCCTGGGACGCCGTCCGCATCGTAGCACCCCGCTGCGAGGTGTACGTCTGCGTGGGCCGAGCCGACGGGGCGGCACGGTGAGTGCCACCAGCAGCCACCCCGCTCGAATAAAACCCCTCGGAGCACTGCGGGGAGAGGGGAGCCAAGCCACAGGAGCAGGGGGACGTCGGGCGCGACAATAGGGCTGAGCGATCCCCTCCGCACGGGTTCCTCTGGGCTGTCCCGGGTGCTGGGGGCCGTCCCCGAGCTCTGCTGACCGCCAGCTGTCCTCTCTCCCCGCTCCACAGCTGGCAGCAGGGCAGGGCACGGCCCCCGCTCAGCCCCGGAGCCGAGGGCGAGCACGGAGAAACCGGCACCGAACCCCAAGGCTGTGCCGAAGGCGGCTCTGCGCTCGCCAAGGTGAGACAGGCGTCGTGGTGTGGGGTGTGCCAGTGTCCCCAGCCCCTCGTCACCTTGTCACCACCTCTGCCGGGCACGTTCAGGAGCTCCTTCATCCTGCAAAGCAGGCTCTGTCCCCAAATTCACTGCTGGGTTCCCCTGTGTGGGTTTTCCTGCCCCACTCCCTGCCCTGCCAGCCGATTTGGGGCTGAGCCCACCTTCTGCTCCTCTCCCGGTCCCGTTTGGCCAGCAGCTCTGGGCTGTAACCCCTCTTTGCCTCCTTCCAGCCCGCAAGCTTGCTGCCCCCACTGCAGAGACCTGCCCTGTCTTGTCTCCCAGGACTGGGAAATGACCAGGCTGTGGGACAGCTCCTTGGGATCGGGCAAACGGGACGCCATGAGCCACGGGGGCCGCAAGGACGAGGCGCGGGCGCCGCAGGCAGACAGACCCAGGTGGGCTCAGCCCCTTCCCTCTGGATCCTGGGTGAGGACGGAGGCCCAGAGCTGTAGGAAAGAAATCTGCCCTCTGAAAGCAGGTACGCTCCGTTTGCCCCCGTCCTACACCCTGCTTCTGGCTTGCTCCCTGCTTGGGGGTGCCTGAAGTTGCCGGCGGGTCTCTAGATATGGCAGAGCCTGCTCCTAGGAGGTTTTTGATCCAGGAATCCTAAATGTTTAAGGCCTGGAGCCTGTGAGCTGGCACCTCTTGGTGTTAACCCCCTTCTCCCCACCCCAGCCCGAGGTCCCACCACCCAGAAGCCCGAGGAGAGCCGGGCAAAACCCCGCACGGGGAGCTGCCGTTTCTCCCTGGATCACCCCAAACCCGACCCTCCCCGGGCTCCTTCGCCATCACCTCGTGGCCGCGGCTCCTCTCTGACCCCCGGCAGGCTCCTGGCGTCCTCCTCCCGTCCCGGGGAGCCCCACGGGCACCCCGGCGGCGCGGGCACGGAGGGGAGGCGCGGGTTGGAGCGGCAGGAGTACACGGTGCTGGCGGACCTGCCCAAACCCAAGCGCCTCGGCCGCGGGGACGCCGCTGAGCGCTGCGGCTCCCGCACCCTCAGCCCCGGCCGGGTGGAGGTGGAGAGGATATTCGGCTGCGAGCGCAGGTGAGAAAGGAGTGGGGAAGCTCTGGGGTGTCCCCAAAAGCCATCGGGGCGTCCCCAGCTGGGGATGTGCGGGGCTGGAGCCCGGCTCCTCGTGCCCGCAGGAAATCGGAGACGCTGGAGGCTTTCCAGGCGCTGGAGGAGGGCCGCGTGGAGAGGCTGGATGGGAAGACCCCGCTGCCACCCAGCAAAGGCCGCCTAGGTCGCCGGCAGTCCAGCCCCAGCCTGCCCAGGGAGGTGAGTCCTGGCTGCTTGTTCCTGCCACTTTTTTTTCCCCTATTTGAGAGGTTTCTCCTCGCTGCAGGCTGCCTCTGCGCATGGGGGTGCGATGGCTGCAGTGCCTCTTGTTATGACCCAACCAACCCTCATCCCACCTTATCTCCCTCCTCGCTATCCCTCCCGAGTGTATTTTCCATCCCAAGAGGACTCTTTGCTCTCCGTCCCCTAGGGCCAGCGGCTCTCCTGGCACCCCGAGCAGCGCAGCAGAGACCCCAAAGAGCTCCGGCGCTCCCCCAGCCCGGCTCGGCTTCCGGAGAGGACCGGGACCCCCTTGCGCCCCGTGTGCCCATCATCACGGGCGGAGAGGGACTGGAGGAAGCCAAGGGACTCCTCGAGCCCCACTCGGCAGCTGGAGAGGGGCAGCAGCAGCCCGCGCTCCCCCAGCCCCAATTTCAGGTCGGAGCAGAGGGCAGGGAGGGCTGCGAGCCCTCCCCAGCGCTCGGAGAAAGACTGGAGGAGCCAAACGGAGAGGGGCCGAGCTGCCTGGCAGGCTGGGAACGTGGGGAAAACGGCGGAGAGGAAGAGCCTGGGGGATTCCCTGCGCCCCCCGAGTTTTGGGAAGGGCTCGGATAGCGTCAGGCTGGGCCGGGCAGGGCCCCCACGGTGCACGAGTCCCCTGGGACGGACGGAGAGCGCGTGGAAAAGCCAAAAGGAGATCTCCCCAGCTGGCCCAGCACGGGGGGCAGAGAGGAGATGGGGGAACCCAGGGGAGCCTCTGCACGCCAGGGGCTCCGGGAAACAGCCCGAATGTGGCTGGCAGAGCCTGCGGGAAAAACTGCAGCCTCCCCTCCCCGGGAAGGGCACGGACGGCGAGTGGAGAGGCCGAGGGAAGCCGCTGCGCCCCACGAGCCCGACGCGCCCGCTGGAGCAGGACTGGAAGGGCCGTGGAGATGGCCAGCAAGCTCTGAAGCCAGAGAAGGACTCGAAGCTCCAGGAGAAGCCCCTGTGCCACGTGGATTTGATGCACCAGCTGGAAAAGGACTGGAGAAGCCCCGGGAGATGTCTAGACGTGTGGCCACGGCCGGATGACAGCTGGAGAAGGCCCGAGAGTCCAGTGCAGCAGCTGGAAGATGACTGGAAGGCACCCGAGCTCACCCAGGACTCAAACAACCCCGAAAAGCCTTTGGAAAGCGACTGGGGGAGCAAGAAGCTTCCTATTTACCACGTGAGTACGGCAGGGGAGTGAAAACACAGCCAGGAGCCGGAGCTGGGGGGGTGACCCTGCTGCCAGGGGTAAAACCAGCGAGCATCTTTGCCTGCACGGAGCAGGGAGCTGACCTCATTTGCAGCTTTTCTCCCTGGCCAGGGCAGAATTGAGCTGCACACACACACACACACGTCCACACGCAGCCTTCCTGCCCCTCCAGCATCCCCTTTTCCCCAGGGTGTGAGGAGCGGCGCCGCCCTCCTGGCACTGGGGTGCTTCCTCCTGCCCCGCGCTGGGAGGGCGACAGCGGGGTCTGGGGAAGCGAGGAGGGGGTGAAACCCCCTTGCTTTTAGCTCTCGCTTTCTCTCCCCGCAGCCCCAGCTGGGTGGAGGCGCCTTCCCAGCACAAAGCTCCTCGGGAAGCCAGCACCAAGCCCCCAATGCCGGTGAGAGACGCAACAAGGTAGGGGGCAAAGCCTGGGACTGGGGTTGGGGGGGCTCAGCACACACCAAGTGGGCACCTTCCCTGTCACCTCCAGGGCACGGGGCTCGCTGTCACACCCCGTGGGACGGCGGGGGTCACACCCCAACCCTGTGCCCATTCCCCAGATGGGAAAACTGAGGCACGGAGCCACTTGGCGAGGCTGAGTGGGGGGCGAGCGGCGCACCTGGGCCTGACCCCCTCGCCGAGCTGCCTTCCTTCCCCTATCTCCTGCTGGCAGCGGGGCCTTTTGGGGCACAAAGGGTGCTGTGAAGCGGGGGTCCCGGTGTCACCCCAAGAGCCCCACAGCTTGTCCTTCCGTGGGGGCCCCACTGGCCTCACCCGCCCCGCCGGCTCCATTGGCTGCGCGCTGCGGGGCGGCTCCCATTGGCCCGGCTGGGTCCTCCCAGGAAGTTTCGGGTGGGAGGAAAAACTTTTTTTTTTTTTTTTTCATAAAAAAAAAAAGAGGAAAAAAAGCTCAGGCAGGCATGGTGGGGCTACGGGAACCACCCGGCCTCTGAAGCCACCCCGCCACCCTGGCTGCCAGCGCCCGTGCCCGCCGCGCCCCAGCCATGACGGTGAGTCCGGCACCGGGGGTCCCCCCGCTTCGGCTCAGGCCTCGCCGCCACCGTCTTCACCCCGTCACCCCTCTTGGGTTGCCCTCCGTCCCCTCCTGGCTGGCAATGGAGCAGCTTTAGGGGCAGCCCCCCACGCGTGGGGACAGGCGGAGGGCACCCCGGTGGGCGCGCGAGCGGCTGACGCTCGCCACGCCGGTGGCAAGGGGACGGGGAGCGACACCGGGGGGGACACCCACGGGTGGCAGGCTGGGCTGCGAACCCCTCCGGCCCCAGAGGGGTTTTGTTGAGCAGAGCCGGAGCGGTTTAGCTTTGTCTTTTGGCCTGCGGCCCTTTCCTGGCGGAGCGAGTTCCCTTTTTCTTTTTTTTTCGGAGGAAGCGTGCTGGCGGGGAGGCCGAGAAGCCCCCGCTGCCAGCCCCACCGTGAGGAGGAGGCGAGAGGAAGGAGCACTGGGTGACCTGGGGGTGCACCTCCAGAGGACACTGGTCACTCGGAGGTGACCTCCAGAGGTCCCTCCTTCCAGCCGCCGTGGGCAGGGAAGTGTTGCTCCGGGGCCTGCGGTCCCAAAAGGAGCAGGAGGTGCGGGGATGGCGGTGGAGGCAGCGCACCTGACCGGCCACCCGCTCCCCGTCAGCTCGGGGGTTTCTGCCCTCCAGGGCTCCACCACGCCGAGGCGAGGTCCTCCTGTCCTTCCCCTCCTTCAGCTTCATCTCCCTCGCTCCGTCGTCTTCTCTTCTCCTCTGTTTCTCCCCCCTGGGCTCCGGCTTCCTTGTACCACCCGGCGGCGATTCCTCCGCTCCCACCCCAGCCCCTTCCCTTCTTGGGTGTTTACATTCTTCAGATGCTTGCCGGCTGTTAGCACAACCCTGCTATCCCCTCCTCGGCTGGCTCTGCAACCTGCCGGGCTGTAACCCAGTCCCTCTGGATGTCCCCTGTGTCCCCAGCCACTCGGTGCTGTGTAGGATTCAGTCCGAGCCCTGCTCTGCTCTCTGCTCGTCTCCTGAGCTCTCTGCTCCAGCGGACGAAGCTGGATTTGGTCGTGGAGAGGGGGGGATATAAATGGTTTTACACACTTTCTGCAGCCACCGGTGGCCTGTCCCGTGCTGCCAGCCCTGCTACAGCAAAAACACTGCCAGGGTGGCTGCAGAGCTGAGGCTGGCAGGGAAAAAAGGGCCCGTTCTGCCCAGTGACATTCACGTGCTCGGGGGAAGCCTGTGGCGGGGATTTGCTGGCCCTGGTAATGCGTGCGGGGCAGGAATAGGGCAGCGAGCCTTGGCAGGGGCTCTGGCAGGGCTGGCCTGATCTTTTTTGCAGTTTGTTTCCCCATTGTTACACACCAGGCTTGTTATTTCAGCAATTAATGCCCTGGCGTGGTAAATCATTGATATCTCAGCCCTCGCTGACCTGCACAGAAGCCCCCTGGGAGTCCTTTTGCTCCCTCTCTTGGCCCATTTTTCTTCCACCCCTGAGCCGAGCTGCCTCCTGGCCCCCAGGACATGGAGCCCACCCTACAGCTGACCCCAAAACCACTTTCCCAAATGGAAAAAGGAGCAACCACAGCGCTCCTGCCTGCCTCCCCTGCCCCGCACACGTGCGTGCCGGGAGGGGCGGCCGCGCCGAGCGCTTCGCCTCCTTTCCTTCCCTCCTGCCGCTCCCAGTCCGGAGCCAGGGCTGAAGTCACTGGATTGGAAAGGGATAACGGCGAGCAGGGTGGAGCCACCACCACGGGGAAGGAATTAATTTTCAGAGCGCTTTCCCAGGGCGGCAACCACCGACGGGGTCCGGGGGAACGGCCGAAGGGATGCGCCCGGCCCCCTCGGTGCGCAGCCACCAGCACACTGCTCATCGCCTCCTCTCCCTGTCCTGGAAGAAGAAGAAGAGGCTCTGGGCTGAGTTATTTGCTGGTGCAGCTCCTCCCGGGGCTGCTGGAGTCGGGAGGAGGAGCGGCTGCAGCCTGTTGGGCCGAGGGCGAAGCTGGGCAGAGCGCTTGCCCTGAGTCAGCTCTCCGGCACGGCGCTGCTGCGGGGAGAGAAACTGCTTGGGATGCCGTCCCGCTGGCGCGAGGTTAGGAGCAGGCAGAGGGGGGCAAAACTTTATTTTAACAGGCACTAAGCGGGGTGAAGCTCCCCTCGTCCTCATCCTCTGCAGCCGTGGGGTGAGGGAAGGCTCTGCGGGAGGAGAGGAGCCGCTCGTGTCTTTAATAAGTGGGCAGGATGTAGCTGTGGGGCACGGATGGGTGCCTGGGTTTGGGGTGAGGTGTGTCCACTCCTTCCCTTCCTTCTCCAGCCCCGGCCTGTCCGGCGTTCCCTTCCCCTCGCCCCTGCCTCCCTCGCTTATCTCAGAGTAAATACCTCCAAGGCACCTTGTGGAAACCTCCCTGCCGCATATTTTCCTTTATTTTTTTTATTTTTTTTTTCACTCTTATCTCCTGTTTCCTCTTACAGGAATGATTGCCTGCTGCTGAGAGCTAAATCCCGTCCTCCTCCGCCACTGGGTCCTAAACCCCCACGCGTTTCCTAAAAGCCTTGCGGGGCTCTTCCCGCTCCTTCTTCCCCCTCTGGGGACTCTGATCCCATCCCTTCCAGCACGCAGTAACCCTCTGCTTTCTCCTCTCTCCTCCAGCCAGATCTCCTCAATTTCAAGAAGGGATGGATGTCCATCCTGGACGAGCCAGGAGAGGTAAGCCCCACCTGGATCCTGCCTCTTGCCCCAGCCCTGTTGGTCGTGGTCCCCGTGCGAGCAGTGTTTTTTTCCTTCCCCTCCCGTTTCGGTCTCTCCCGCTGTGGGAAACCCCAGCTCGGAGCCGAGGGGCGTGAGGGGGAGTTGGAAGGGAACCAGAGAAGGGGGCAGAGGCTGCGAGGTCGCGGAGCAGCACGTCCCTCCCTGTTCCTGTGCTTCCCTGGGTAACCGTCTATCCGTTTCCCTCCTGTCTTTTCCCCTCCCTCCCCCTGCCCGGCCTGCTGGCAGTGGAAGAAGCACTGGTTCGTGCTGACCGACTCGAGCCTGAGGTATTACAGGGACTCCAACGCCGAGGAGGTGAGCGCTGGCAGCGGTTCCCGAACCCTCTGTGCTTTCCTGGTCTCGTCCACGTGGTGAGGGGGAGAGGGACGCCACCGCTGGCCTGGCCACCTCGTGTCCACGCAAGGGAGAGTGTCCCCTCCTTGTGAAAGGAGCCAGGGGTGGCCGGCATCTCTCTGAGACCTCATCCTGGTCCATCGTTCATCCTAAAAAGCCCTTGGGGGGGTTGTCGTGGTGGGGAGTGAAAAGAGGGGCTGCTCTGATGCTCTCCAAATCTTCCTCCTCCCGCAGAGCAGAGGTGGCTCACGCTTTACAGAGGTGGCTCACACTTTCTTTAGGGTGCAGGCAGGTGGCTGGGGCTTTTTCGGAGCCAGGCTTGCATTTATACCCCGGGGGGCGGCTGTGCTTTCAGGCCGATGACCTCGATGGCGAAATCGATCTCCGCTCCTGCACGGATGTGACGGAATTCGCGGTGCAGCGCAACTACGGCTTCCAGATCCACGTGAGTGCCCTGCAGGCACGGGGGGTTTGCCAGATGGGAACGGCTGCTCCCTTGCCATCCATGCCTCTGATGCGGAGATTTGGGCCGTGCAAACCTCGTGCCAGGGTGCCAGGGTAGTTGGTGACATGCCCAGCACCCAGAGTCACCCTGTGGTGGCTCATGTTTGCCTTTGCTTGGATATGGTCTCATGAGGGGTGTGAAAGAGGCTTCCCCACAAAGAGCACGTGTCCAATATCACCCCTCCGTGCATCTCCAGGAGCCCAAGATATAGGGTGGCATCCCTAATGGGTGCAGCAGGCGGACAGAGAGGGGCTGTGGGGTTTTTTATAAAGCTCTCAGCGAGCTGACGCAGCGCGAGCAGGTGCCCGGCGGTCCTGGGAGACCACCGGGAGCTGCCCGTGCCTCTGGTGAGCAGCGACAGAGCCTCCGTCCTGTCCCCGCTGCAGACAAAGGATGCCATCTTCACGCTGTCGGCGATGACCTCGGGCATCCGGCGCAACTGGATCGAGGCGCTGAGGAAGAACGTGCGCCCCGTCAGCGCCCCGGATGTCACCAAGTAAGAGCTGCCTGGCATCAGGTCCCCTTCCCCTTTCCATGCTGGAGTTTGGCACTGCTGGGGCTCGGGGCAGATCCTCTGCACCCCGTGGGGAGAGCCTCTCACCCACGCACGCAGCCAGAGCTGCCAAGCAGCGTGACGAAACCTCTCGGTGTGTTTTTTTTGTTTGTTTTTTCGCAAGGCTGGGTTGAGCAAAACCCGAGCTGTGGGTTTCGGCCGGCAGCGCGCGCACGGGGGCCGTCTGCCCGTCCCCACGCTGCGCCTCTCTTCCCTCACGTGCCACCGCTCTGCTTCCAGGCTCTCCGACTGCAACAAGGAGAACGCGCTGCGCAACTGCGTCCCGGCCAGGGGCTCGCTGCGGGCAGAGGAGCAGCAGCAGCAGCGGCCGGGCTCCGAGGGGAGCACCAAGAGCAGCCCCTGGAAGGCAGACGGGCAGCGCCATGCCTTCGACTACGTGGAACTGTCCCCCTTGCAGCAGGACCCCCCCAGCCAGGGCTCCCCGCCGAGGACGAGAGGCAGCTTGAGGGGCTCGGAGCGAGCCCCCAAGCACCACGAGGATCTGGAGCGGGATCTGGCTCTCCGCTCGGAGGAGAGGCGCAGGTGGTTCGAGAGCCCCGACAGCGGGGTGCCCACCGCCGACGGGCTGGGGGGGGACTCATCCCGCAAGGCTGGGGAGCCGGATCTGCCCCCCAGCCCGCTTTCGGAGGAGCAGCGGGCTCGGCTGAACGAGGAGATAGAGAAGAAGTGGCTGGAGCTGGAACGCCTGCCCTTGAAGGACTCGCGGCGGGTGCCCCTGACAGCGCTGCTGAACCAGGGCAAGGGAAACCAAGGCGGAGACCTCAACGAGGCGCTGAGAAAGGAGGTGAGAGCATCTGTCCCCTCGGAAAGTTGGCTTCTTACAGTGCATGCCCTGGGGCTTTGTGCCTCCCTGGCAGCAGGAGGCTCCGCAGAGGAGCGAGGCCACCCACGCCGGTGGCATGGCTTGCACGGAGCTGCCTTTTGGTGCAGTTTTGCGTTTGGTTTTTGCTGCCTCCTTTTTGAGCTTCACCTCTGAGCTCTGGGGAAGAGCAGCGTGTGTGTCTGTCGGAGCTAAGCATCCTCAAACACAAATCTACCTCTGGAGGAGAGCGTGTCCATCTCCTCCCCTCCTTGCTGGCTTCCCCACGCTGCTCTTTCCAGGCTGCCACCTCCTCCCTGGGCTCAGCACCTCTCTCTCTCCCCTCCCTGGCACAGGTCCAGTCGCTGCGGGCGCAGCTGGAGTCCTGCCGGGCCAAAAACGAGGCGACAAAACCCCAGGGGGACAGCCACGTGCCCCGGGGGTACATCTCTCAGGTGAGCCCCGAAATGGGAAATGCCACGGCCCGGGACTCGCTGCCAAGCAGGTATCGCTAATCGTTGGGTTGCCTCGGTGACCCTAACGGGGCTCAGGCTGTAATCAATGGTAATTAGAGAAAGGCTGGTGTGTGTGTGGCAAGCCCTAAAAGCATTTCCCTTAGTGCCAGGGGAAGGAACTGGGGGCAGCAAGCTGGGGGATGCGAGGGCTTCGTAAAAATAATGTTCTGGCAGTGGTTAGGTGGCAAAAGCATCCCTTCCCAGGCCTTGGGGGCTGAGAGGGGAATGTCCTGCTTGGGTTTTTTTTGTAATATCAGTTATCCACGATGCTGGGTGCTGAGAGAGCTGTCCTGCAGCTCAGGGCCAGCGGAAAGGAAAGCAAACTGGGTGGGAAGGTCTCAAACAGAGCCAGGGCTCTTTAACAGCACCCAGCCAAGTCATGTGGCACTGGGAGGTGTCACTTTTGGTGTCACTTTTCCAAAGAACAGGCTCGGTTTCCATCGATTCTGGGGTCGCTGCTTCATTTAAAAGGCAAATAGCGGGACGTGGTTCTAGCTGTTAACCTCCTCCAGCCAGAGATGTTCGATCTCTCGGTGTGTTTGGCACCAAAAGCAGCACCTCGCTTTCGGGAGGGACAAACCATCCCGGGAAGCGATCTCTGGCCCTGGGCTGGAGTAAGGTTTGCCGAGTGATACCAACCTGGCACCTCCAAGCCCCTCACTCCTCCTGTTTCTTGTCCTTTCCCCCGGCCTGGCAGGAGGCCTGCGAGCGCAGCCTGGCCGAGATGGAGTCGTCCCACCAGCAGGTGATGGAGGAGCTCCAGAGGCACCACCAGCGGGAGCTGGAGCGGCTGCGGCAGGAGAAGGAGCGGCTCCTGGCAGAGGAGGCTGCGGCCACGGCAGCGGGTAGGGGCGGCTGTTTCGGGTGGCCTTGGGAAGCGGAGGAGCAGAAGGGAAGGAGGAGGAACTGCAGAAGGAGATCCGAGTCTGTAATAGCTCGGTCAGCTCCCCGGGTTGGTTTCCCCAGATGTGCTGAGCAGGCAGAGCCTGATCCCCCGTTGTCCCTCCCTGCAGCCATCGAAGCACTGAAGAAAGCCCACCGGGAGGAGATGAACAAGGAGCTGGGCAGGACACGAAGCTTTCAGCAGTGCGGCTCCAGCTCGGATGCCCTCCAGAAGCAGCACCAGTAAGAAATCTCCTCTCCTGCTCCCCTTGCTCAGGGCTGCTGCCCATCGCCGAGCCCCGTGCTGGTCTTATCGCACCCATCTGAGGCTGTAGCCTCCAGTGTCTGCCTCTCCAGGGGCGGTGGGTGACAGCCAGGCTCGCTGCCATAAAACCAGCTATATGGCAGAGAGCTTTATCCCCCGCTTGGTGCCAGCAAGGCAGGATTGATCCACAAAGGAACAAGGAGGTGCCTGGCCACCCAGCACTAGCAGAGCTCTCACTATTCCTGGCGTGTTTCCCCTATCAGCTCATATCTGCCTGTATTACGCAAAGCTCCTCCGCTTCTCCTGCATGACCCGAAGCTCCCAGGAGCCCCGTCCTTGTGTTGGGAGGGTGGAGGATGAAGCCTGGAGCCACACGGAGCGGTGTGGCAAAGCCACGACGGAGGCTTTGGGAAGAGCCAGTCCGTGGCACGGGGGCAGGCGATGCCGATGACGAGGACAGCAATGACCCCGGCGCCTCTTTGGCAGGTTGGACGTGGACTCCCTGAAGCGGGAGCTGCAGGTGCTGTCGGAGCAGTACTCCCAGAAGTGCCTGGAGATCGGGCAGCTGATGGAGAAAGCGGAGGAGCGGGAGCAGACGCTGCAGCGCTGCCAGCAAGAGGGGAAGCAGCTCCTGCGGAAGAACCAGGCAAGAGAGGGGCTTTCCCTGCCCATGGAGCATCTTCCTTCCCCTGGGGGCTGCCCCTATCTAACCTGGCTGCTAAAACTCCCCCTTTTTGGGTCGTATTCTTCCACTATTTTCTCGGGGTTTGCCCGCAGGAGCTGCAGACCCGCCTCTCGGACGAGATCGGGAAGCTGCGGAGCTTCATCTCCTCGCGCTGCTCCGGGGACCGCTCCCAGAACAACGAGCGCAGCTCCTGTGAGCTGGAGGTACGGGGCTGGCAGGGTCAAACCCTGAAAGAGATTTGGGCTCGGAGGGGAACTACGGGGCGGCCAGGAGCCGTGCAGGAAGGAGGTGCGCAAGCTTCCCCTCTGTGCCTCTCCTGGGGCACCTCGCATCATTTCCCTCTTCCTTCCTCTCCCAGCGACGCGCTTGCGCCCGCCCGGGGCAGCGGTCATCCTGCGGCTCTCTGCTTCCCCCTGCCTTGAGTCACCTCTGGCTCCTCTCTCCCCGGCCCAGGTGCTGCTCCGGGTGAAGGAGAACGAGCTGCAGTACGTGAAGAAGGAGGTGCAGTGCCTCCGGGAGGAGCTGCAGATGATGCAGAAGGTGGGTGCTTGCCTGGAGCCTCCCTCCCCTGCTTGCTAGGGCTGTGCCGGGAGATGATAGAAAAAATAACATTTTATGGTGAAAACGATGAATTACCAGAACAGCCTCCCCAAGGCTGTGGTGGAGTCCCCAAAAACCGGAGGTTTTCAAGACGCAGTTGGACAGGGTGCTCAATAAAATCTCCTCTAGGATCCCTTTTCCCCAAAAATATTGGACCTGATGATTTTTCAAGGTCCCTTCCAAGCCTGGCTGTTAAATACTGCTATAAAATCACTGCTGAGCTTCAGATCTTGGGCTGGTTCCTCCTCCACCTGCTGGCCTTTCTCCCACTGGCCTCGCCTCGCCACCCCAATACCGGCGCCAGGGTTTGCCGACTCTTCCCCCCCTCTCCCGGCAGGACAAGAGATTTGCCTCAGGGAAATACCAGGACGTCTACGCCGAGCTGAATCACATCAAGGTGCGCTCGGAGCGGGAGATCGAGCAGCTGAAGGAGCACCTGCGCCTGGCCATGGCGGCCCTGCAGGAGAAGGAATCGCTGGGCAACAGCGTCAGCGAGTAACGGTGAGCGCCGGGGAGCTGCCACGTCCTCCCCCCGAGCGCGGGTGGCTGGCAGGTTCCTCCTGCTCCCCTCTTTTTTTTTTTTTTTAATTTTATCTCCTTCTCTCTCTCTCCAGGTCTGTTCTTCGTTTGTTTATCTATTCCTGTTTTTAATTTGCTCCGTTCCTCACTCGTGGGGAGGGGGAGGTTGAATCCCATCCGTTATCGCCTTGGCACGACGTCCCCCCTCCCCGGCCAGCCTCCCCTCACGCCCCTCCTGAAGCTTTCGATGAAGCCCTTCAAGCCCCTCTCGCCTGCGTATCTGAGCACGTCGTTTGGACTGGCTCCTAACATGCACCTTCTTCGGGATTTTATATGTGAAAATTATATTTTATAGTGGAATTTTTGTCTTCCCCCGGGAAGAAGGGAAAGAGGAGGGGGGAAAGTGCTTTCTGACCTGAGGAAAATAAGAGAATCTCTCCCCCCTCTCCCCAGCCCCCTTTCTCCCGGCCCTGCAGCCACCATTGGCACTTCTTGTGCCCTCTCTTCCCCCCATCTCCGTGGCCCTACGGGGTCATACAGCGAGGACACTGCTCCCCTGGGGAGAAGACACCCAAAGCCATAGGAGGGAGCCGACGGGGCCGCAGCTGCGCTCGCCCAGGACTTTGAAAGAGGAGACCTTGGCACGAGGCTGCATGATCAAGCTCTCAGTGACTGTCCTTCGGTTCTGCCTTGGCAGAGCCTCAACCCCCTGGCACCTCCCTGCCCGCCCTCCCTTGGGACGGGGAGAGCCCCCCGTTTTTTTGGGGGGGCAGAGGAGCTGCTGCCATGCTGTGCAGCCAGCCCCGAGGTGGGAGCTGCTGCTACGCCGTGCCCTTCACTTCTTAACTTAATAAAATCTTTCCATTTTGCTGATGAAAAACATGTTCCATGAGGGGAGGGCTCGGGACAAAAAGCGGAGACAATTTTTGCAGCTTCCTGCGTGATTTTGGGGCCAGCACGGAGGCTGAGGGAAGCCGTGCAAAGCAGCTATCCGGCTGTCTGCTCTGAATTTGGGTTTGGGGGGGAATAATCTGCATCGTGACACCAGTCCAATAATTTCTGAGAGAAATGGTGGTGGGATGTGGGACCTGGCTCGGATCGTGCCCAAAATGCCGGCTGAAAGATGGGATGAGTTTGGCACATGTGGCCAGAGCTGGGAAGGCGAGAGCCTCCAGGCTGTGGATGTCCACCTTGATGTTAGGGATTTGTAGGAACCAAATTAGGAGGGCAAAAGCATTACACATATGTTTTTAGGAATAAACACCCCTGCACATCCCCTGTGGCTGAATTCAGCCTGCATGGTCCTAACCACCCACGGGTGATGCAACTGGCCGGCCACCCCCTTCCCCAGGCGCTCGCTATCTGTGTTTGTTTGGGTTTGGGGTTTTGTGTTTGTTTTTTTTTTATTTTTTATTTCTTTTCCTGGCTGGGGGCTGCTGCCCGTGATAAAAGCATTGCGCCAAAATGTGTGGGCGCTGCCGATCAGCCCCGTCACCCCACGGCACAGCGTGTGGCGGGGCGATACCGGCCCCACATCGGCCCCACAGCGCTATCGCCCGGCCGCAGGGGCACGGGAGGGCCAGGCAGCCGAAATGTTGGCGGGCTCAGCAGCCTGTGGGTTTTTTTTCTGCGTGTTTCAAGCCCCTTTGAAAAGGGGAGCGCGGGCTGAATTAAATTTCGCTGGGATGGGTTCGCTGCGTGCTCCCCCTGCTGTGCCTGGATGCTGTTAAAGAACAGCCCCGGCCCTGCGAGGTGTGGGTTGGTACCGAGGGGACTGCAGCACGTCCACAACGTGTGTGCTTTGACCATTTAAGAAGAAGTCCTGGGCTGGACGTGCAGAAATCCCGAGGGGGTTGGTCAGACAAGGCACGGGGAGGGAGGAGGAGGAGGAGGATGAAGACGTTGGGATTACTGGAAGATCTCCCTGCCAGGCTCCTAACCCGGAGGTTTGTGATAGAGGGATGTTTCCCAATCTCCAAAGCCGATTTAATGCTGGAAACGTGCAGCATCGGCCTCTGCACCATTTCCATGACACCTCCAGCTCCAGAGCTGCTCCTGCCCGTTAAGGACATGCTGGTGCACCAGCGCAGGGTGCGAGGGATGCTCTCACCATCAGGGGTGCTTCAGGAACCTTTGGGATTTTCTTGGCCAGAATTTGCCCGTGGAGGACCCCAAAAAACTGCGACCACCCCTACGACCTTCCCTTGTTTTTGTCTTGCTAAAAATTAGGGACCCGGTGGGGATGAAGGGCTGGGGTCCCCCCTGTACAGCGGAGAGGCCGCGTCCCCACCAGCTGCAGGAGGTGCGCGGGTGATGGGCTCCGATAAGACAGCCCATTTCCAGCTGGCTCCAGCAAGGTGAAGCCTTTTGTCCTCCTCCCTGCCCAGGCGCTGCGCCGCCCTGATAACCGCCGCCTCTTTTTTGGAGGCTCCGCGGGGAAGGAGCGGGGCTGGGAGATGCTCTTGGCAACCCCCCCCCCTCCCCACCACCACCTCTCTTGTTTTCTCCGCTTGGCGGGCGAGCCCGGGTGCTGCTGGCGGTTTTGAGCTTGGATGCAAAATAAAACCAGATGGGGCTTTATCTCCCCGCGCCCGAGTGCCTACGTGCAGGCAGCCAGCAACGGCGCTCCATTTCCCGCTCAGAAAACGCAGGGTGCTTCACCCGGTCAGGGTGTCACCGAGAGGCCAGAGTCCTCTACCGGGGTCCCTTTTTCTTTTCCCGATGCCTGCGTGTCCCGGGCTGGTGGCACGAATCCGCCCAGGTGCCATCGGTGTTGCAGGAGGGTGCTCAGCATGTGTTGGACATGCCAAAATGTTTTGAGCTGCAGGGTTTCGTCCCCCAGCACTAAATGTCTGCGGGCAGCCAGGTGTTTTTCAGATGGAAGGAGGAAAACATCATCTGAATCCTCCGGAAAGGTGATGGCCACAGCCACATTTAATCTCCCGGGGGCAGCTGAGTGCAGCCCCAGCTGGGAAGCAATGGCTGATGAGAATTCAGGTCCGTGCTCTGTCCCCCAGCAAAGGGCTGTCTGTCCCCAAAAACAGGGGACAGCCTTTAGTCTGTGACCCTGCGTGAGGGATGAGATGATATCCCCAAAGCCCCTTGGTGGGGAGCAGAAGGGACAGAGGAGTGGGGACAGAGACATTGGACCATGGGGTACGGCTGCCAAACCTATTTTTGAGCCTTTTTGCATGAAAAAAGTACCCCCCAAAACCTTTGTGTGCCCTGGGGACAGCGGGTGGTGTGACAGGGAGCCATCACCCACCCCAGGGTGACACCATGGTGGCTCGGGGCAGAAGGAAGGGAGAGACCCCAAGTGTCCCTCCTTGTCCATCTAGTGCCCCCCTCCTTATCCCCTGTTGTTCCTCCCCATGTTCCTCCTTGTCCCCTAAAACTCCTCTATGTGTCCTTGCCACATCCCCTCCTTGTCCCCCCCACTTTCCCCCTAAGTGTCCCCACTGCTCATTCCTCCCTGTCCCCCGAGACCCCTCCCAGTGCCTTTGTCCCATCCAGCGTCCCCCCAAAGCTCCAGTGTCCCTCCCCATCCCCTGGTGTCCACCCCAGTGTCCCTCCCTGTCCCCACAGTGTCCTTCTTTGTCCCCACACTCTCCCTCCCTGTCCCCACCACGTCCCTCCCCGTCTCCCCAGTGCACCCCAGTATGCAGGGTGGGGCGGGACGCGATGGGGGAGGGACAGGGGGGACAGGCAGTCCTCCCTGCCGTCCGCACCACACCCTTAAATTCGGGGCAGCGCCGGGTGCACCCACAGAGGCAGCAGAGGTGGCAGCACGGTGCCTCGTGTTCCCTGCAGCTCCTTCTCGTAGCCTGCCCCGGTGTCCCCGTCGCGGGCGGCCGACCCGGTCCCGGTTTCCACCACAGCAGCCCCGGGAGAAGCGCTGGCCATGACGGACAGCCCCATCCCGGCCCCGGCCCCGGCCGCCAAGCCCAAGCGGGCGAAGGCGCCTCGGAAGCCGGCGTCGCACCCCAGCTACTCGGAGATGATCGCGGCGGCCATCCGGGCCGAGAAGAGCCGCGGCGGCTCGTCCCGGCAGTCCATCCAGAAGTACGTGAAGAGCCACTACAGGGTGGGCCAGCACGCTGACCTCCAGATCAAGCTCTCCATCCGGCGCCTGCTCGCCGCCGGCGTCCTCAAGCAGACCAAAGGGGTCGGGGCCTCCGGCTCCTACCGCTTGGCCAAGGGGGACAAGGCCAAGAAGGCCCCGGCCGGGAGGAAGAAGAAGAAGAAGGCTGCCCGAAGGTCCACGTCGCCCAAGAAGGGGGCGAGGCCCAGGAAAGCCAGGTCGCCGGCCAAGAAGCCCAAAGCCGCCGCCAGGAAAGCCAGGAAGAAGTCGAGGGCCAGCCCCAAGAAAGCCAAGAAGCCAAAGACTGTTAAGGCCAAGTCGCTGAAGGCACCCAAGGTGAAGAAGGCAAAGCGGTCCAAACCCAGAGCCAAATCCGGCGCCCGAAAATCGCCCAAAAAGAAGTGAGAAGTCTGGAGGCCTCTGTCCAGACTCTCCCCGTTGGTTTCTGTAAATAGCTTTTGCCTTTATTTTTACCTCTTACTATCACCTTTTTTTTTTTTTTTTTTTTTCTGTGTAACGAATCGATCTATTTCTGTCTGGAAACAGCTAAAATAAGGCAATTAACAAAAGAAAGAAAAAAAAAAAAAGGAACATCTTCAGCATGAAGAGTTCCCCTTTTTAAGAGCTGTTGGTCTGGGTTTTTATTTCGCCTCGGAAGCGCGGGTGGCCCCGGGTGTCTGCTGGGGCCGGGCAGGATTTGGGTTCCTGCGGGTCTGGGGGGGTTGTGGTGGGCAGGCTGAGGACTCGGAGGGAGGGAGGGAGGAGAAGAGAGCCGCAGCCCTTCCAGGAGGACGAGGAAGATGGGTTCCCCGTTCCCTTCCTGCCCCACGTCCCCACCAGCCCGCCACCCGGCGGGTGAGGGCTGGAGATAACGGCGCAGACGGGTGGTGGCGGGGACCTTTGGGGTGTGGGGATGGGCACGGCCCCGCTTTTCACCAAGGCTTTGGCACGGGACCAGGGCCAGCCTGGCCCCATAGCGTCCCTCCCTGTGGGGCTGGCAGCGAGCCCACGGGACGGCCTGAGAAGCGCGGGTAGGATCTGCCCAAGTGATCCCAAATCATACAGGGGATGATCTGAAGGAAAGGGGGTCCCTTTTTCCCTTCTCTTCCCTTTTTCCCTTTTCTTCCCTTTTTCCCTTCCCTTCCCTTTTTCCCTTCCCTTCCCTTCCCTTCCCTTCCCTTCCCTTCCCTTCCCTTCCCTTCCCTTCCCTTCCCTTCCCTTCCTTTTCCCTTCCTTTTTTCCCTTCCCTTCCCTTCCCTTCCCTTCCCTTCCCTTCCCTTCCCTTCCCTTCCCTTCCCTTCCCTTCCCTTCCCTTCCCTTCCCTTTTTTCCCTTCCCTTCCTTTTTTTTTTTTCCCTTTTTTCCCTTCCCCTCCCTCCCTTCCCTCCCCCCGGTGCCATTGGCCGTGCTCGCACCGCCCCCAGCGGCTCGGGGCTCGGGGATGTGGCTCCGGGTGGCGGCGGCGGCGGCGACGGCGGGGGCCGGGACCGGGGGGTCCCGGGCGGCTTCGGGGGCGGCGGCGGCGCAGCTCCGGCGGCGGCTGGAGGGGGAGCTGGAGGGGATCCGGGGAGCCGGCACCTGGAAGAGCGAGAGGGTCATCGCCTCCCCGCAGGGCCCCCACCTCCGCCTGGCTGGAGGGGGAGACGCCGGTGAGTGCAGGAGGGTCCCCCCATGGGGTCACCAATGGGGTCACCGCTGGGGACCCGGTGGTGGCTGCAAGGTGTGCCCCCGCAGGGATCCTCAATTTCTGTGCCAACAACTACCTGGGGCTGTCGAGCCACCCGCAGGTGATCTGCGCCGCCGTGCGAGCCCTCGAGGAGTTCGGTGCCGGCCTCAGCTCCGTGCGCTTCATCTGCGGCACGCAGGTAAAAAAAATCCTAAACTTGAACCATCTTGGTCAAACCTACCCCGATTTATCCCCCTCAGAGCCCCAGCAGGTTAAACGCAGAGAAAACCCGTGGCTGCTGCCTCATGGCTGGGAGGCTGGAGTCTCCCTGCTGGGTTTTTGGCATCCAAACCGATCGCCGTGGTTTTAGGGCCCATTAGCTTCTCCCCCCTGCACAGCTCTCCTGGATAAAACACATTTATTTATGACTGCACCCATCAGCAGCAGGCAAGCGAGAACTCGCGCTGCCCTAAGCGGTGATGCTTGCTTTTTTTTTTTCTTTCTGCTCAGAGCATACACAAGGAGCTGGAGGAGAAGATCGCACGCTTCCACCAGAGGGAGGACGCCATCCTCTACGCCAGCTGCTTCGACGCAAACGCCGGCATCTTTGAGGTTTGTCGTGCCTGGCAAAGAGGAGGGGAGAGGCTGCACAGGCTCCCTGGTGGAGAGCCCAGAGCTGGTGCCCTTGAACTGGGAGGTGTGGGCCGTGCAGGAGCTGTTTACTCAGCCCTCAGAAAGCCAGGGGATAAGGGAGCTGGGCAGGAAAGTGGAAAATTTAGCAGGCAGGAGAGACGTGGCAGCTGCAGTCAAATGCAGCTTTGTCCTCCGCACCGGGATGGGGTGAGGTGGTGCCCTGCAGCAGAGGCTGACCCTGTACTGTTTGGCACGGGGACAGGCTCTGCTCACCCCGGAGGATGCGGTGCTGTCCGACGAGCTGAACCATGCCTCCATCATCGACGGCATCCGCTTGTGCAAGGCGAACAAATACCGCTACAAGCACATGGACATGCAGGACCTGGAGGCCAAGCTGCAGGACGCGCAGGTACGGGGCTGCGCTCCCACCCCAAAGCCCCCACGTGTCCAGGCAGGACCCAGCCCTGAACGATTCGGCTTTTTCCCGTGCCGTGGGCATCCTTTTTTGCTGTTTGGTGTGGATAAATCATGTAGCAGTGTGCCACTCTTCCCTCCCGCAGAAACACCGCCTGCGGCTGGTGGCCACCGATGGTGCCTTCTCCATGGACGGTGACATCGCGCCCCTGCGGGAGATCTGCCAGCTGGCCCAGAAGTACGACGCCCTGGTCTTCATCGACGAATGCCATGCCACAGGGTTCCTGGGGCCCAACGGCCGGTAAGGGGGTGTTTCACCCTCCTGGAAGGCCCCCTTGGGTCTTGGGGGTTCGGTGTCACTGCCTTGCCACCTGCCCGGTGGTGTTTCGTTTCCCTCGAGGTGCCAGGTGTAGAGCAGATCCCCTGGTAGGCGCTGGCACGGGTCCTAACATGACGTTCCTTTTTCTGCAGGGGTACTGATGAGCTCCTGGGAGTGATGGACAAGGTCACCATCATCAACTCCACCCTGGGAAAAGCTCTTGGAGGAGCTGCAGGTGAAGGCATTCCCTTGCCCGTGCCCTGAAGTGCTCCACAGCATCGCTTTGACGTTGCCTTCATCTGTCCAAAACCAACAAAACGCATGCTCGCGTTTGGGACCCTGCCACAGCACCAAGGGGTGCCTCACCCATTCCCCTTTCCCTTTCCTCCGCAGGTGGGTACACGACGGGCCCCAAACCCCTCATCGACCTGCTCCGCCAGCGCTCCCGGCCCTACCTCTTCTCCAACAGCCTGCCCCCCGCTGTGGTGGGCTGCGCCTCCAAGGCCCTGGACCTGCTCATGGAGAGCAACGCCATCGCCCAGTCCATGGCCGCCAAGACCCAGCGGTGAGGGGCCTTGTCTCTACTCCTCTCCCGTCCCCGGTGGGGTGGGAGTACGGGAAGGGGCTTGTTAGGAGTGTTAGGGACTTGTTGGGTGTGCGTTCACCCTCTGCTGACACCTTGCTGGAGGTCCTCAGGGGGAGGAGATGTGAGCCAGAATCACCCCCAGGGCTCCCCGGGAAAGCACGGCAGCGGTCCCCAAGGACAGGGGTGACAAGCTTTGAGTCCTCCTCTCGTTCTCCTCACCAGCTTCAGAAGCAAGATGACGGCAGCCGGCTTCACCATCTCCGGGAAGGACCATCCCATCTGTCCCGTCATGCTCGGGGACGCCCGGCTGGCTGCGGTGATGGCTGAGGACATGCTGAGCAGGGGTGAGCGGGGCAGGGAGCTCTGGTTGCAGGCGCATTTCTCGATGGAATCGATGCCTGGTGGTGCCACCACCACCATCATCCCTCCTCCCGAGAGATTCCTGCATGAAATCTGCTCTTTTTGCACCCTCCAGCTGCAAATATCCTCTTGGTCCTTCCTCGAGGGGAGGGGATTTTCCATGAGTCCATCAGAGCTCGGAAGCAGGTCCCCCTTGAAATCCAGCTCTCCGTGCTTTCTCCCCAGGTATTTACGTCATTGGCTTCAGCTACCCCGTGGTCCCCAAGGGGAAAGCCCGCATCCGGGTCCAGATTTCGGCTGTGCACAGCGACGAGGACATCGACCGCTGCGTGGAGGCCTTCACCGAGGTGGGACGGAAACACGGAGCGCTGCCTTGAGGGGCCACCAGCGGCGTCTTTCCCTCGGTGCCTTCCCTGCCCGTGACCAACACAAGTGCCTGTGCCGGGGTGGGGAGGCTTGAGCACCGTGCTGCTGGACGCAGGACCTGAAGGCTCTGGCTGTTGCGGTGTGCTGGCAGCAGCCCCTGTGGCATTAAAGGTTTCCTGCAGTGCAGTGGGTAGATGTCTGGCTCTTGCTTTCTCGTCCGGGAGCTGCGGTTTCCCAGGCTGTGCATCAAGCCCCTGGCAACCCGTGCCACCAGCAGCCAGTTTGGGAAAAGAAAGAGGGCAGAGGCTGGCCCCAGCACCAGCTGCTCCTCGCTCCCAGGCTTGCTTGGTGCCTGAGATCAGCCCTACAACTTTACCCTCCCCACAGGGCTCCCTCCCCAGCCCCGGGAGCTGCATCTCGCCCCGTGTGGTGCAAGCCCAGGAGGTGGGCAAGAGGGCATGCATCTGAGCAGGTGACAGAAACCTGTAATTTCCCTCCATCAAGTGCAATTTTCACGTGGCAGAGAACACGCAGCAGGCTGGCATCTCTGCATTTGTTCCTCCGAGCCCCGCCGAGGTGGTGATTTAGCACTCGAGCAGGCACACGCCGGGTCCTGGGTATCACAGGCTGGCTTTGTTCGAATTGCCTCTGCTCCAACCGTGTGTCATGCAGCCTCCCTCCCGTGTCCTTGCATGCACGTGTTCTCTCCCCATCCTCCTCATCTCTGGACACCCTAAACTCTCCCCTCCGTCCCCGCTGCCTCTCCCAGCCGCTCCAAGGCTGCGGTCTGCACGGCACCGGGAGCTGCAGCGCCGGGGAGGCAGGCGGCTCAGGCCACAGCGCCCACGACTGAATAACGCAGCCGCTGCCGGCCGCAGGAGGTGCAAGAACGTTTCGTTCCCAGGCGAGTCCTCCAGCTCTTTATTTTCTTCAAGGCTTCCCGGCGGAGGTCTGATCCGTGGCTGGTTATGGCTCTTAGCCCAGAAAGCAGAGGGCTTTTTGCTCATTAGGACGCAGAGGCAGGAGGTGCTGCCTTTCCAGGCTGTAGTTCCCAGCCTGACCCATCCCAGGTGGCCCACCCCAGATGCTGGTCCCACCCCATCCCTGTAGGTGTGGGTTCACCTCTCTCTCCCGTTGCACATTAAGCTACCGGAGCTCCCCATCCCATTCGATTCCCCTACAAACAAGGACACTTCCAGCCCTGGCTTCCTGCCTCCCTCACTTCCACCCACCCTCATGAACAGCCCTCACCGTGCTGTCACACCTCAGTCCCAAACCTGCCCCTCTTCCAGCCCTTCTCCCCATCACAGTGTCCCCCTTCAAGCTCAACCCACACCCCCTCACATCTTCCTTGCACCCCAGCCCCGCTCCCACCACCCTCAGTCCCCCGTGCACAGGGATGCCATGGACTAACCCACCCCGCATCCTTTGCCCCAGATAAACACCCGGTGGGCGTCCTGCTTGGCTTCTGGCATTTTATTTCTCCCTCTTCCCAGCCCCTCAGCGGCAGGAGCACTTGCAGGCGACCACCACGGGGTAGGGGATCTGGCGCCAGGCGCAGTGCGGGGGGCCGGGGGGCCGGGGGGCCCAGCAGTGCCAGGCCAACAGCTTGAGCTGGGTGAGCTGGGCAGGACGGCAAGCCATACCGGGGGGCCAGGAGCAGCCGGAGGGCTCGGGCTGGCAGGCGGTGTGGCGCACCCAGCGGGGCCAGAAGACGGGCCCCAGGTCTACCCAGGAGGAGGCGAGGCGGCAAGCGGCCCGCTCCACCAGCCACTGCCTCAAGCGCCGTGCCACGGCGGCGGCCATCTCGGGGGGCAGCCCGGGCACGGGGGGCAGCAGGGTGGGCAGCTCCAGCCCCTCGGCCTCACGCCACAGCTTGCGGCGGTACCGCCCGGCGCCCTCCGCCAGCTCCCGGCTCTGGCTCTCCAGGTCCTCGGTGGTGGCGGTGCCGTTGCGACCCACCGGCTCCTCAGCCGACATCCAGAAGGGGTCGAAGGCTGAGCCCAGCAGCCGGCGAAGCCGCCCGGGCCGTAGATGGCGGGGTTTGGGAGCGTAGCGGTAGTCCTCGGGGGAGAGCGAGAGGCTGTAGGGCCGCACCGGGGCCGAGGGGCGGCCGCGCAGCAGGCGGGCAGCGGGGTCAGCGGTGCCGGGCGGCGGTGGCAGGTCTCGAGGGTCCTCCGGTGGCGGCGGCAGCGGTGCCAGGCCCGAGGCAGCCGGCGGCGGCAGCGGCAGCAGGCAGAGGAGGAGGAGGAAGAGGAGGAGGAGGAGGAGGCAGCGGCAGGGGCCCTGCATGGCGAGCGGCGCTGCGGGCTGTGGCTGCGTCCCCCCTGGTTATCGCCGCGTCCTGAGCGTGGCCTTCCCCTTTTCCCTGGTTGTGGGTGCTGATACCCGGCCGCCCGCCCGCCTGCCCGGGGACACCCTGCTCCCTCCAGACATCGGGGGGGGGAACGGGGGCCTCCCACCCGGCTGAGGTGCTGTGGGTGGGGGTGAACGTGGGCAGGGGCAGCGGGACCCTCGCCTCTTCGGTGCAGGATGGCTGCGTGGGTCACGGTTGCTTCTTGTCACATCAGCCCGAGCACACGCTGTCCTGCGGGGTGATAAGGGAGCTGGAAGTCTGGTGGGGCCGGCCCTGGGCTGCTTGTCCTCCCTCCCCTGGGAGAGAAATTCTGGTGAGAGGTCAGAAAACAAAAGCCTGTTTGCCCTCCGGCTCCGGCTCTGATGCTGGGTGTGATTTGCTCTGGTCTGCGCTACGAGTCCTTTTTGCCATGCTGCTCGCAATTAACAGCTCGAAATAGCAACTAATTGCTCGTGCTCCAGAGGTTTTAGCCCCATAGACCAAGCAGGAGGTAAGGGTCAGGCGTGGTGGGACATCCACGTTCCCTGGAGGTGTTGGGAAGCACCTCCCGAACACACAGCGGTGCTGGGGCTGCGGGACCCTGTCCTGCCCCTCCCAGCAAGGAGCAGCACCCTCGTTCTCCGCCGTCCCCTCCTTGTGGGAGCTGCTGAAGCCACAGGAAGGCTGGGCAGAGAGGAGTTAACTCCAAACCCAACGACAGGGAGAGGGGAAAAAAAATAATAAATACAGAGAGAGATCAATGGATCAGCAGCAAGAGCAGAGGGAGGGAAAAGGGGGAGACAGAGAGAGAGAGAGAGCGTGCGAGGAGCTCCAGGAGGAGAGAGACGAGCACGGGAGTGAGGAGGAGAGGAGAGCAGAGCTGGCGGCTGGCGGGGAGCGCCGGAGCACCGGGCAGGGGTGACGGCACTGCTCAAACTGTCCTTGTCCCACGTGGATGAAGGGCTGCCTCCTCCTCACCACCGCTGCCCAGGCTCTTCTGGAGGTTTCCCCTGAGCAAGCGGAGAAGCTGAAGGCCCCTCCTCGCAAAGGTGAGTGCCAGCTTCACAAGCCTCGGGGCTCCCCGGGTAGGGGTGAGCGTGTGCCCACGGCTCCCCACAGCCTAAATGCGAGGTGTGGGCCCAGAGGGACACCGCAGGCTTCTGCTCGTGCAGGAAGGTCCCACAGGGCCAGGATGGAGGAGCTGGGCAGCCACCAGTAGGACAGAGGGGAGCTGAGAGCCAGGGATGAGCTGCCAGCACAGCACAGAGGGGGATGTGCAGGAGAAGCAGCATGAGAAAGATGGGGGAGCAAGGGGTGAAAGAGCTCGCGCGACCCAAAAGGAGTTAATTGCGTGTCAACAGTTGCTAGATAACGGTGTCTTTCCTTCTTGGTTGCTGCTCAGCCAAGGACAATTTGTTCTAATGATGGAACAATCAGGCGAAGGCTCGTTAGGAGAGCGGGTGTTTGCGCTCCCCGCCCGAGCACGGTGTTACTCAGGGCTGGAGGAAGTTTGGCAGCAAATGTCAGCACCTGGCTCCTCGAGCTCCGGGATAAATCACTCCTGTGCGATGACTATTTGGTTGTGTTTTGAGGTCTCCCCCCCATTCCTCTCCCACATCACAAGATAGGACCCGGCAGCCAAATTTCCTCTGCCTGCACCTTCTGTCGGGTCAGCAATACCCCACACCCACGGGTCAAATGCGTCCCACCTGTGCTTTTCGGAGACCTGCTGAGCTCTGATTTGAAAGCACATTAAAGGCAACAGGGTGCTGCTGCTGGGGGGTGTTCCTTCTCCGTGTCCTTGTGGCCCTGGCCAAGCCTGGTTGAACGTCAGCTGGGATGAAGACTTGCCAAAGCAAGAAATCCCAAAAGGTTTAAAAGCAGCTTTGGGATTGTAGGAGGAATGTAGGTGAGTTGGTGGGATGCTGTGATGGGGACGTGAATCCAGGCTGTGTCTGTGTCTCTGCTCGCAGGGCTCTGCTGTCAGATGGGGAGATGCCAGGGGGCTGGAACGCCTCCTCTGACAGCCCGGAGCTGCGAGCAGCAGGGATCATCGTGCCCATCATCTTCTCCCTCATCTTCCTCCTGGGCACCGTGGGGAACGGGCTGGTGCTGGCCGTGCTGCTACGGAACGGCCAAGTGAAGTATAACACCACCAACCTCTTCATCCTCAACCTGGCCATGGCCGACCTGTGCTTCATCGTCTGCTGTGTCCCCTTCCAGGCCACCATTTACACCCTGGACGGGTGGCTCTTCGGGGCCTTTGCCTGCAAGGCCGTGCATTTTCTCATCTACCTCACCATGTACGCCAGCAGCTTCACCCTGGCTGCGGTCTCCATTGACAGGCAAGTGTCCCCTCCCATCTCGGTCCCTCAGCTCAGGGACAATGTGTTCGCCGCTCTCGAGCTAAGGGGTAAGGGAAAGACCAGTCCCTACCTTGTTGAATGTCCTGTGAAGAGCACGTAGGGTCTCTCTAGAGGCAGGGCCAGCAGATCCAGCTTCTCACTGTTCCTCCACATCTCCCCGTGCCTTCTCCCAGCACCCAGCCAAGCTCTCAGCCTGGTTACCCAGCCCTTTCCCTTTTTCACCTCAGCAGGAGGAGCGCAGGCATGCACCAAGGCTTGGTGTCCACCATACAAAACCAAGAGTGCTAAAACCCAGGGAAACCGTGCACCAGAGGAGAAACACGGAGTCCTCTGTGTCCTGCTCCTGCCCTCTTCAAGAGGCACGTTGCCTGCCCCTCCTGAGCTAGCACAGGGTGATGGAGATTCCCAGCTCCATGTTGGGATGATCCCTTTAGCTATGCGAGCTCACCATAACCCTCCCTCATGAAAGGTGGGGAAGAAGAGAAATGGGAGAGCACAGGAAAGGCTGCCTAGATGGCAGCTCCACGGGGCTGGAGGGCAATGAGATATCCCACCCACATTACGCCTGGTCTCTCCTTCCCCTCCCCGCCAGGTACCTGGCCATCCGCTACCCACTGAAGTCCCGGGATCTCCGCACCACCCGAAACGCAGGAGTGGCCATCGTAGTGATCTGGTCGCTGTCCCTGCTCTTTGCAGGGCCTTACCTCAGTTACTACCAGATTGTCCATTACCACGGGGTGCCCATCTGCGTCCCCATCTGGGAGGACCAGCGCCGAAAAATTCTGGACATCCTCACATTTGTCTTTGGATACCTCTTACCCGTGACTGTGGTGAGCCTGGCGTATGCCAGGACCATCAAGTTCCTGTGGACCTCCGTAGACCCCGTTGAAAGGATCTCGGAGTCCCGTAAGGCCAAGCGGAAGGTCACCAAGATGATTGTGGCTGTTGCTATCTTGTTCTGCCTCTGTTGGCTTCCCCACCATCTGGTCATCCTCTGCTTCTGGTTTGGCCACTTCCCCTTCAACAGAGCCACGTATGCCTGCCGCCTGGCTTCCCACTGCCTTTCGTACGCCAATTCCTGCCTCAACCCCATCGTCTATGCCCTCATCTCCAAGCACTTCCGAAAGCGTTTCAAGCAGGTCTTCACCTGCCTCTTCTTCCAGAACAAGAACAGGAAGAAGAAGAAGCGAGTTGGAAATCAAGTCCACGTGGTCAACGTGGGCAAAGGTTTCACCAACAGCACCGGAGGCTTCTGTGGAGGCAACACGGAGGTGACCCAGGTCCCACGGGAGAACAGCAGGAGGAGGGACGCGGAAGGTGCCAACCATGCCAGAGCATGGACTCACCAGCTACAAGACGCCATGGCCTCTGCTCAGAAGGAACTGCTGGAGGAGGAAAGCTTGGTAACAGCTGGCAATCTCCTAGCCATGACCCCCCCGAGAAGATCTCAGGAGTGTCTGACCGTTCACTATAAATGAACGAAGCAAAGAAACCTCTTCTCCAGCCAGTGAGTGAACACTCCGCTCCAGAATAATGTGGGGCATTGGTATTTCTTCATCATGAGGAGTTTCATCCCTTCCTCCTGGGGCTGGAGGACCTGTTGCTCTCTGAGCAGTGATGCTATTTGGTGAAATTAGCTCTATGTGCATGGTTTACTGACTTGGCAAGACACTTTTTTTCCATGTAATGACTATTTTGGTGGCACCCACGTGCACTTAGTTCAATCTTTTCTCCTCAGTGCCCCTTCCAACCTAATGGAGAGGGCTTCCAGGAGAGCGCGAGGCCTACACCAGCCGGTGGGCTGGGACATCTTCCACAACACTCATCGCTGTGGGACTGCTGTGGGACCCCTGTCCTCCTGGGAGCAAGACTTACCCCTGCTTTGTTCCTTGTTGGCCACCCTGCCCTGAACAGCCACAGAGGAGGCTTTGTTTGTGGTAACAGTTGAACGACACCCCACAGGAGGGCCGAGCGTCCCTGCTCACAAAGCTGAGCTCAAGCGCTGCAGAGCTCAACAACCCCCTCCAAAATCCCACAGCCAGGCCTCAGATGCCTTATCCGCAAAGCGTTAAACCTGCCACTGCGCTGTTCCAGCTCAGTATTTACAGTAAATATTGCATGCTTGCAACAGCCCTCGTTTTCCTTAATTGCAGATGGCATTTGCTCGGTGCTGTGTGGCTAATGAGTGTGTAACTTCTAGTGTGAAGCAAATCTATGCTGATAATGCCCTAAGAGCAGATGAAAAAGAGAAAGCTTGGCAAAAAGTGTCTAGTGAGGGCAGTGACACTTGTGGGACACTGCAGAGTTTCGTGCTGGAGCTGACTGTCATGGCATCAGTAGGTTTCAGAGTGAACGTGTTTGCCCTGAATGGGGTGGATGGCAATTTTTTCCTGACAGTTCACTTCTTGCCTGCCCACAGCCAGCACGTGCGTGGAGCTAACCCTCCCAGCAAGGCCCCTGAGGCTGGTTTTCCAGGAGGAGACGCAGAGGCCAGGTGGTGCGGCAGACTGCAGGCTGGAAATCCGCGGGGACCGCGCTGCTCACTTCACAGCTAATTCAGACAGCGAGGGAGCCCCAGCTGGGAGAGAGGAGCCATTTGCTGCCAGCCCACTGCCGAATGCCAGCATGCCAAATGCAATCGTTGGAGGCAGCACGGCCCCGTCAGTGGTGCCCCGAGCCCTGCGCAGGCTGTGGAAACCCTGGTGGCCTTCCTTGCCCCTGTGTCTGGTGGGATCTTGGAGATGCAGCTGAAGGTTGCGGTCATAGGTGAAAAAATTTTGGCTCTGTCCTTGTCCTCTGGCACTTTCAGTGCTATGGGCACTGTAGAGTGGGGATGAGGACACCTGGCAGCAATGGGATCTGGGGGTTTGAAGGGCTCTGGTGCGTGCAAGATGCTGCAGACCTCGCAGCAGAGCTACACCCTCCCACCCCCCTTTTATTCCTCTTCTCTTCACATCCCCTGCCTCTGCTTGCGTAAATCTTCCCTTATTGCTTTGTCCTGCCCACTCGTCAAATTCCCAGGCGACGTGGCATTTCTAACCCTCGCTGACGCTGATGTGCAGCTTGTTAGAGCTCAGCTGCAAGGACACCCCCTTCCCCGCGCTGAGGTCAACTCCGTTGCTGCGCTGGGGATTATTCTTCTTTTCCCACTTAAGTGTTTGATGTTGATTTCCACCTTTCCATGGCCTGCTGGCATGTCACACCAGCCTCCAGGTACAAAAATCTGCATCGTTTCCAGATGCAAAAGCCCATTTCGCAGCCCAAAGTGCTGGAAGGAGAAGGGAACAGTGGTCAGGTTGCTCTGATCCTGCTCCTCGTGGGTTCTGCTTGCAGAGGGAGCAGACCAGGTCAGGGCTGAGTGTTGTGTATTGGGGTGAAGCCTAAATAACACGGGACAAAGAGGACGGGAGAAAACCTGCGTGAGAAGGTTAATTTAGCCCAGCAAGCCTCTGCAAGCCCAAGCTCCCATTCCTCAGCTCTCTGGGGCTGAGCCCCTGTTTTGGGGAGCACGTGAGCGGGAAGGGCAGACGCTGTGTCTGGCTTGGGGAGCTCCCATAGCCAGGAGGGAATTCCAGTCTGCCCAGTAACAGCACGCATGCTCCAACTGGTCCAGTGGCTCAAAGCTAGGGGAGAAGAAAATGTGACTTCTCCTTGATACCGCGCTGGCTGTAATTAAAGCTGAAGGAGCTTGATTGCTGTTCTGCACGCAGCCTCCCCGTCAGACTGATTAGCGTTCGGCGGTCTCTGCTTCCAGCTTTTCACCTTAATTAATGATTACTTGCTTATATTTTCTTCCCTACTTCTCATCACTCGGGCTGATGAGCTTGGCTTTAACCCTCTCAGGGCTGGCTGCACCTGGGCAGTGGCCTGACTGCAGCTCAGTGGGGTGGTGAGGGCAGGCTGGGCAGCTGCCTCTGCCATAAAATCAGGCAAGGGACAGCTTTGGGGTGAGGTGACAGTCGTGGACAGCATGTCCTAGTGGTTTTGTGCTGCTCCTGGTACGTGGGCCTTTCCCTGATGAGCCCGTTAGCTATAGGAAACTCTGCTTATTTGCTTTTGGGTTTAGCCGCCTGTCTTCTGGTTCCTAATCCGTGACCAGGCTTAGCAGGCTGCCAGCTGATTATTTCAGCTCTTCTGCAAGCCACATGGTATCTTCCCCTCTCAGAGCTTTCAGAAGAAAAAAAAAAAAAAAAAAAGAATGAAAGAAAACAACAGATGAGTGCTATTTGCTGCATCTCCTTCATCAGCCTCCTAATCAAAACTGCTGGCTCTTCCACCGAGCCATCCCCTGGGCCCTGGGGCTCGGGGCCGCTCTCCCACGCTGGCTGGGTGCAGTGCACGAGGAAAGCATCTTTCCGCCAGTACCTTTCCATGACGGAGGAGATGAAATCCAGCTTGCTCGCTGAACGAGCCGAGGAAACAGCTGAAAGGGTGGATGGTTTGCTGGAGATGCTTCACGGGGCTTCCTTAGCAGCACGGAGGATCATTAGCATGATGGATTTGGAAAGGTAAAAGCGGAGGCAGTAATGGTGTTCAGATGTGGGCTCGATACCCTGGAGTTTAATTATTTCAACTGCTGAAAAGTGAAAAAGGTAGCAGCTTCCCGATGCTCACGCGTTACCGCAGCACACGCTTCGCATTCACTAGCATGGGTGAGTGGCTGCTTCAGAGCAAGGCCTTTTGCTTGGAAACATCCACGCGGCTTTGCTGGGAGGCTTCGTACTCCAGAGGAGCCAGATCCTCAGCTCCTCAGCCTGGCTGGTTTTATCTGTGTCTTACAAGCACTTCATGCAGGGCTGAGGGGCTGCTGAGGTCGCTGCGGAGCCGTGCGCTGGATGGAGAGGGGAATTAATTCAAGTGCATTTGGAGGTACAGTGGTGAGGGGAGAGCAGGGCTTTGGGTCAGGTCCTGTCTGCCAGAGCCTGCTGGCAGCCTGGCGCCACGGCCCTGAGGAGGAGGATGGGCACCGCCACTCGAGGAAGGCCTGAAATGCGGTGCCTGGCAGTGTAATGCAAGGGAAAAGGGGAGATGGACCGAGTTTAATGGCAAAATAAACAGCAGAGTGAAGCCCTGTGCTGTCGTTTTCATCATTACCGTAGCAGACACCTCTGTGGGAAGCTGCCACCAACCTCACACCTCCGGGCTGCGCAGGCAAATCCATGGCCAGGGTGCGAGGGCAGGGGGAAAAGCTGCTGGGTGAGGCTCAAAACGTCGTGCCAGGAGCAGAAGGAAAAGCAGATGGAGCCCGGGAGCAGCTCCCAGCACAGCGTGAAGCCACGCTCGCTTTCTCCCCCAGACCCTGTTCATTCCCTCCCCAGCACCTGACTCCCTGCTGAGACAGAGCTGCGGAGCACGGCCAGCTGACCCAACAAATGGTGTGGGGTGATTCCTCTCTTATTTTTCTCCCCGCTGGAAATCAGATCCCATTTTCTTTATCTGTTTCCACTGAAGCAGCAGCAAAGCCAGCGATGAGGCTGCTCTTAGCTGCCTCAGCTCATTGTGCCAGCCTCCAGGGGCCTGCCAGCGCTGCCTCACCTCCCGCGGAGGCGGCAGTGCTGCGAGAGGCAAGGCAACAACACTCCTGGGTGGCTGCAGCACCCTCACCTTTCCACTCCAAGCACAGAGCGAGGAGCACTTACGGAAAAGCTCCAGCACCAGGCAAAACTGAAGGCCTGAAGAGCTTTAGACAACGAGGTCCTGAGTGCTCGGGCTAAAAGCTCAGCGCTGGATCTCCGCTAAGCGAATTCCCTGTTGGGTGGAAAGCTTCCGAGCGGCGTCTGGTTTGCAGACACCATCAGCAGCCAAGGTAACTGCAGTGATAAGAGCACCTCATCCACCTGCTCAGCGGATAAACCTAATGGTCTCCTCAGCAACAAGGCTGTTGAGCGCAGAAGCGGTGGCGGCCGGGTGAACGTGGCCACCAAGCTGAGGTGGGAGGAAGCACGGCGGGGACAGGCAGGACACGCGGGTCACCCGCTCCTCTCGCAGGGACCTCTTGGTGAAGCCTCTGCCCTGCCCGACGTCCTCCCTAGCACCCAATTAATCCCTTCGCCCTCTCCGCAGCACAGCCGTGTACCTTGGTCTGCAAACAGACGGCTGTTTGAAGTCAAACAGCTTCGTGTTGCCGCTTCTGATTTCAATACCAGGTTCGAAAGCGGCAGTTGCAGAGCCTGGCGCTGCGCCTGGGGCCTGGAACAGAGGTAAAGAGGGATGAGCCGCTCCGAAAAAAAAGGAGCCCAAAAAAAAAGGCCAACGGGATTTTATTGAAGTTCAACATACAAAAAGGTCAGATTGTCTCCCACCCTTCCCATCCAGCAATCCCTAACCAAGTAACCTTATTCACAGTGACGGCTCCAGCCCTGCCACAACGCTGTCCTAACCGTGGCTTCCAGCACCAACGCGTGACCCCATCTAAAAGCTACTGCGTGTTCTGGTATCTCAGCTTGGAGCTCCAGCTGCCCTTTTCCTAGACAGGAGGCCAGCCGTTAGAGAAAACAGTCTTCCAGTAGCAGGAAACAGAAAAGTCAGTTGCAGTGGGTTTGTGTCGGTTTGGTTTGTTTTGATTTTTTACAGCGTGGCTGCCTAAAACCGCACTAACATTGAGTCAGCCCCTAATCCTTATCTTTGCGCCGGGGCAACCCTGACCCACGGACTGCCTACCTGGGTAACTTTCACAAGTGATTCGTTAATTTAAGCATTAACTTTCAGCAGTGCTTTATAAACGGTGCCCGGAGGAAGCTGTTAGTTTGCTTAAAAGCTTCGTATCCCATTCCTAACCGGCCCGATTCTCTCTGCCCTCTGTCTGCAGGCCCTGGGGACAGTCAGGATTAAGCTTGGCTGCGCGTTTCTGAAGGCGGTGTGTTTGCTCAGCTGCTACCATGCAGAATAAAGTGCATGTAATTCTCCCAGCACAAAGCCTTCTGCTGTCCGGGGTGCCCGCTTCCCACCCCCCCATGCTTTTTGGTGCTGCGGTGGTGGCAGAAGATGCCTGCTCCAGGCAGCTCTGTGACGGTGGCCAGCAGCGAGCTGGGCTGGCTGGTGACTGCTCGTGGCATCAGCCACCGCCTGCGTTGAGCTGAAGTGCTTAGGACAAGGCAGAATACCTCCGAGAGGGGTATCCTATTCAGTTCCAGCCCCTCTGATCCAAAGAACGACTCTTCTTTTGTTTTTTTTTTCCTTCCCCTAAAGTCTCAGTCCGCAGAACTCTGCTGTCCAAATCCCGCTGCCTCCCCGTGAGGCAGCCGTGGGGCCACGGGGACAGTCTGAGCACCAGCCAGAGCGCGGATCCGGCAGGAAGAGCCGGGGCAAAAACGTTCATTCATCAGCCTGCGAAGTCTGCGCCTTCTTCTCTGAGGCTTCTCCTCCTGGGCCAGCAGCCCCGTTACCTCTTCTCCATCTTCTGCATCTGCAGGCTGAGCGAGGTGAAGCTGGCGAGGAGGTCCGTAACCTCATCCACCTGCCAGAAGAACACAGCTGGACATTAGGCAGAGGGAAAGCAGCCTCAGGAGGCTGATGCTTGACCTCCAGCCCATCTAACCAGCCCTTAAAATAGAAGTGCGTTGCTGCATTACTCAGAACTCAACAGGGAACATCACGGCCACGGCCTCTAAGCTCGAGGGCCAATCCTTTGTACCAGAAAAAAGAGAAGCAAACAAAATAAAACCAACCAAACTGGGCAAAACAAAGGCACCCTGTGTGTTTGTGCTGCCTCCTGGCCTTAAAACGCCTGTGCACTCGGCACATCTGGTGTCCAGCTTCTCTGCAGACCTGCTGGACACCCTGATGCTTTCTGCATCCTGAATTCCAGCTGAAGGAGTCCCACAAGTCCCCACGTAACTCGGCCACGTCACCCAGAGCGAGCGAGAACACGTCCACCAGCCTGTCTTTAAAGCTGCCTTGCTCACGTAGCAGCTCTTGAACGCAGAAGCCACAGCGCGAGCAGGTGAGTCATCCGGCACTGCCTACCTGCTCCTTTGTGCTGGTCATCTGTAACTTGGAGCAGAGGTCGTCCAGCTGTTCCTTCTGCTCATGCCTCCCCAGGCGGTCCAGGTATTCCCGCAACATCTGGATGATCTGAAACGCACGGGCAGAAGAGGCGAACATCAGACAGCCCCGTCAGGATGGGACGTTTTTACAGGAAGAAGTTGAAATTTTAAAATTGAGAGCAGAGGGTGGAAAAAGGATGGTCTCCAGAAATGGAAGGAAAAAGCCAAACTCTCCCCAGAGCAGCTAAAAGACTAGAAAAAGACTTTAGACTTTAAAACAGCTGCTCAATATGTGAGCTATAGCACGCAGGAGGTTGCCAGCAGCTGCAGCACCTCACGGGGACATGGGAGCGTTTCCTTTACCTGTTTCACTTCGAGGCGTACGGCCTCCAGGCTGTGGGAGAGCCCTTCCTGCAGGATGTTGAGCTTGGATTTAGCGAGGTGCAGCGGGGTTCTGCCAGCCCGATCCAAGGCGTCGACTCTGGCCCCTGCAGGAGCAAGGAGAGAAAGCGAGGGCTGTCTTAAAGACTGGGGAACGCCAGCAGGGCAGGGGCAGGCTGTAACTGTTCGAGAGGAAACGTTACCTCCGCGCAGCAGCGTGGTGATGACGGGAACGTGGTTCGTGCAGGCAGCTGGGGAGGGAAAACACAGGACACACAGCTCAGAGGTAGCAGCAAACAGCAAAATTTCTGCTCAGGTGTGCAGCTCGCCACTTTCCCGAGGCTCTTTGCCATGAGAAAGGGCCCCACTGTTAAGTGTCATCTCATGCTCAAGCCTGGGTACTCTCTCTGGGACAAATCTTGGGGCCAGCAGAGGCAGGGGAATGGATTTTCTCTAAATCCGACCCGACGCCCTCATGGGGGACGAAGGGATTGAAAAGAATCCCTCTGAAGTTCTTCAAGCTGGGGATGCGTGCCGTGATGCACAGGAAAGACGATGCAAAGGAAAAAGAGCAATGCAGAGCTCACCTCACCTCCCTGCACGCAGAGCTGAGCTGTGCGGCACTTACCCAGGTGTAAGGGAGTGTTCCCCAGCCCGTCCCTCTGGTTTGGGTCAGCGCCGTGGTCCAGAAGCAGTTGCACTGGAAGCAGTGACACAGAGCGATGTCAGTCCCTTCCCTCTGCCCCGCTGACTGCACCTCGCTGCTGAAAGAAGCCTCGTTTGGCAGCACGCGGAGTGCCACCGCTCCGCAGCTGCGTTAGGGGTGCTTCTCTCAGCTCGCCAGCTCCCTCACTCCCAGAGAGGAAGGACTGGGGCTAAGGACATCCTACAACCAGCACAGCCCCACAGCTGGGAGCTGCTGCTGCTCCCACCCCAGCTACTAGGGGGACTGCAAGTCCCAGAGCTGGAATTCAGCTGGCAGCTGTGCCATAAAACAGGCAGAATCGGCAATTTCCGTTAGGTGCTGCATTAAAAGGAAGAACATCCCCCCCCAAAGCGCCCCTCTCCCCACTCACCGATGTGGTCGTTGCCGTTGCAGGAGGCGAAGTGCAGGGCTGTCCGGCCTTTGTCGTCCGCGGCAGCAGGGGTCGGCTCCATCCTCCAGGAGTTGCTGCACTGACAGCGCCAAGGAGGAGGAGGTAAGTTGCAGGGGCACCCGATCACAAAGGGGTGACGCCACCCGCTCCTCTGCAGCTAAATGTGGACTTTGCACGCCGTGAGCCAGCTCCAGCAAGCATCCAGGCTCAGCAGAACCAGCAACACGCCCTCCATCCCTTGCTACAGCCTTCGTCAGCTCCCAAAACTGCCTTAAAAGCCAAGCCAACGGCTGTAATGGCTAACGCTCAAGATCCACCTAGCCAAATATTCAGGCTCCAAGAACAATCAGCAGCAAATGGAGTATACAAAGATGCCAAGGATGCCAGGCTAGCTCTCACAGCCTTGAGTCATCTGTATCTCAGGCGCTTCCCAAGCCAGAAATAGCAACGTGTGGTCAGCAGCCCTCCACGGGCTGTTCACGGATTTCTGCAGTCGTGTTTTGCGTCTGCATGAACTCTGCCCATCAGCATGGACCCGCGATGGGAAGTTTCACAGTGTAACCCCGCCCAGCGAGGAAAAACTACCTCTCCACATCTGTTTTGAACAGGCCACTTCCTGGGTTCACCTGCAGCTCCTGATTTTTGCCCTAAGAGTGGCGGCACGAATGTATTGTTAAGAGATGTATGGAAGTGAGCTAACAAACAGCCCCAGCAGCTTTATCATCAGCTGCTTGCGGTTGTTCCCCTCGCTCTTCCACCCAGCAGAGCTGCCTGCTTTTCCTCGAGCTGTGGGAACACCGCAGGATTACAAGAGAGGGCATCCATGTATCAAACACAGGCACAGAATGAAACAAACAGGATTTTCGTGAAGCCTGACCCTTTCAGCCTCCATTTTGACCTGCTGACTGAATCCAAGCCGCATCCTTCCAGCCCTGACAGCGCTCACAGCTGCCTGTACCCATCCGTTTGTGGCACCTTTTACACCGCCGCCTCACCTGTATCCAAATCGTTCCCGTTGGCGGCTTCCCGCAGCCTCTTCAGCGCTGTGGAGAGAAGCCGGCCGTTACCCTGCAGGCCCAATGGAGGGGGGTGCTGAGGGCCCCCCCCCCCCTCAGCCCGGCCTCCCCCACTCACCGTGGCTCTCCTTGCCCGTAGGCCCCAGGCGGCGGTGCAGGCGGGCAGCCCTGCGCAGGCGGCGGGCCGGGATCTTGCCGGCGGGTTCAGTCCCGCTGCCACAGGACGTGCAGGCAGCCCAGCGGGCCGCCCCCCCGCCGCCATGGCCGGGCCTGGCCCCGCTGCCGGCCCTGAGGCGCCGCCGCCACCGCCGCCCTCCTCCATCGCCTCACGGGCCGCCGAGGGGCGGGACTAGCGCGTTGCCATGGCAACGGCTCGGCTCGGCCAATGGGAAGCACAGCAGCGGGGAGGCGGGAGCTGCGAGGGGATGATGGGCAGGTGGCGCATCCAATCAGAGAGAGGAATTTAAGACAGGGCAGTTGGCTCAACCAATCGGAGTGCGCGCTGCCTGTCGCCTCAGCCGGGCTGCGCGGCCTCGTCGCTCCTTCCTGCCGCGCCGCCAACATGGCCTACCCGGGGGAGGACTACGACAACGACGTGAGGGGGCTGGGGGGCGGCCGGGACCGAATCCGAATCCGGATTGGGATTAGGATCGGGATTGGGATTCTAATCTGGATCCGTGATCCTCTCTCCCGCAGGCCGCCTACGACCCGTACGCCTACTCGGCCGACTACGACCTGCACACGGGTGGGTGCGGGCCTGGGGGGGGTGAACAGGCCCCGGGGGGGGTCCCCACAGCTCCCCCTGACCGTGCTCTGTGCCCCTCGCAGGGGACCCGAAGCAGGACCTGGCCTACGAGCGGCAGTACGAGCAGCAGACCTACCAGGTGATCCCCGAGGTGATCAAGAACTTCATCCAGTACTTCCACAAGACCGTGTCGGATCTCATCGACCAGAAGGTGTACGAGCTGCAGGCCAGCCGCGTCTCCAGCGACGTCATCGACCAGAAGGTCTACGAGATACAGGATATCTACGAGAACAGGTACCAGCACGGCTGGATCGCCCCCACAAACCGGGTCAAATCACTCCCAGCTTGTAACAGGAGTCGCTAATGGTCTTGTTCCAGCTCTGGGTTTTCTCTAAAATACAGCCCGCAGCTTGAATTAAACTGGAAAAACAAAACAAAAGCATATTTCTAGGCTATTCGTTTAACATAACCCTCTGTGAGCTGTGACCTATCCTAAAGAACATACAGGTCCCAGGGGATGTTGGCAGCAAAAAGTGAGCCCAGCAGTGCCAGTTTGTAGAAAGCAGTGAGGTATAATCACATCCGTTCTCTACAGGTGCTCCTGTTTGTGTCCATACCTGCATTACTTTATCATAAAGAGAATGTAAAAGTAACACGTGCAACTGTTCCATACTTTAGGGACAAACTAAAGATTTTAATTGCTCTGTTTGCCTTCTTTGCTTCAAAACTGGTCTTAATAAAGAGGGTTGTTGCTCTACTTCCCATCAAGTCCAAGCCTTCTGTATCGTGAACTCTTAACTCCCGCTCTCTGGTACTGCTAATCAGTTTCTCATGCTGTGTGTGTGTCTATCTTTCAGCTGGACAAAGCTGACAGAAAGGTTTTTCAAGAACACCCCGTGGCCAGAGGCGGAGGCCATTGCCCCCCAGGTTGGAAATGGTGAGCATTTCTTCCTCTTTCCTTATCAGAGAGCTAAGGAACTCAATCACTTCTGATTTGTTAGCGAGCTGGAGCATGCTGTCACTGATTTCTGAGTCACTCATCTTCGCTCACCTGCAGGCAGCTCCATCAGTAGATGCCTGTCAGGAGGTCAAACCTGAACATAATTTCCTCTTTTGCCTCTCTTTATTGCTGTGCCAGTACGAGCATCACCAGCATCTCTGAGAGCTCCAGTTGCTTGAGCCTCGTGGTTTGCTAACGTTCAGTTCTCTCACTGTTTACAGATGCAGTTTTCCTCATCTTGTACAAGGAGCTGTATTACAGGCACATCTATGCCAAAGTCAGCGTGAGTATTTACCCCGTGTCTTCCTTTGGGTTGTCCACTGGCTTCTCTGGGCCAGAAAACTCACCCAGCGTTGGTGAGTTAGGGAAGAAGGAGCTGCTGGGAGGGAGCTGAGTTTTCTTCTGGATAGAGCTGTAAATACAAGACTTACAGATTGGTTTGTTTTTTGTGTTCCTTTGCGGCTCTTAATTTGTTCTTCAGATTAGCGGGTGGGTGAGAGTGGGTGTCACAGGAGAAGGCCACATTGTTTGTGGCTAAAATACTGCATGGGGTCAGAGTGCCTAGTAGAGAGGGAAATACAGGCACCAAAGAGGAGAAGGAAAGAGAAGAAATAATAATCTATAGAAAAACACTTTTTTTTTTCCACTTAAAAAGGCCAATTTAAAGTCAATGGGAAAATCAGAGTAGTTCTTGGTTGTTTAAGGAAAGAAACCAAGCAGGTATATGACTTAGAAGGTAGATGAATAATAGCTGTAGCTTTGATGGGGACCAGAGGGTGGAGAAATGGGAACTTCAAAACGGTTGCTTTATTAACCCGCGTTCAAGGCTTGCTTTAACAGGAGAGACAGGTTTCTTGAGTTGCGCTGTGAGAGGTTCTCAAACTGCCCATGGGTGTCTACAGGTGAAGCAAGGAAGGTGGCTCTAGGAAGAGTGATTCCCTGCTGTGGTCATTGGTCTTTCAAAAACGCTTAAAATTATTGTCTAGGGTCCAAGGTCTTTCGTGAAGGGAGAAGGACAAGAAGCTGTGGAAAGTAATATGAAATCTGGTAGAAAATTGGCTCTAACATCACCAAATTAAACTCTGTACTGCTGTGACCGTTGACTGTCCTTCCTACTTTGTTGCCTATAAATCCAGTCCTGCTGTGCTTCAAACTAAACAGGCTGAGCTGCCTTCTCATTGCAGGGGGGCCCCACTCTGGAGCAGAGATTTGAGTCTTACTACAACTACTGCAATCTCTTCAACTACATCCTGAGTGAGTTGCTGCAATTCTGTTTTGCTTCGTGTGCTGTGAGAGAAAGAATTGAGTGGAGAGGATAAAGCTGGAGAAAGGGAGAAAAACTGGAAGATGCTTGCTTATAGATTGTGTAGAGAAGAGTAGTCTGTGAGCTTTCCATAAACTTAAATTTATTGAACTTTACATCCCGGAACTTTAAACCACAAAAAGCCCAAAGTTGACAGTGCTTCTTGAAATGTTCTAAAGGGAGAAAAGAGAAAGAAAGAAAAACAAAACTTACCTAGTTTTCCATCTTCCTTGAATTTTCGCTTACAGCTTAAATTTGCCTTTAAGGTAAAGTAAAGGTATGCTAGGAGACTGCATCAGCACTTCACAGCTCTTTACCGTTGTTGACTCCGCTTGGGATAAATTTAAATGTTTGTGACTTCCTGCCAGTCGTCTTGCAGAGAAAGTGGCGGGATAAACCCTTAGAATTTGCGTGCAGGTTTCTGAGAACTGCTGCTGAGCAGTCACACTCTAGACATTAGCCCTATATATACTTGTGTTCCTTAAAAATAAGGGCAGCTGAGGCAGCCAGAGCTACACAGTTCCTTGCTGGAAACTTCATTCACCTGCTCCTGTATTTCCCAGCTTAGGAAAATTCTCAGTTCTGTCTGTTCCTCCAGTTCTGCCACCGCTCTTGCTCGAGGTGTTAATTTCTCATCTGTTACTAACGATCTTTTGCAGATGCTGACGGTCCTGCTCCTCTGGAGCTGCCCAACCAGTGGCTCTGGGATATCATCGATGAATTCATATACCAGGTACGTGACCCTAAGACCGTGCCATTGTGGGGTGGCCTTGCCTCGATGAGCACTATTAAATTTTCCATCTTCCTCTCTGTCGTTCTCATATCTAGGGTATCATTGCAGGTCAAACAACTTCAGTGAGCGCTGTTATTCGTGCGACACTGAGTAGATGAAATAGTTGTAAATATACAGGTTTCTAAGCTACCAGGAGCCATTTAGGGAGTCTAAACTTCTATTGATATTTCTGTTTCAGTTGTTGCGTTATTTTTTTTTGGTGGTGGTGTTATTTTTTTTCCTCACTTGGTTTGTATTTTTTTTTTTTTTACAGCTTCATTTTTGCCTGGTTTATACAAAGCCTGACTGAAATCTGCTGCTATAACCACAAAGACTTTATTAACTTGTTCATACTAGTTCTGTTGTTCCGTGGTTTTACTTTAGCTTTGTATTTGGTAGTTTGCAGGGCCTTTATGCATGCACTGAGAGATTACTGACCTTATTTTAAATCTGTGGTCTAAGATCTTGATGTCAGGAAACATTTTTATGCTTATTGTTCGGAGTGCAGTAATTCAGATCTCAAATACTATTCATTTTTCTCTACAGACTCCTTTCTGTGTGCCTTAATATTGTAGAGGTGCTTGGAATTCTTATTCTATTTACATCTTATGACTTGGTCGTTCTTTTTGTTACTTCTTTAGTCAGCAAATTTGTGCTTAGTTGCCTGTCCTAACTGTCTAAGAGATCGTTCACTTGGTTGTGTTTTCTGGCCTTTTTCCTCAGCTTGCCTCTGCACAGTACCAGATTTTTCTGTAGGTCTTTTAATGGTGGTGTAATTTGCCATTTTATCTTCTAGGTGGTCTCAAATTAAATTCCTATTTTCTGTGGGACTTGTAGCTTGTCGTACTGCATTTGTGTGATCAACTCAAGAGCGTACTGCACTTAGATGATCGTCTCCAAACTAGCCCCTCAACATCCAATCTGTTTTTTCGCCCACAGTTCCAGTCTTTCAGCCAGTACCGCTGCAAGACAGCCAAGAAGTCTGAAGAGGAAATCGATTTCCTTCGTTCCAACCCCAAGATCTGGAACGTCCACAGCGTCCTTAACGTGCTGCACTCCCTGGTGGACAAATCCAACATCAACCGACAGCTGGAGGTGTACACAAGTGGAGGTGAGCTAGCTGGGTGATGCCAAGCAAGGTTGGTGTCTCTGCTGCCTTGCTTTGGTTCGACCAAGCTCTGTTCTCTTTGTATGGGAGCTGGATCGAACCCTTAGTCATCGGATGTTTTAATTTCGAAGAGGTTCTCATGTTCTCATAGGCCTTATATGAGAAATGAGTACACCGGAGGTCTTGCTCCTTTATTTGTAAGCACAGAGGTGTGGAAAGGAGAGCTCGTTCCCTCGGAGGGACAGCATAATGGTTCCTTTTTCATTCCTAGGTGATCCTGAAAGCGTGGCTGGTGAATATGGTCGCCACTCCCTCTACAAGATGCTGGGCTATTTCAGCCTGGTGGGGCTGCTGCGCCTGCACTCCCTGCTGGGGGATTACTACCAAGCGATCAAGGTTCTGGAGAACATTGAGCTCAACAAGAAGGTAACGAGGCAGCAAACCCTCTGCTGCCCTTTTCCAAATGCTTCTCTTAAGATGGGCTCCTGAAAAATTGCCATAATTGATCCTGTAGCTGAGGAAGAGCTTGGTGGTGTTGTCGGGAGTTTGTTTATAGGGATTAGCTGGAAGAAACGTCTAGTTCCACACTTGTGTGTGCTAAGCACAGCTGGAGCTTTGGCAGCGAATCAAGCCATATGATAATGGCTGCTGCTGTTGGAGCAC